GTATTCATAATAAAAATTTCTCATTTATTTTTAAATATGCCCAAGTTTTTAACATTTCTTACATGTAGCGGAATAATTGCCGGAAAATTTCTATAAAAATATCACAGTTGGATAAAATGTACCTTTTTTGTTAAAAGCTTTTTTTGGTTTTTTTAAGCATTTAAATTTTGTCTAGAAATTTTTTTGTTATTTTTTTTTATAATTTTTGTTGTTTTTAAATTTTTGTAGGCTTTATCATACTTTTTATTTATTAAAAAGCAGAATTTAAAACTGAATTTTTAAACCAGAATTTTTTAAATGTATACAAAAATACATTTAAAACAAATAAATATTTAGACTAAACAAGAAGAAAAACACAACTTAAAAATACAGATAAACATCTAAACAAAAACACAAAACAAAAGAAACAAATAAGAAAATACATAAACATGAACACAAATGCTTAGAAACAAAGAAAACACAAAAACATCAAAAACAGTTTAAATTCGATCAGAATTTAATTTAAACAAAACCAGAATTTAATTTAAACTTAATCAGAATTTAATATGAACTTAATCAGAATTTAATTTAAACAAAATCAGAATTTAATTTAGACTTAATCAGAATTTCATTTGAACGAAATCAGAATTTAATATCAGAATTTAATTATTTGATTTAATTATGAACTAAATATTTTGGTTTTAATTAAATAAAATATTTAATAAGACAAATTAAATTACTGTAAACATCAAGAGCATTTTTACTTTTTTTATTTAGAAATATTCTAAAAATAGGAAATTTTTTTTTATTTTCTTAATTAAGTTTATCCTTTATTTAATGTCAATAAAAGTCAAAAAAATAAAAATAAATATTTACTATTTAAACGGAAACCTTTAAAAATAGCTAAGACAAACCTTATAAATAACATTCTTAGAAACTAAAAAATTTTTTAAATTTAGTATAATTTATTTAAAAATATTTCCCTTTAAAATAATTAATTTTGTGACGCATAAAAATTATTTAAATATTTATTTCCTAATTTTTGACGTTTATATTTCCTTTTTAGTCCATTGTTTCTGTTTGTTTTACCTAGAATGTTTACTTCCGAGAAACAAACCAGAATAAAATTTAAACTTATCAAGTTTATTTTATACAAACATTCTGAGTTTATGTAGATAAAAACATTTGTGTTTTTCCTTATAAAAACATTTAATAAATCAGAATAGAAAACGAACATTTGTTTTCCGGAAAACATTCTGGTTTTAAGTAAAAACATTTTTCCTCATAAAAACATTTATTAAATCAGAATAGAAAACAAACATCCAAACATTTGTGTTTTTCCGGAAAACACCAAAACACAGATAAAACACTTTCCGAAAAATACATTTTTCAGAATTAATTTAAAACAAAATAAATTCTGTTTTTGTTTCTAAAACACTTAAATGTGTTTTTTTTAGTATTTTTGTTTGCTAAAACACCTATAAAAATGCAAAAAGAAATGTTTAATGTGTTTTGGCTTTATTACCAACTTGCTTACGTTCACAAAAATGCTAATAACAGAATTACTAATAATCCGCATATTTAATTCCTTGCAACATTAATTTAAAAAATAAAAAATTCTTTTTATTCATTAATAAAAATTTTTATAAAATTTTTAGTAAAAATAAAAAAAATACAAAAATTCTTACTAATCCCCCATTTCTCCAAAAACTAGACAAAAATGGATTTAACCAAAAATAATTTTTTTCTTGTTTTTGTATTTATTAATTTATTAGGGGAATTAAAAAATATTTTTAAAAAATCCTTCCTCCTTTCATACAAATTTAGGTATACTACAATTTTCCCTGCGCCGAAAAGTCTTTTGTATTTTCTGTTCGTTTTAATAGAATTTTTTTAAACTACAAAAGCTTTAGGTGGGGGAGGGGGAGTTTTTTTATGAAGAAATAATTCAATTTTTTTCTAAATTAAGAAAATTATTTTTTATTCGACTCAAATTTATTTAAATTAATTTGAAAAAAGTTTAAAATTAAAATCCGCAAAATTAAAAGTCCGCAAAAAATTTTCTCAAAAAATTTTGTCCGCAAAAAATTTGCGGACAAAATTTATATTTTTGCGGATAAAATTTTTTTAATTTTTATTTTTGTTTCAACTTTTTTTAATTTTAGAAAATAAAAATATTTTTGAAAAAAATGTCGTTTGAACACGAACAGTTTCAACGATTTTTAAAAAAAGAAAATAACAATAACAAGCAATGCTTAAATAATTATTCCCCTACAACAGAAAAAAGATTATATACAAAAATTTCAACAAAAAAATCGCCTCGAATATATCAACAAAGAACAATTATAGAATATAGAAAAAATGAAGAAGAAAAAGAAGAAATTAATTTTAATAAAAATAATAAAAATTTAGTTGAATATTTATTCCCTTCAAAGGCGAAGAAGCTTGCTGTTATAATTGTTTGTATGAAAATGTTGTTGTTTTGTTGTTGGCTTGTACATGGTGAGTTTTGAAGAAATTATGATTTTTAAATATGAAAAGGCGTCTAAACATGTTCGCGCCTAAGCAGCCATGTTGTGAAAGAAATTCTGATTTTAAATAAAACAGAAAATATAAAAACGCGTCTAAACATGTTTGCGCCTAAGCAGCCATGTTTTGAAGAAATTCTGATTAATAAAAACAAATGTTTGTTGAAAATTCTGATTTTTAAATATAAAAACGCATCCAAACATGTTTGCGCCTAAGTAGCCATGTTTTGAAGAAATTCTGATTTTTAAATAAAACAGAAAATTTATAAGCGCGTCCAAACATGCTTGCGCCTAAGCAGTCATGTTTTGAAAGAATTCTGATTAATAAAAACAAATGTTTGTTGAAAATTCTGATTTTTAAATACATAAACTTCCAAACATGTTCAAGGCTAAGCAGTCATGTTTTGAAGAAATTCTGATTTTTAAACAAACATAAAACATTAAAAGTGTGCCCAAAACATTTTTGCGCCCAAACAGCCTGCAGAATTTTATTTCTATTCTGTCTATTAAATTAACACCCCTCTAATTTCAGAAATAGCCTCTGGTTTTGATGAGGGTCAATGTCTAGCAGTCAAAAATGAAGAAAATATAATTTTGGAAAATAAATTGGAAAATAATTTGTTAAAATCAACAGATAATTTACAAACAATTCCAATTAATTCTGATAATTCAAAAATGGAACAACCAAAACAAGGAGTAAAAAGAAGAAGAAAAGTAATTTTGCGTAGAAGATTGTTAAGAAGGGGGGATAGAAGGAGTTCTTCTATTGTTAGCAAAAGTATAGGTAGAGGAAATAATTTTTTTAATTTTAAATTTTTTTTTTAATCCTGAAAATCTAAAATTATCAATTTAAACTTAAAAAAACAAAAGTCTGCAAAATTTGTCCGCAAAAGTTGTCCTCAAAAAATTTGCGGATAGTCCGCAAATTTTTTGCGGACAAAAAATTTTTAAAAAATTTTTCAAGTTAAAAATTTTTTTTTAATTTTAAAATTTATTTCTCAATTTTCAGAAGACAATAATACAACTAAAAACAATTCAAAACAAAAAAGAGGAAATAACCCTTCTACAATGGCTGTTCGCCGAGTAATTTGGAAAATAGTTCCTTTAAAAAAGTTGCCTGATAATGAAGAAAATGAGGAAGATGATGAAAATTTAATTAATTTAAATAATAAAATAATTCCGATAAAAACAAAAACTGCAAGAGTTGTGTTAAAAAGAATTGAAGAAGTGGAGAATAAAGAGGAAGAAGAGGAAAATAAATTAAAACAACAACGGAGAATGGCTAGAAGAAGAACACCAAATTTGTTAAATAATTTGAAGAAAAGTACTAACTTTTTATTTAAAAAAATTAATTTAAAAATAGAGACAAAAGTCCGCAAAATTTGTCCGCAAAAAATTTGCGGATAAATTTCTAAGCCTAAAAATGAAGACAAAAGTCCGCAAAATTTGTCCGCAAAAAATTTGCGGATAAATTTCTAAGCCTAAAAATGAAGACAAAAGTCCGCAAAATTTGTCCGCAAAAAATTTGCGGACAAATTTCTAAGCATAAAAATAGAGACAAAAGTCCGCAAAAGTTGTCCGCAAAAAAGTTGCGGACAGTCCGCAAAAAATTTTGCGGACAACTTTTGCGGACAAATTTTTGCGGACTTAGTTTCTAGATTTGTGTGTTAAAGTTGCGGACTTTTTCCTCGTTTGCGGACTTTCTTGTTAACTTTAAAGAATACCTAATTTAAAAAATTCTTTTTTTTCAGCCGAAGAATCAACAAAATCCTCTTCAACACAACAATCTTCCCCCATATATTCTGCCTTAAGTTTCCCTGAACAATTGGAAACATTTTTGGGGTTGTCTAAATGTTATGTTAGAATTATTTTTGGTAAATTTTATTTGTAAAATTTTTATTTAAAAAAAAAATTTTTTTTCAATTAAAGATTTTTGGTGTTTACTTGAATGTTTTTGTTCTGCCCTATTTTTGCTTGCTTTGTATTTAAAATTTAAATGTTTGGCGATTACTTCGATTTGTGTTGATGTTGTTTCTGTTGTTTTGGCAATAATTTTTGGGTGAGTTTTTAAACAATAGAGACTCTAATTAAAAGGCACTCTCCAATAAGACGGCACTCTAATTAAATGGCACATTTATGGCACTCTCCAATAGAAAGGCGTACTCTAATAGTAAGGCCCTCTCGAATAAAGAGGCTCTCCAATAAGAAGGCACTCTCTAATAGAACGGCACGCTCCAATTAAAAGGCTCTCCAATAAGAAGGCACTCTCTAATAGAACGGCACGCTCCAATTAAAAGGCTCTCCAATAAGAAGGCACTCTCTAATAGAACGGCACGCTCCAATTAAAAGGCTCTCCAATAAGAAGGCTTTCTCTAATAGAACGACACTCTCTAATAGTAAGGCCGTCTCGAATAAAGAGGCTCTCCAGTAAGACGGCACTCTCTAATAAGACGGCACTCTAATAAACGGTACTCTCTAATAGTAACCCCTCGAATGGCCCCTTTCAATCAACAAAAATTACTATATATATTATATTTTTTCAGTTTTTCAACACTCGTTTTCACACTTGTTTTACTCCTTTTGCCTTCAAATTTGCCATCAAGGCCAATTTTAGAATGTTTTGGTTTAACAACACTAATCCATATAGCAATAGCTTTATTTGCTTGGATAACTTGTATTGAAATAAAAGTGGCAAAAAATGAATTAAAAAATAAATATGACGATGACGTTAGTGAAGAAAATAGAAATTTTAGTGATAATAGTACTATCCCCTATTCTCTTTGATTGAAAAAAATTTAGATTTCTATATATTTTTGTTGTAGATTTTATAAATAGAATTTTATTTTAAATTGAAAAAAAATAAATTTTTAAAAACTTTAGAATTTTTTAAAAAATTTTGAAGCTGGTTCGGTCCAATACTTGTAGTCTCCATATAATTTTGGCTTTGAGGCTAATTTGGCCCTATACTTGTAGTCTCCTTAAAATTTTGGCACGCCCCCAGTTCGGGCCTCCCCCTCCTCAAGTTCGGGCCATCTCAAAATGTCCAATAGGCTAAAAATACACAATTCGCCAACCATATTGAGTTGGTGAATTATTTAGTCAGAGGATTAAGGGATTTTGGAGGGATATAAGGAGATTTAGAGGAATTAAGAGGGTTCAGAAGGGTTCAGAAACTTGAAACAGCGAAAAATTTATTAAAAAAAAATTACAATAGTGAACACAAAAATACACATTATTTATATACAAATCAACACACAAATTTATATTTTTATTTATTCAGTTCTCACTTTTCGTGTTGTCATCGTGCTCACTTTTTGTGTTGTCCTGTTGATTTTCTTCATTTACACTAGTCTCACTTGTCATTGTTACCCTCACAGTGCTTTGGCTACTGTTGTTCACGTTATCCTTTGATGAAGATTTGCTTTGCGATGTTGTTGCCTTTTTATTGTCGCCTTCACTCTTTGCCTGCTTTTCCTTTAAAAAATAAAAAAAAATTTTTTAGAGGAGAAAAAAATTTTTTCCCACCTCATCCATCTTTGAGTTGGCCGCATTCGATGACTTTGACGACAAATTCGATTTAGTATCCAGCCTCGATTTGGAATCCGAGCGAGGGTCCTTCGCCAAACTACCCTCTCCCATATCTCCTGTCGTTCTTTTGGATGCATCAAAGATGTTCCCCAATCCCCTCCAGGTCTGGTAGTCTGGATCGTCCAATCGGCGTCGTGTCATTTCCTCGGGCATTTTATAAGCTTGCTCTAAAAAAATAAAATTTTTGAGAATGAAAATGAATTTGAAAATGACTCACTTTTAACTTGACGCCACGAATCAGAAACCTCCATCCGTTTAGTGTCAGGAACAGTGTCGTCATCGGGAACAGCAACACCAGCGCGCACGTCTTTCTTTGACTTATCAGAAGGTTTTGGTGCAGCAGGCTTTGGAGGTGTTGCTGGTTGCTTTGTTGCTGCGGTCTTCGTTGGATCAGCTACAGCAGGCGCTTTAGGGGGTGGTGTGAACAAAGCAGCAGTTCTTATCCCAGCAGCGCCTCCGCCACCAATCGCTGCTCCTTTTGCTGGTTGAGGTGGTGGTGTTTTTAGATGTTTCTGCTGCCTTCCTTTTGCTGCTGCTGCTGGTGGTTTTTCTCCTGGTGCTGATCCCTCCTTTAGAGGAATATTGTCTTTGCTCTGTTAATGAAAATAAAAATTATTTTGATCGGTAAAGTCCTTCCCTCCTTTCTCACCTTTCTGCTATCCACCAATGCTTGTTTTTGGATCTGACTTTTTGTTGCTGACTTCTTTTTTGATTTGCAGCAGAAGAGCAAGGACACGGATCCAGAAAGCGAGACAGCAACAAAGAAGAGAGCCAAGAATGGTCCAAAGTCGATCAAACTTAAAAAGAGAATACTTGAAGAGTAAGAAAAATAAAAAAAATTTTACCTTAACATGCCAACCGAAATAGATCAAAACCAGACATGGGCGAAACGTTTCGTTTCGTTTCGTTGTTTCGTTAGTTTCGTTATGTTTTTCCCTGTTTCGTCTCGTTTCGTGACGAAACACTTTTTAATTTGTTTCGTTTCGTTTTGTTAACGAAACACCTGTGTTTCGTTAACGAAACATTACCTATTTTTTAAGCCAAAATATTACCCAAAACTAAAAAAATTTACCCTTTGGTGATAAAAATTTAAGAAATTTTCGCCTGCGGCGCAAAAAATGGAAGAAATCTGGCTTAAGGACCTCCAAAATTCAAAAAATTTTCGCCTGCGGCGCAAAAAATGGAAGAAATCTGGCTTCTTTGCCTTCAAAATTCTGAAAATTTTCGCCTGCGGTGATGAGAAAAGACTCCCCCTCGTAAACCTACACAATGATGACCTATTGACCCTGAAGGCTTACAAACTTTTGATCAACACCATTTTTTGCTTTTATCTCTTTACAAGTTTAATCAGTCGATCTGTGGGATTAACGGAGCTAATGAGGGGTACAGAGTTGACCCCCTTTTTATTATTTTTAGAGCCCGTACTGGGAGTATCCGCAGATTAATCTTTTTGCATATTTTGGAGGGGAGGATCTTGCTTAATAATCCAAAAGTTTTGTCGTCAATTACTCATTTGGTAATGCGACGATTTCGACCAATCCCGATCCCGTGTCGGGATCGGTATCACCATTCCAAAATCCAGATCCCGGTTTTTCTATAAATCCCGATACCATCGAACTATAGATTTAGGTGAGATTAAGAGAAAAATTGGCTAATGGAACCACAATTTATGGTCCACTTAATTTTACGATCACTTATATGTCATTATTGGCCAATTAACATGCTTAAAATTGTGCAGTTAATAAAATAATCCAGATTTTTGAGATTTTTTTCGAAATTAAAATGTTTCGTTTTGTTTCGTTTCGTTTCGTTAAATTTTGACTGTTTCGTTTCGTTTCGTTAACGAAACGATTTTTAAAAATTTTTGTTTCGTTTCGTTTCGTCCGGAAAAAATTTGGAGTTTCGCCCATGTCTGATCAAAACGACGAGCGCCAATAAAGTTGAAGAAGCAGTGGAGTGCGAAGGAGTTGAGTTGATTGTTTGTAGCAACATTTTGTGGGCGGCTTTTATAGTACTATAAATTGTGTCTGGTGATGTCGTCAGTGAATGATTTGGGCAGTGAGGCAGTAGTGATTTGGACGGTAAACGTTTTTTAAAAAATCTTTGACGCAAAAAACAATTTGAGTAACATTTGAAAAATAATTTTGCGGGTAGGGGATTATTGGATCTCACCAGTTACACCCCGGAACCATATTTTGGGCCATAAAATAGATTATTTTCGTTAACTTGATTAATTTGACCAAATCATCCTACAAAAAGTTACATCAGGATAAGTGTGCGCAATCGAGATCTTTGATATTTATTTGGCTATAACTTTTTCTATATTGATCTGATCAGAACAATCCTGTTAGATAAAATAATCCATACATCAAGAGCTTTCGATTGATATATTATTTACCTAAATCGATTAAGAATTGAAAAAGTTATGGCCCAAAATATGGCTCCGACTAGAGACCGGCAAAATCGTGTTTGCGGGATCCCGCATGCGGGATTTTTTTTCAAAATCTTTGCGGGACGGGATCCCGCGGGATAAATCCCGCAAAATCCCGCATCCCGCAAAATCCCGCAATTTAAATTTGCGGGATCCCGCGCGGGATTGCGGGATTTTCCAAAAATTGTTAAAATTATCAATATCTATTTAAAAAATCAATTTCCTAATCATTATCGGGTTCTTAAATCATTAACGAGCTAATAAATATTCGTCAGAAAGTTCGAGTATACAAATTAGAATACGGAGCATACCTCAGTTCAGTCTAGTGAACGACATATCGACTTTTTCTTAAGGAAAAAAAGTCGTTTTAAAAAAATCTACAATTATTCGCGAACGACTTTTTTTTAAACACACAACGCCAGAACTACGTTAATATCGATGTTTTGCGCCAAACGATTGCGAATCGACTTTTTTGTGTCTCTTTTTCTCTAATTTCACATTATATTTCCTTTCTCTTTTTCTATTAATTTTCGTTCGTGTAGTCTCTCCTTTGGAATTTACAATTTTCCATTTTTATAAATGTTCAGTCCCTTTTCTGTAATTTTTAGGGATTTTTCCACATATCTATATTCTTACTATATGGAGAGGAGAAGTAAGAGGAGATGATGCCAAAAGTGGATTGAAAGCCTTTAACAGGAAGATGAGTGAAATTTTCATTGAAAATCCGGAAAGTCTTTCCATCATCAGATGTGCTGCTTACCTTGATCCTGCCGTTTGTTTCCCCACCTCCCCTAAAACAGATCTCAAATTAAAAATCAAGACAAACTTTTTTGTGAAATTAATTTATGTATCCGTGATTCAAAAACAAAGTAAATAATTATAAGGACGACAAAACAAAATAAATTTAAAGAAAAACAAAGTCAACGAGGAGATCAATCCATCAAAACCTTTTACATTAATTTAATCAACTTCCTCCATACGCGAAGCGTCCTCCTCTGCACCGGCAATCTTTTCGACAGGTTCCCCAGAAGTGCAGGGTTGTTGCTCTCCTCCTTCCAAGTCCTCTTCAGTAATATCCAATCCTAGTTTTACCATTCGGTAAATACGTGAAGCGTGTTGTTGTGGATCTTCAAGAGAGAAGCCTAACACTAAAAATAAAACAAATATTCCAAAATTCTTTAAACAAAATCTTAAATACCTTAATAACTTTGCAAAGTTTCTCAAATTTAACTTTATCTTCTTCAAACCTCGCTTCAAACCTCGCTTCTTAAAAAACTTCAAAACCTCGCTTCTTAACACGTTCAACAAAAGCTGAGTTTTGAACAACTTCTTTAGACTCGCCAGTAATATAATAAATGCAAGTCTGATTCTCCTTCATTCGTCCAACATAATCCTTCAAGCTAACAAGTTCATCGCCAGAAGAGGAAGTGTTGTAACGGAGATATTCGGCAAGCTTTTTACGGTTGACAGAATCTTCGTGAATACCCAACTAAAGAACAAATAATTTTCAAAAAAACATTTAAAAAACCTTAAGATTCTTGCTGAATTGTTCATAAAATTTCTTAAAGTTGGTCTTCAGCAATTTCATCAAAAAGTTCGATACACTTCTTGACCAAATTCTTTCGGATCACTTTAAGAATTTTGGATTGTTGGAGCATTTCACGAGAAATGTTAAGAGGAAAGTCCAATGGAGAGAATTCCAATGGAGAGACAACGACATAGAAAATTAATAGAAAAAGAGAAAGGAAATATAATGTGAAATTAGAGAAAAAGAGACACAAAAAAGTCGATTCGCAATCGTTTGGCGCAAAACATCGATATTAACGTAGTTCTGGCGTTGTGTGTTTAAAAAAAAGTCGTTCGCGAATAAAAGTAGTTATTCGCCGCGAATCGACGAAAACGTAGATATGTCGTTCACTAGTTCAGTCTATATCAATTCAGTATGGACCTTTTACTCATCAAGGAACGGTCACTGACATGTTCTTGATACCATTGGATAGAGGAAAAATTTCGAGATTTTAGAATCAAAGGCTCTACAAGTTTTCAAAAAATCAGAATTTTTGACCGATTGATAAAAAAGTTATGATATAAAAACCAACTTTATCAAAAAACGCGATTTTTTGGCACTTTTTCGAACATAACTTTTTTACCAGTTAGTCAAGATTTTTGATTTTCTAGTATATGGTAGCTTATTTAATGCTCTATCAAATAGTACCAGGAACATTAAAAATTATCGGCCCCTTCAAAAGTTATAGGGCGCGCGACTGAACTGAGCCCAGACTGAAACGAGGTGTACATATTAAATGGCTTGAGCTGAAACAAATGGGATCAATCATCGTGATCTAACAATTTGGACAATCTTGTTTTTATGAAATAGAGATGATTCCATGGGCGGCAGGCGAAAATTTTAGAAGGCCAAGTATCGAAATTCCTTCATTTTCAGCGCCGCAGGCGAAAATTTCGAGATTTTAGGAAGGCCAGCGAGCCAAAATTCTCCTTTTTCTAGCGCCGCAGGCGAAAATTTTTTGATTTAGAAGGCCATGAGCCAAAATCCTCTATTTTCCAAAAATCCCGCAAAATGCAAAATATTTTGCGGGATCCCGCATGCGGGATTTTTTTCAAAAAGCTTTGCGGGACGGGATCCCGCGGGATAAATCCCGCAAAATCCCGCATCCCGCAAAATCCCGCAAATCGAAAAAAGTGCGGGATTGCGGGAGCGGGATCCCGCAAAATCCCGCGCGGGATCCCGTCCCGCGCCGGTCTCTAGCTCCGACACTGAACCGGCGGGACTCAACTGTTCCGAAATAATTTTTTAGAGAAATTTCAAAATATATAATTTCAAAATGGTAATTCCCACAAATTATGCCTTTTTGTCACGCTTACTTTTTCCACTATTTTTAATCAGTTTCTAAACTTTTAAGGTATTTTTGCTTGATGTTTTATAGCTTTTTTAAGGTAAACTGAAGAGAAAAACCATTTCTATATTTAAATTTACATCTATAATGTCAACTAAAAGGTTTAATTTTTTATTTTTTTTTAATTTTTAAATTAATTTTAGATCCACTAAACGTCCACAACGCAGTAATAGTCGAAAAGAAGTCGTTCACAAATCTTTGTTAGAGGAATCTAGAGAATTGTTACACACATTTCACGTTTAATTTTAACTTTAAGAAGCTCTATTTAAATTATTTTTAGGTTCCAGATGTAATCTTAAAAAGAGAAAATGAATGTGCTGCAATCAGAAAATTTATTAGAGATGGAATTAAGACAAATTCAAATGTGTTTTCTCGTGTTTTGTGTATTAGTGGAGTTCCTGGAACTGGCAAAACCGCATCGGTTCTTTGGGTAAATTATTTTTTTAATATTTTAAAGTTTCTCTGGTTTCTTGACTCGTTTCAGAGAAATGTTTGTGGCAGTTTGGCCGACTTTTGTACATGTAAGACGGCCAAGAGTGCTGCAATGAGCTTGTCCCATGTTTATACGGATTTTGCCTTTTTTTTACCTCTCTTTATTTTTCGCTTTGCTATATTTTTTTAATATCCAAGTTTCTAATTTTTTATTTTTGGGGTAAGCGTCGGGGCAGACCGTCATTCCTTCTGATTGCTTTTTTAATTTATCATTTTCTCTAATTTTTACCACTTTAGGTTGTTGAATCCCTTAGAAAGACTCAAAAATTTGATTTCAAAAATATAAATGGTTTGGAATTGTCTGACCCAAAAGAACTTTTTGTTCAGCTATATCGTGTTGTAATGACTGGAATGACTGGAGCAAGAAAGAAAATTACTCCTCGGTTTATTTTATTTTTATAATATATGAGTTTTTTTTAATTTAGAGAAGCTCAAAATCTTTTAAATGATTATTTTACAAGTAATGAAACCAAAAGAAGGAAAGCGATTGTTGTTCTTATTGATGAGGTTTTATTTTGAAATCCATGTCGTGGTTAACTTTAAATTAGTGTTGAAGCACGGCTGTAAGAGCAGAAGTAGTAAAACGGGAATCCTTGATTTATTTTTTTCTCCTTTTACCTTCAAGAGAAGTATTGAAAAATACTAGTCAATTACCACGGTTGAAGGTGAACTAGGAAAAATGGGCGAGTCTTCTGGATTGATTTATATCTTTTCGGGCAACTGTTATCATCAGTATTTTTCAATTACTTCGAGTTGGTATTTTTAAGTCTGCTTTCACCTCATATCAATCAAAAAATTCGACTTTCGGATTTTTATCCAATTTTTGCTAAATTTATTAAAAATCGAAAAAAATTCAATTTAAAAGGTAGATATGTTGCATACAAAACGTGAAGATGTCATTTATGCAATATTCAATTGGGCAGCCGAAAAACAATCAAGATTCTGTGTGATTGCAATTTCAAATACTCTTGACCTTGCAGAAAGACAATTTTCACAAAGAATCGTCAGTCGGATGGTTTGATACTTTTTTTTGAATTAATTAGGAAAATTTTTTTTGTTTAAGGGAAGTAATCGCCTTGCATTCCAGCCATATGAATTTAAAGATATTGAGGAAATATTAAAACATAGACTCGGGGAATGTAAGGCTATAGGTCCTGGAACGATTGAATTGGCTTCTAAAAAGGTTAGAAATTTTTTTTTAATTTTTAAGAATGGTTTTAGGTTGCCTCTGTTTCTGGCGACTTGAGAAAAGCTTTTGATTTAGTTCGTCGTGCAATTGATTTGGCATTGGAAGAATGTGAAAAGCAAAATAAAAGTAAAAGTGAAGCAGAACTTCAGCCTACTCATGTAAATTTTACAAAATTTTAATAAGGAAATTTATTCTCAACTTTTGACATAAAGTACTTGGTTGATATTTACATTTAGTGGTAACTGAAAAGGGAAATTGGGCTTTATTTGCTTTTTTCTTAACATAATGTTTGGACTTTGTGATGAGACGGGTTTGGAAAGAAATTTGGGCCGGGTCTGATTGAGTTTTCAAAAATTCCTTGATTTGGTTTCGGATTTCGTTTCGATATAAGAACCGGTTTAAGGTAGCTCATTCCATCCCTGCTTTTGCTACAAGATTGATATTACTATTAATTTTCTTTCATACTCTCAAACATTAAATTTTATTGATATTCCTATGCCTTCTCTCTTTTAATCTTTAACAAAATTTTAGGTAATTGAAGCAATAAAAGAATCAATCGCCTCAATTCGAATGCAATTTTTCTATTCACTTTCAAAACACGAATATTTAATTTTTAAAGCATTAATTAATGAATTGGTTGCAACAGCTTTAGATGACGTCGATTTTTCTTTTGTTTTTATGAGATATAAAAAGTTGTGTACTTCTGAACATTTAATGCCTTTACCTTTAGAAGCAGCATTTTATCATATTCAGGAAATGGCTACGTTTGTTTTTTTTCTTTATTTTGATTTTTTTGTAATTTTCTTTAAAGTTTCCAATTTGTTGTAATCTCTTCAAAAAATATTAAACTCCATTGCCGAATTAAACTTGGATTTCCTTTGAGTGAAGCAGAATTTTGTTTGAGGCAAATGGATAATTTAACAAAGAAGGCTATTTAATTAACAATTTTTTGAAAAATTTTTGGGAAGGTTTTTAATTATTTTTTTATTATTTTATGGATACAAGGGAAAGCCTTTAGATAAAAATATTTTTCGTGAATTTTAGAAGAAAAAGGAAAAAAGTCCTGATGTCGAGGCAGGGGCAATTTTCTTTGAGATATTTAATTCTCACAATCCCATGCTATCCCCTAGTTATTTTTTGGGATAATTTAGTTTTTTTATTTTCTCAAGGGGTTAACTTTGACTTTTTTTTAAAATTCTTTTTTTTTAATATTTTTGAAGGCTTGTCCCTCTTTTTTATAATTTATTTGTCAATGGTTGATCATATTATACATTTTATTATTTTATTTTAATCTCATTATTTTATTTTTTGGCTTTCTCTTAAACATATTAATTTTTTCATTCACTTAATGGTTGATATATTTTTATTGATCTCTTTTTTTATTCATTGATTTTTGAAAAAATTGATTTTTCTCATATTTTTTTAATCGATTCATTTGTTTTAATTTTTTTAAATATTTTGATTTTATTTTTTAAATTTTTGTTTAAAATTTTTTTAGAAAGTTTAAAAATGACTTCGCCAATTAAAGAAAATGAAGAAAAATTGAGAAATGTAAAAATTGAAGGGGAAGAAGAAGAAGAGAAAAAGGATGAAGCAATGGAAGAGGAGAAAAAAGAGGAGGATGAGCAACATACGGGGGAAGAGGATGAGGTTTTTTTGTTTAATAAAGGAATGTTTTTGGGAAGCTTTTGTGGGGTAGGTGAGTGATGGTTTGGTTACCCGATCAGAAAATTTTTTTGAAGATCTAATCCACCCGTGAATGGACTTTGTAAATATTTAGGATTGGGTACTTGTTAGTTAAAATGGAATTTTCTATTGCTATATTCAGCCTATTTTAAGGCAAAAATTGACTTGTCTTTTAAAATAAAATTTTTAGGTAATTGTTGATGGTGCTGTACGTGGTCCAACCGAAGAATCGGAGGAATATACAGAACATGAAGGTGATGGATTCTATGAGGAAGAAGGGGAAGAAGAGTCAAGTGAAAATGGGCACAAACCTGAGGGACGTGCATCTAAATCTTTAGGTTTTTTAGTTTTTAAAATATTTTTTATTTTTCTTTTAAATTTTTAGTTCAACTTACACAACGTTTTATTGGATTTTTACATACTACCCCTGCTGGTTTGGTTGATTTAAATAATGTATGGGTTTTGTTTTCTTTTTCTACAAGGGAATCTGTTTACTTTAACTGAGAATTTAATTTATTTTTTGGTACTATTCGACTAGGGGTAGGGATAGTGAGGTTTTAGGCCTTTGAAAACGAACCTCTGCTTATGCCCTTGCCATTCGAAAGGGGACACTCGGCTTTCTATTGCGAGGTTATCATCGTTTTCTTGCAAGATTACTTTAGGCCTAGTTATGGCCAGTCAAACATTCTGATTTTAGGGATTTATGAGTATTAGGAACAGAGGAGGAAACGGAGGGATATGAAGCAATCGATCTCTATTTTTTTAGCTATTTTTTAGTCATTAAATTATTTTAGTTACAGGCGGCCGATAAATTAAATGTGACACAAAAACGTCGAATTTATGACATTACAAATGTATTGGAAGGGATTGGATTGATTGAAAAACGTTCGAAAAACGTTATTTATTGGAAGTATATTTTTACGATAAATTTTCAATTTAAAGAGAAAAATTTTTTTTCAGAGGTGGAAAGTTTCGAAAACCTGGAGGTTCAGTCGAATTATTGCCTGGGGAAGAAAGTAAAATGTATAAATTAAAGTCAGAACTGACCGATTTGGAAAGAGAAGAACGCTTAATTGATACACATTTGCGGTGGATGAGACAGGTAAATTTTTAACGATAATTTTTTTAAAAGGGAATTTCTGTGTCTAATTTTTATGTAGAAGGGCGATAGGAGCTTATTACGAGTCCAGTCCTACCTCAAAATCATAACAATTTTTTGTACCCCCTTAATTTTTTTGTACCTTAGCAAAATCATAACAATTTTTTGTAGTCTAACCTTTCATGAACCTTGCGGTAGGTTGGGTTACACAGAAAAAATTTTAATTTATATTCAACATGAATTCTAAAATGATATTTTTTAAATTTCTAACGGACGATAATAATATACTATTTTATTAAAATATAAAGAATATTCATCTGGGGTGTGTAATATGAATGACATCATTTATTTCATTCATTACTTTTTTACGAGAATTTTTAATTAAATTAACTATTTATTTTTAAATTAAAAATAATTTTTTAATTAAGTCCCTTTTCTGTTATTTTTTAGAGTATAAGAAATATATGTGAAGATAAAGACAATTTCAAACTTGGATATAACACACAAGAAGATTTTTTACAAGTATTTTCTAACAATACAAAAGAGATGGTTATACAAGCACCTCCTAGAACCTCCGTAGAAATTAATACACTTGGACAGAATAATGTTTTTTTGATTATTTTAAATTATATTTTTTTCCCTTTTTTAGATTTCTTTGGATGATGTTCGCTATGAAATGAAATTAAAAAGTTATTCTGGCGCAGCACAAGTTATTCCTGTTAATATGGGGGATTCTGAAGGTTTTCGAAGTTTAACACCGCCGCCTACTGAAAACGATTATTTACATTTGAGCTCGGAGGACGAAAAGTATTTTTTAGTATTTTTGTGTTTAATTTTTTATATTATTTTGTAGATCTGCACCTTCTCAACTTTGGGATTTTTTACACTTTCCTATACAATTTGTTCATACTCAACCAAGACAGAGATCGAAACTTGGAGATATTTCGCATGGAATAGTATAATTTTTTGTTTAATTTTGAGATGATTTAAGGGGTAAAGGGGGTTAATTGCTGAACTTTCTTTAAAAGAACTGTTTGGAATGTTATTCGAGATTCGGTTTTTTTGGTTTTCGATATTTTCCGGCCGTTTTCTATTTATGTAAGGGTCGGCTCGTATTTACTGTTCTTATGGAGGTTTCATTAATAATTGATAAGGCTGTCGGTTTCAATAAATTTTTGTATTAACCGAATGGATAAACTGACATGAGCTGTAAATCATAGGATTTTTGTTTATAGCTGAAATCGAAAATCCAATAGTTTTTCAATTAAGCTGTTCTTCGGGCCTTTGGGATCTTCTTCATACCCAAAATATTCCGAATTACTTAAAAAATTATAGCTTAAATTTTTAATAATTTTTATTTTTTAGTTAAGTAGAGAACAAAGTCACTCTTATGCTGTTCCAATCGAACTAAGCGATGAGGAGGAGGTAGTAATTGATGATGGTCAATTTAATTTGTATTCTGAAAATATTGAAAGGGAGGATCTCATTACTATTCATTAACATAAAAAATTTTTCTACAATTTTTTTAATATTTAATAAATATTTTTTTCGTATTTTTAATTTCAAATTGATAGATGATTTTTTTTCTTGTTAATATCTTGAATTATTTTTTTAATAGAAAATTTTTTTTAATTTTTATTTTAGAATGCAAAATACAAATTTTACGTTTCATGAGGCGATGAAGGATTCGCCAAACTTTAGGTTTTTTTAATTTTTTTTTGAAAAAATTATTTTGGTTAATTTCTAGATACGAACTTGGACAAAGTGAACGTTATTTTGACCGTCTTCACAAAAGAATGGAAGATGTTAGTTTTTATTTTTTGGTTTAAAATAGTTTGGGTGTTTTTTTGGGCCATTAAGAGACGTTCTAATTCGTTTTTGGATTTTTTTCTAGAAATTTTGACTGGTTTAGGTTAAGTGATTTGATGATAAATCCGTTTGAGTTTATAATTCTTGAACGAAAAAAAAACACTTTTTGCTATTTAAGAACTGATCAATTAAATTAAATCAGTCAAAATTTCTAGAAACAAATCCAGAAGCAAAGTAGATAGTCTCTTAATGGCCCACAAAAAACCCCCTAAGTGTTGGTTTTTAAAATTAGAGTTATTATCTGTTACATACATGAAACTATTTTTGATTTTTTCATCGATACGGAGGTTTCTTTAAAAAATTTTTTTTGTTATGTTTAGGTTAGTTTCTTGATTTTTTTAGATTAAGAGGAAAAGATGATTCCTCTTTAATTAATTTTTGATTTTTTCTAGAAATTTTGATCTATCCCCTTTTTTCTTAATTGTAAGAAAAACAGTAAATTGAGCTCCTGTATCGATGAAAAATCTAAGAAAATTTTTTAAAACAATTTTCAGATGGTCAATATTGTCGACATTGTAATTGGAAATGGTCAACGTTTTGTAGCTTCGTTGTAGTAATCCTTTAAATTTTAGATTTTGGCAAGTTTTAAAAGTATTTAAGTGATTTAACCGTGGCTTTAAACCGTCTTTGGTTGGATATGCAAATTGATGAAAATAAAAACAAAATGGCTTTGGATACCTACAAACAAATGTCAGATTCTCTTTCACAAATTGTCTATTTAAATAAATCGCTTGTTGACTTGGCTTATCCTTCTTTAAAGACGGGATTTGAATCTTTTATGAGACGTGAATTGGGAAAATTGAATGAAGTCAAAAGCCATTTTAATAATTTGTCGTCTTCGCTGTCTGAAGCGTTATTGAAGAAAGCTGCTATAAATAAAAATAAATTTCAGGTTTTTTAATAAAATTTTGTTGTGCGCCATAAAAATTTTTGGGGATGTGAAAACGCCAATTTTTCTGATTTGGCGTTTTTCCCCCGAAAAAATTTTTGCTGGCGCACACCTTAAAATATATAAATTTTAAAATAATTTTGTTAAGGAAATGCACGATGCAGAAAATTCTTTAACGGCAATTGGAACATGTTTCTCTCATACTGGACTTGATTATGTTGCCCAAATCAACATTGTTAATGCTCTCAAATGCCCAATAATTTTGGAAACTCTTTGGGCGTTTATTAAAGAACATGGAAATTTTTTTACTAAAGGAGCTCACTTTTTTGCAGAACAACAAGAATTTACTGTTAGAGATGAATTGGCAGCGCTTAGAACTTCTTACAAACAAATTGAAAGGCGAATGCAGGATAGACACACTTTTGTTCCTAAAGTAGGTGTTTTTATGAGTAATTTTAGGGTTTTTTAAGCACTATAGTTTTTTTTATAAGTGAGAGGGGTTCTTGTGTTGTGGTGAGTAGCGTTTTATGCTTTTTATTTGAAGTGGAGTTGGGTTTTTTATTTATTAAAAATTATAAAATTTTGACAAAAGGGAACATGGGTGCGAAAGGACCCACTGGTTCGGTTCCTTTCGTTTGTTTTTTAATTTTTTGTGCGGAGTTAATTTTTTGTTATTTTTCTTTTTGAGGCATTTTCTAAGCTTTTTTAAATTAAAATTATTTTTTAGGAAATTTTTCAATATCCATCTGGAATACCTACTGATCCTCAATGTATTATGGAAGGGTATTTTTTCAATTTTTATTTACTAAATTTTTATTATTTTTTAAAGTTATCTTTTCAAAAGAGCAACAAATGCTTTTAAAACTTGGAATAGAAGATGGTTTATGATTAAAGACAGTAAATTGGTTTGAATTTTCTCTAATTTTTAAATAAATTTTTTTGATTTTTAAAGCTTTATTTACACAAAACTGTGGATGGTGAACCAGAAGTCCCAACAGTAATGGAAGAAAATTTAAAGCTTTGTTTAGTTAGACCAGCTCCAGCATCAATAGAACGTGCTTGTTGTTTTGAATTGGTTACACCTTCAAAGTTTGAATTTTTTTGGAAATTTTAAATTGAATATTCCTTTTTAGAAATCATTTATTGCAAGCAGATTCTGAATCTCTTTGTAATGCTTGGATTAGAGCTATTCAACGGACTATACAACATTTACATGAAGATGATCAAGGAACTTATACACATTCAAGAAGATCATTTGTAGAGAATTTTGAATCAAAAACGCCACAATCTGTTCATTGCAAACTTGGTTAATTTTTTTATGTATTTTTCTCTTTTGTAGAGCTTCGAGAATGATCGAAAGCACATTCTCTGGGCGCAAAAGGCGTTCCCCTTCTAATTAACCAAGCTAGCGTCTCAAAATGATGAATATAAATAAATTAAATTGTAGGGAGGGATGGGGAGCACCGGGGAAAGTTTTTGGTGGGTTTAATTTTAACTGAAGCCTTACCCAGTCCTCCATCTCTTTTATAGAGGAGAAAAATGAATGTTACAAATTAATAATTTTAAATTTATGTAACAATCTTTAAAAAACTTTAAAATTTTTTATTTTTTAGATACAGCATCAACTTCATCTGCCAAAAGTGAAGGGGGAGGAGAACATTCTTCGGAATCTTGTAGTCTACAAGAAAGGTTTCTTTGATTAAAAAAAATTTTTTTTTTATTTTTTTTAGAAAATCAAATCTTGGCATTACAACCACTTCAAGACATTCTGACAATGAAAAACAAAATATGAAAATATTTTTAAAAGAATTACTTTCTATTCCGGGAAATGAAAAATGTGCAGATTGTGGGTCAAGAGATGCAAAATGGACAAGTTTAAATTTGGGGGTGAGGGAAATAAAATTTTTTTCTTAAAAATTTTTATTTTTAAAGATTATTATTTGTATTGAATGTAGTGGTGTTCATAGAGGTTTGGGTGTTCATTTTTCTAAAGTTCGGTTAGTTGTGTTAAGAATTTATTTGTAATATCCTATCTTTTTTTTTCTCGGTAGCTATTTTTTCCTCGGTCTTTTTATCCTAGTCCAACGGAGCTGGTCGGCGTTTGGTCCCAAAAGTAGTAACCAGGGCTGTCTGCAAGTAAAAAAATTTTCCGCAACCGCAATTCGCAGTCCGCAAGTCCAAAAAATCACGCAATTTACGCATCCGCAATTGTGGACAGCCTTGGTAGTAACCCACTCCCCAAGATGCATCCACTTATTAAAAGAAAGCTTTCTCTTTTGATTATATATTTAAAAAATATATTTATTAAAATATGAGTGAGATAGAACCTGGTCAACTTTTGGGCTGAAACAAAAAATTGGAGATTGAACGAATAAATTAGCATTTTTTTCCTTTTTGAGTTCTTATGAGGGGCTAAAAATTAGCATTAAATACAATAATTTCTCAACTATGACATTATTAAAAATTTTTTTTTTAATTTTTTAAAGTTCACTAACTATGGATACATTAGAATTTGAACAACGTAATATTCTTTTAAAATTAGGAAATAATATTGTAAATTCAATATTTCTTGTAAATCTTCCAAAATCTGGACAATCTTCTGCTTTTGGAATTGATAAGGATTCTGACAGGTTTTTTAAAATAAATTTTGGAAAAAAAATTCTTTTAAGAGAAAAGCGAGAAACTTGGATAACCAACAAATATGTTCACAAAATGTTTGCTCGATCATATTTTCGTCCGCAATGTATTTTTCTTTCAAAAAAATATTTTCTTAATTTTTAGCTCATTCACGTTCACAAACATCTCTTTCCATTTTAAAACGTAAAGATGAAATTTCTAGTCAAAAATTAATTGAAGACAAAAAAGTAGATGAAAAAAAGGAGGAAAATAGTCAACAAAGTATTTATATTTTTAAATAATAAGTTTGCGGACTCACGTCAGATTAGGGATGTTACTAGGTTGAGGAAAAATGTAGAGTCACTGCGGATTTAAAGTATAGTAAAAGTGACCCGACTTTTTGGATAACCTGTAGCATCCCTACAACATATGATGTCACTGACAAGGCTCTGAAAAAAATTATCGAAATTTTGGTGCAACTCTGGTCAGGAGTAATTTTTTGGAAGGTCTTTCAATACTTTGACATGGGTTAAAACTCATAATAAAATTCTAAAAACATTTTTTGGTATTTTTAAAATAACAGTAAAGTCTGATGTGAGTCCGCAAAATTCGTCCAACAAAAAAATTTTTTTAATACATATCAAATTTTTATAAAATTTTCAGAAAATAATTCTTTAACAAGAAATTTGTCTGGATCAGATTCTAATTTGGTGCAGTCTGCAAAAGAATCAATTTCTGAAACAGACAAAGAATTTACCAAAACTTTGGTTAATTCAATAAAAACTGGAAATATTGCAGAACTTTTTAAATGGATTGTACAAAGAGATTTTGATTTGGATGGTGCTGTTAGTGATGAATTTATGACTTGTTTACATGTTGCTGTTAAAAGTGTGAGTTTTTTTAGTTTTTTCTTGTTTTGTCCGCAATATCTGTCCGCAATTTTATTTTGAAGAAATTTTTGCCAAAGAAAATTTTTTTATACTTTTCACAACATTCTGCAGGTTTTAATTATTTTTCCGACTATTTTATTAGCTTTTATTTATTGCGGATAAGCGGGCATTTTTGCTAATTTTTTTAATTCTCTAAAATTTCTAAAATTTAAAGAGACAAGCAACAGTTGTGGAATTTTTGCTTTTAAATGGTGCTAAAATAAATATTTGCGATTGGAAAGGGAATACAGCACTTCATTTGGCTTCAATGGAAGGATATACAATGTATGTAAATTTAAATTTGAAAAAAGTCCGCAAAAAATTTTTGTCCGCAAATTTTGTCCGCAAAAATTCAAAAAAAATTTTTTTTCAATTTTTCAGAATAGTTTATCAACTATTAAAACGGAATGCTGAAAAGACAATAAAAAATGATGAAGGAAAAATTCCTCTTGATATTGCAGTTGAAAAATGTCATGCAGATATAGTCACATTGTTAGTAAAGAAGATTTTTAATTTTTCGAAAAAATTTTTTTTTCAGACTTAGACTTCATGATATGAAAGAAGAATTTAATGATGACCAAAATTCAACATTAGATGAAACTGTGGAAAGCTTTATTGGAGATTTGGCTGCAATGCAAACAAATCAAAATTAGAAGGAAATAAGCATTAAAAAAGATTTTTTCAATTTTTTACTACGCATAACTTTTAAAGGTTTGACTTCACTTGTAGATGGGTACACCCTTGGGACTAAGATATGTTTTGTATCTTAAATTGATTGAGAATCAAGAGACCTTGCTCACAAACTGACCATTATATATGCCCATTTTTTATCGCCTCTATCAATGGTCCTTTGTACTTTCTATTTGAACTCAACGGTAAGACATAGTTCGGGTAAGTCTGGTTAATTGGAAGAAAAGAACGCTACCATTTTTAGAGCAATGGGGGTTCGTATTCCGAGTGAGTTAAAGAATTTTAAAAGGTAACGGTGTAACATAATAATTTGCACGTCAAAAGCATGGCCGTCCAGTCTTACCCGAACTGTGTCTGACCGTTGAGTTCAAATAAACGGCATAAAGGACCATTGATAGATTGATAAAAAATGGTCATATTGGGTGTACCTACAAGTGTGAGGTTTGATTTTATTTTAAATGTTGGGGGAAATTTTTAAAGGTCCTTTATTTATTATGAAAAAAAAGTTCTTGAGACAAAATCTTTGCCAAATATTATCTTTTATAAGCCTTTTTGTCACCGAAAATGTGTGCTTTTATGTAAAAGAAACATTTTTTCTATATTTTAATTTTGTTTAGGCTACCCAATAGAAATAAACTTGCTTGAAAAAATTTCAAAAAAAAATTTTTTGGATAGCCTAAATGAAAATTCTTTAATTATTTTTCCATGAATTTCTTTAAATTGACCTCTATTTTTTCCTATTTTTATTCATCTATTCTTTTCATATTTTATTTATATAGTAAAGCTTCTTTTTATTTATGTGTTAAATTTAATTGACAAAAAAGAATTTTTTTGAAAATTATTTGTAAAATATCGAAAGAAAAATATTTTTTCTAATTTTTAAAAAATTATTTTTGGATAAATTTTTTTAGAATGCTAATGAATCCAAAAGAAACTGATCTTTACGAGACAAAATATAACAATTTGCTGGAATATTATTGCCATATGGAGCAGGTTTTTTATTGAAAAATTTTGAAATTAAAATTTCTAAAAAATAGATGAATAATCGTCTTAAGCATCGTCTGTATCATGTCAGGAAGGAAATTAATCACTTGAAGCAGCTGAAGAGGTTTGTCTTGGATTAATTTAAATTTGGTCTTGAAAGAGGAGAAGGTAGGGAAAACTCGGTAGAATTTGAACATCCCGGAAAAATTAGAGGATGAAGAGTACGAAAATTCGGGAAGACCGATGCTCCGAGGATAAAAGTTCTGGAAAGGAAAGCTTTGTACTTGAAACAGGGTTTGCAGTACAAGTGAGTTATTGATGGAATGAGATTTGAGAATTTATTTACCAGACATCTTGTTTCAGCAATTCCCTACGTTTTTGGGTCAAAATCCCAATTCCCGAAAAGTATATCTTTTTTATGCCTACTAGACTTAATTGAATATTAATTTTTAATAATTTATAAAATGTTTTTAGGGTCCTGTGTGAGCGGCTGTTAATGCACCGTGCTGTAATAATTGATTCAAATTTGGAAATACCGGATAACGAGTCTAGTGTGTCATTGAAGGATAATAAAGGATATGGAGGAGATGTGAATTATATTTTAAATAATTTTGGATGTTTTAATTTTACGGTTAAGACAATAAATAATGCTGAAACAGAAATGGTTAATAATACTAATAATGGAGGGGGAAATTCGACGAGGAAAAGAAAAATGCCTTCTAAAAAGGAAAATGGAGGAGGAGATGAACAAGGGGGAAGTTGTAATAATGGTAATGTTAATAGTAGTAGTAGAAGAAGTGGTGGTGGTGGAAGGGATGTGAGTTTTTAATAAATTTTTTTGGTTGGTTGTTAAATTTTAGGAAGGTTGAGGAGGGTTGTGATTTTTAGGAGGATTTTTTTCGGAGGTCTTCATTTGAGAAAAATAGTGTTTCTACAGGCTTTCTGGTAGTTATCTTTCATCTCTTGGAAAAAAATAATTCAATTTTTTTGTTAAATTTTAGGATAGGGGAAAAGGGCAAATTTTGGATTTTGAGGGATTTTGGAATTTTTTAGGGAAAATTTTTGATTTTTTGAGGGTATTGTTGTTTGAATTTACTGACCTTGATTTTTATGAGATTTGAGGATTTTATTCAAAATTTTCGAAAAGTCAAAACATATTGAAATTATTACCCAAAAGAAAACCGGTCCTTTGTTTATTTTTTTTGATTGACAAAAATTTAACTAAAATTAGCAAAAAAAATTAAAAAAAACTTTTTTCAGAATAAAAGACGCAAAGCCCGCGACGAGGCAAAACAAAATATAATTTCTATAATTGAAAGTATTGTTTCTGATACACCAAAATCAGAAGATTCGGTTAAATCTGAAGCTACTACTAATGGTTTTTTTATTTAATTTTAACAAATTAATTTTTTAAAAAACAGAAGCTGAGAGTGCACACCAAGAATTGTCTGATGTTCCTACTCCTACTGAACAAAATTTAGGTTGAAAAAAATTTTTTTGAGTTATCTTGTTTTTATTTTCAACCGTTAAAATAAGTAATTGTAAGTGGGGGATCATCCAAAAACTACATAAAGAGCACAATCATTGCTCTGGCACCAGCTTATATTTTTAAGGATAAGTTTATAGCGATTTTAAATTTAAATAAAAAGAGGCTAATATTTATGTTACACATTAAAATTGCAATAGGATATAGTAGTGATGTTCGGGAGAAGAAAAAACTCGAGAAACGGGAGTCTGATCGTGAAATGACCTCGGGAGTCGGGTCGGGAGGCCAAAAACTCGGGAAATTTCCCGAGTCGGGAGTCGGAATACCCGAACATCACTAGGATATAGTATACAGGACTAATTTCTTTCATGACTATAAAATCCGTCTATAATCTGAACTTTTTTAGGATCATGTTCTAATCAGAATATTGAAGAAAATAAGACATAAAAATATTATGAAAAATATTATGTATTCTATAAATATTTTTTTATTTAATATATATTTATGTATTATAAATTAAAAAGTTTACTACAAAAAAATTTTTTTCGGTTAAAAAAATCCGATTTTTGTTAAATATATTTTAATTTATTTAATTCAATTAAATTAATTTTTTTTATTTTTCAATGTTTTTAATACAAAGATATCCATTTTTAATAAGAAAATTTTCAACATCTTTAAAACAAAAAATGCGTGTAATTCCAATACCTGCAAATGCTGATAATTACCAATATTTAATTATTGATTCAAAAAGTAGTAAAGGGGCAATTGTTGATCCGGTTGATGTTGATGGAGTTGGTTTTTTTTTAATTTTATTTAAAATTAATTTTGATATTGGGGAGATATTTTATTCAAAGGATACTTTAAGAAAATGGTGCGGCCTTTAAATACCAAACCGCCGAAATACCAAACTGGAAATGATGTCCAAATGTGGGGAATATTGTTTCAATAATAAGAGAACGACCACCTAGGAATTTAACAAAGCATTTTTATTGATATTACTAGGTCCTTTCCATAGTTTGGTATTTCGGCGTTTTTTTAGTATTACATCGCGGTCCAAAGAAAAATTAATTTGTGCTATTTCACAGTTTTGGTAAAAGTGTAGTAGGTAGAGGCTATAAATTTTCGTTAATTTTTCAAATTGTTTTTTTATAGTTCTTCAATGTCATTAAAAAGGAAAACGCAGATTTGTTTATGGCACTAGTGACACATCATCATTGGGTATTTATTTTTTTTTTCATATAAAATTTGTCTGATAATTTTTTGAGTTTAGCTTTATCAAAAAAATTTTTTTTCTAAAGGACCATGCTGGGGGTACAGAAGAATTAAAATCAAAAAAGTCAGACGTTAAAATTTATGGTGGTGATGCAAAAAGAATTAAATCTATCGATTATGTTGTGGAAGACAATGAAGAAAGTGAATTTGGAAATTTAAAGGTTAAATTAAATAAAAATTTTTTTTTAATTTTTATTTTTTTCTCTTTAAAGATACGTGCCTTGAAAACACCTTGTCATACATCGACACATGTTTATTTTTAATTTTATTTAATTCTAAATTAAATATAATTTTTTTATTTAAGAAAAAATATTTTTCTTTGCGTATTTCACGTTTTTAGTCAAAAACTTTATTAAAATAATTATTGCCCGCCAATGGGGTTCGAACCCTCAACCTATTTTCCACTGAAATATAAACATATACCACTTGACTACTAAGACCGCTTTTTAAGGGGAGCAGAAAAATTCGTGGAATGACTGATTTACTTTGAAAAAAAATTTTTAAAAATTGAAAAAAAAATCTTTTAGATTTGTTATTACGTTACTGATGAGGCTGAAAATCAAAAATGTGTTTTTACTGGTGATACTTTATTTATTGGTGGATGTGGAAGGTTTTTTGAAGGGACGGCAGAGGAAATGAATTATGCTTTGAATGAAAAACTTGGAAAATTGCCTGATGACACGGTTAAAAATTTTTTTTATTTTTTTATTTTTTTGGGGCTTGGCACCCAAAATCTTTCAAAAATTCTTTTGGGAGTAATCAAATTTTTAGAAAGAATTAAGGGATTTAATACAGACATGAAATAGCTTAAAATGTGAGGGGCTCTGACTTTAGAGGACATAATCACCGACTATTATAGCAGTTAGAAGGAGAGGAGGTACAGGCAGATGTGCTAGTATATTTTAATGTTTAAATACTTTTCTTTTGAAAAATTTTAAAAACTTGTATTACCCCATTTATTTTTTTTTGTTAAATTTAACAAAAGAAAATGGGAAAAATAAAAAAAATTTTAATCGTATTTTTTAATTTAAGTTGACAGTTTTGAAGAATATAATAGAAAATTTGAATAAATTTTCACGTTAATTCTTCACATTAAATTTGAGATATTTAAAAGAATATAGAGAATGTGCCCTCAAAATAGATTAAAAATGTCAACTCTCAAATTAAGAAATGCGATTAAAAAAATTCCTAAAGATTTTTCAAACGAAAAAGAATTAAATTCTGCGAAAGGCGCGCACCCCTGCTAAGCTTTTATTTAAATTTAGCGTTTGGGAATTAAAAAAGAAAGTTGGCAGTTTTTCGGTTTTTTGAGTTTCTATTATATATAATTTTATTTTTCTCTAGAAAGTTTATTGTGGACATGAATATACAATTAAAAATCTTGAATTTGCATCGAGTGTAGAACCAAACAATCCAAATATTTTATCAAAATTGGAGTGGGCCAAAAATTTAAGAAAACAAAATGGATTTACTGTTCCATCAACAATTGGGGAAGAAAAGACATTTAATCCTTTTATGCGTGTCAAGTAAGGTTAAAATTTTTAAATTTATTAAAAATAATTTTTTAAAGCAATGTTGGAATTCAAGAAAAATTGGGTACTCTGAATGACCCAATTGCTACAATGCAAAAATTGAGGGATTTGAAGAATAAATTTTGATAGAAAAAGGAACGTTTATTTATTTTTAGAGGACAAAAAAAGATTTTATTTTTTATTTTGAAAAAATTTGGAGAAATTTTTTTATTTTTTTATTTCCGAAGCTGTTGACTAACAAGTTTTTTTAACTTAAAATATATTTCAGAATTTCTTGTTTTTTTTTTAATTTTCTTTTTTTTACTAAAATTTCATTCATTAAAATGGGATCTCATCAATTCTTCAATGAAAATCTCGATGGCCATCAAACATATTTTCCAATTTCACAACAACGTCTATTATCTTCACTTCCATCAATTAAAAATAAAGATCAGTTGTACAATATAATTTGCAAGTTTGTTTTTTTTAAAGATTTTCCTTTTAATATTTTGCTTTGTGGACCGATACTCCTTTCAATTTTTCGATTTCATTTTCCTATGTTCAGATGCCTAAATCCAGACGGGTCATCTGTAATCCAATCTAAAGAAAATTTTGAAACCTCCGAGTTTTTTTCCTAACCCGACCATTCCTACTTTTATTCTCTATCTTGTGCAACCGAAATATTTTTGATAGTTAAGATAACTTGGTCAGTAAGAAACTTTATAGATGGACTGAGAAAGGGGGAAATCGGCCCATGATTATCAAAATATATCTTTCAAATCAAATCTTTTCTAGTTCAATATTACCTCATACTCATTCCAATTTGGAGCCTTTACGTGTTGGAAGTTTGGGTGATATTCTTCTTACCCGTGAGGAATACAAAAGTGAAGAATTTGATGAGCAGGATTGGATTACTTTGGAAAGATGTTTGTCCCTAGCTTCTGTAATTAGAAAGAAAATGGTTTTGATTTCAAATTTTTTACAACAAAATTCGGATAGAAATTATTTTTTTCAACACAAATGTTTTAAACCAATACGTGACGTTCTTCAAAATTTTTTGGAAGAAATTACTGAATCTGTGCAGAGGAAGAGAAGTGTTTTTAAAGGTTTTTTGAAAGATTTTTGGATTACTTAAAGGTTTTTGGAATTTTTAAATTAAATTTGAAAATCGTGGCAAAAAATTTGCGGACCCCCCGCAATGTTCGGGGCCGCAAATTTCGAGCCCGATTATTGAGATCCGCAAAGTTCGGTGCGCCTTTGAAAATATTTTCCCGCCTCGAAATAATTTTTTCAGGCCTTGTGTAGTTTACCCCCCATAAGCCCCACCCCTTTTCCCTCTTTTCCTCTCCCTTCCTTTAGAAAACGACCATCCTATAAAATGACCATTTGGGTCAATTTTTCATTTTTATTGTGGTCATTTTCTTAGGAAAAGGAAGAGAGGAATAAAGAGGCGGAGATTATGGGGGGTAAACTACACAAGTACAATTTTTTAATTCGAAAAGATTTCCTTTAAATTTTTTAAGCAGCGTTAGATCGCTTTTGGTTCATCTGACAATATTTCCTCCTTAAATTGAAATATTTAAATGACTAAAAAAAATTTTAAAATAGATCCTTGGGAACTTTTCAACTTTCTCAACCTCTTTGCAAAACAAATTGATCCAGTTTTCTTAACTTTCCAAAGTTTGCTTTCTTCAATGAGTATTCTCACTATAAATGATATTTTGAATTTTTGGAAATGTTTTTTGCAAGAAAAAATTAATTTGTGGGATTATAATAATAAATTGGTTTGTGTTTATTTTTTTATTTTAATTTAAATTTTAGTTAAAATGGCAAGAAGAACTTTTTGAAGGATTTGTGTATTTAATTGGAAAATGTATTTTGGAAGAACTCAGGTTTTTTTTTAATTTAATAAAATGAATTTTTTGGTAAATTTACTGGGTTTATGATTTTTCAATTTTCTTAAAAATTCAAAAAAATTCTTAGAATTTTTAGTTCAACTCCAGAAAAATTTTTCGGCTCATTTATGAATTTTAAATTTTCTTGGGTCTCTGATTTTCGAAAAATTTTTTTCAAAAATTCAAAATTTTTTTTTTTAGAATTTTTAGTTTAACTCCAAAAATTTTTTTTGGTTCATTTATGAACTTTTAATTTTCACGGTTTTATGATTCGCTGAAAAATTTTTTTTCAAAAATCTAAAAATTTTCTCAAAATTTTAGTTCAACTCCAGAAGTTAATTTTCTTTCATTTTTGGTTGAGGCGGATCAATATTTACCCAATATGCTCTCATTTTTGCATCGATGCCTTATTTTAATGCCAAAAACTATGAGTGATTCACTTCCTTTATTTGATGAAATTTTTATTGAATTTTGGGAAAATGCAAAAACGAAGAAATGGTAAAAGACTTTTAAGAATTTTTTAAAAAAATTTTTTTTAAGTATTCGGTATACTTCAACATTTTTGTCAATTTTAATTGGCCAATCCTTGGATAAATTTTCAACAAAAATTAATTCTATAGTTCTTGCAGAGCTTGAATCTTCACAGACAATTTTATTTTCTCATTTACAACATATCAAGGTTTTTAAGAAAAATTTTTTAGAGTTTACCCCTGAAGACTGAAGGCCCTGAAGAAATAATTTTGGGAGGGGATATCAAGGTATTAATGTAATCGGAGGGGATAGAGATCTTTACTCACCCAGAGTTGAAGTACACACTCACAATACTGCATCATAAGTTCTAGAATACAGAACCTGATACTTATCTCTCCTTAAATCCTCTAAATCCCTCGGAATTCCCTTTCAAAATTTGAAGGTCTTCAGTGTCAATAGGTTTTCGGGGTTGACCCCATTTTAAAATTTTATTTTAAAAGTATTTCTTTTCAGCAATTTTATTCCTTAAATACTCATGCTTTAGCCAATTTATTCAAAAATTCGAATTGTGTTCCTCCTTTTGAAAATTCCTCTAAAAATTCAACCTTCAAATCAACCAGTTGGGTTATTGTTGAGGAAGAAGTGAAAAGACGGCTTGGATGTGTTGGTAATTCAAACGAGGATTATGCTAATATTTTCTATAAAAATGTTAGGTTTTTTTTAATTCTAATTTTTTCTTTGAATTCGGGGCGCTTTGTGACATAAGGGCAGATAGAAGACAAAAACTCGATCGGTCGATCAGCTCAATCCCCTTCAATTGTTCGAATCCTATTTAAACGGAAAACCATTTTTAATAAAGCATTGGAAGAAGCCTTTTCATGGTTTATATTAGCATTTTTACAGAAGAATTTGAGAAATACTGCCTAAAAATCGAAAATTTTATTTTCGATTTTAGGGTAAAGAAATAAAGTCTGGAATCCGACTAAAAATTTTTAAAAAAATCGTCAAAAATCAAAAAAAAATTTTTTTTAATTTTCAGCAACACTGGTCAATTTCTGTCTTTTTAACTCCAAATATTTACAAATCTCTGGATTCTATATTTCTTCGTCTTTATAAAATTATTCTTGCTTGGCATACATTAATGAATTATTCAAACTTATTAAAAATAAATTTTAGAAAAACAAAAAGAAGAAATGCTTTAATTTTTTCTTTTAATAATTTAAAAAATCAAATTCAAAAAAGATTAAATTTGAAAATTATTCATTTTCTTCAAATTGTTATTCAAGCAATTTTGGGACAGGTTTTTTTATATTTTTTTTTATTAAAAAATTTTAAAAATTCCGGCATATCTTCCATACTCCGATTTGGACAAAAAATGTCTTTCGGAAGAACTTGATGAGCTGAGTCAAACGAACACCAAAGTTAACTTCTAGAGATCGAGCTGAACCTGGACCAAGGCTCAGGTCCTTCCTGTACCCAGGGTCCAGATCCAGGCATTTTTTGAACTTCCTGAGTTTTTCCTGGCCCAGAATCCAGTCCAGGCCTATAGCTCTAGAAGCCCCCACCCCTTGCCCCACCAATGTTATGGAATATAATTTGCATATTCAGATTTTTGACCACTAAAAATAAGCTTGGACCCTATATGGGTTTTCGATTTCCAGGAACTTTATCTCAGCACATGAATGAATCCCGAAGCTAATTTTGGTGTCGTTCGATTCAGCTCGTTGAGCTTTTTTCGAACGACATCCTGTTTGTTCGAATCGGAATATAGAAGATATGACGGAATTTTACCCGAAAATTTTTTCAGTTAACCTCAATAAATGATTATTATATTAAAAAATTGGTTGATCAAATAGAATCTTCAAATCCATTACTTCAAAAATTAATTGAAATTGCCAAAGAATGGAATGAATGTCTTGAATCACTTTATGTTAGTTTAAATATTTAAATTTTGGAGGAAAATTGGAACTTTTGGGTATACCTTCCTCAAATTGTTCGTAAACTAATGCCGACTTCGGAACTTATATGGTTTGGGTACTCTTTTTTTAGCCACGCCCTCTTTTCCTTTTCCCTCACCAATCAACCTTAACATGGACAGAATGGTCAGCCTTTCTTTCTTCCTCGATTTCACTCAATTTTACCTGTGGCATGTTTAATGAGTGACATAAACAAAGAAATGATTAGTTTTTCTTTCCAATGTCACCCAAATAAGAATTAACATTTGAATCAATATTCTTATTTTCATCTATTTCAGTTATTTAAATGTCAATAAGTACCTGGGTTTGTGTTTAAGAACGAATGGTCCGGTACTCTTGCGTTTTTAAAATCATATAATTCTCGAAATATTGACCATTTCACCACTTTTTAGACATTTTTGGACCTTTGTAACTCAGCTCATTGTCAGAGATATTTAGCCACGTAAAATGAAGCCCAAAAAAAAAACTCGATCGGGCCGGCCCGATAAAAATGTGGCCCGAAAAATGACTCGAACGTCGGCCCGACTCGAAAACCCCAGCCCTAATCTTAAAAAAAATTGACCTCAGCTGAATTGATTGATGGATGAGTAAGAAAATGAGTTAAGAATAATGAGGAAAAGGAAAAAAGGGGCGTGGCTAAAAAAAGAGTACCCAAACCATATAAGTTCCCCGACTTCAATAGGTTTACTTTGACCGTTTTGAGCTTTCGGATAAAATGGAGGTGTGTACCTGAACTAAGCAATTTCCGGAAAATAACCTAATTTTTTAAAATTTATTTTCTTATAATTTCGAAATTCTAATTAAAAAATTTTTCTGAAATTTCGAACAAGAATCGAGCTGGACCAAGTCCTGGGTTTTTCCTGTACCCAGAGTCCAGGTCCAGGCATTTTTTGGTCTTCCTGGGTTTTTCCTGGGCCTGGGATTTTCGTGGACCACAGGCCCAGGATCCAGTCCAGGTATAGAAAACAAACTCCAGAATTTTTTGAAATTCTAATTTAAAAACCTCGATCTCTATTTCGACCCACAATAAAAATTTTTCTAACTTTAAAAAAATTTTTAGTTTTTCATCACTAACACACTTGTTGAACCTTTGGACGAGATTGTAAAAATTGTAAATGAATATGTCGAAATATCGTTTGAATCTACAAAAACTGATGTAAATAAAGAGGAGGAGGAAGATGACGACAATGATGTTAAAAAATATTTGTCTTTACAATCCAGACTTGAACGAGTATATTTATTTACAATTAATGTAGAATCTGAGGAAGAGAGGACAACTGAACGACAACAAATATTATTTTCGAATGATGATGAGAGGACACCAAAAATTAAAGATTGTCTATTTCTTATTAAGATGTTGCTGGCTACATAAAAATTTTAGAGAAAAAAATTTATTTTGACCATTTTTACATTTTTTTTAATTGACCATTTTACAAATGTGGCGTTTTGTCGCGCTTTTTATTTTTTCTTTTTTTGTTATTTTTCTGATTTTTTAAATTGATTTTCAGATTTCTTTTATTTATTTTTACAAGAAAAATGGCTTCTGCAAATATTGACCAAGAAATAGTGCGTGAATCGTTGGAATGCCCAATTTGTAAAGATTTCTTTTCTGAGCCTAAACAGCTTCTTTGTGGACATACTTTCTGTCAGGGATGTATTGATGGATTGGAAAAAGTTATTTCGTCATTTGGAAATGACTCGGAATTTGGATTTTTGCATACAATTTATAGTAAAGGTTTTGATTTGATCTTTGTTGCTAAATTCATTTTTCAGCTCGTTCTGCTGAGGCACGTCGCTGTATAAATCAACGCTTGAATGAGGGTCAAAGTAAGAAAGTTTATGTTTTTTTGGAATGAAAATGTTTTTTCCTGGGGATTTTGGTGGGTGGTTTCTCTACTAGTTTAGAAATCCTGCTGTCCGATTTTCTGACAAGTTCGAAGACTTGGATTACGATTAGGTCTTATCCTTGTGATCACTGATGGATCGCCTAAACAAATATTTGGATATAGTGTAGTGTACCGGATGCAAAAGTTCGTGACGTGACATATGTCATTCGTTTCGTAGTTGAGTCGAACGGTATCACTCCCTACTTTAGGAAATGATTCTGGACCTAGTAATAGGTCCCGAAATATTGAAAAACCATGAGGGAATCACTACAGCCAGATATTTTTCAGTTCTTAAATGCTTTTCGAATACTTGTGACGCAGATTACATTAAATGCCCCTCCCTTTTTACTTTAATCTTTCAAATTTTCTATTAAAATTTCTTATTTAGGATATTCCATTATGTGTCCAAACTGCCGCAAGATGTCTCTTATTCCTGAGAATGGATTGAATACTAATTATGTTGTTAAAGGTTTTGTTTTTTTTCATCGTATTTTTTAACTTGATTTTTAGAAATGGTTGAGAAATTTCGTTTCATTTCGTTTACCAACAGTGGATTTAATGGGAATGACTCATCGGCTGATTCCGGGGAGAAGAATACGTGTTCTGGATGTTCTCGTCCAACACCTACAAATGAATTGTTTTTTTGCAAAGGGTGTGCTTCTGTTACGAATAAGAAGGTCTTGAATTTTCGTAGTAATTGGAGAGTTGGTTTTGATGGACTCCAAGTCCATCCAAAAGTTTATAGCCTTGGAGCCATACAACTTTTGGGGTTAGGGTCAAAAAAGAAGAGAATTGGCAATAGTAAACCGACCTCATTCTACACATTGGCGTGTGTTCTATTCCAAAATCATTTTCCTTCTAAAATTTTTTCACTTTCCCCATTTCAGAGAGGCTATAGCCCTAGAAGCCCTCCTCCCCTGGCTACACCCTTGCCGTTTTCTCTTTCAAAATTAATTAAAATATTTTCAATTTAAAGTTTATTTGTTCTCTCTGTGTTTTGAAAATGCACAAGGATCACGATGTCATAATGTGCTCAGATTTTGCTTCGCATAAGGACCGTGAAGAGGCTGCTAATCTTATAGCCGATGCTGCTTACAGAGCTCGTTCTCACGTTGAAAAAATTAATGGAATTCATGAACAGTTTAATCGTGGATTTGACTCTATTAAACAGGTTTTCTGAAATTTTGTGAGAGTTGGTGGTGTGGAGTTTTAAATTGCTGGGAATTTAAAAATTGTGGACAAGGGATTAGCCGAGTTACCAATGCCCCCTCCAACCTTAAAACTGACTTTTTTCTTAACCGCCCACAGCAGATCAGCCTGTTACTTCTAGCCGTTTCAGTGCAGACTGAATTTTTCTCTTTTTCTTTTCGCTCTATTTTTTTCGCGTGCTATTTTTATAGGGATATGTTCATTTTTGAGGTGCCAACTTAGAGAGGATTTATCTCGACAAAACGTTGGATTTTTAAAATTCTGTCTGGCAAAAACATAGATAATACCCTAAAGATACTTTTTTAAAAATAATCCCGAAAATAAACCAGTATTTCGCTTTATAATCATCCATTTTGTATTAAACGCTTTTAGATTTATTTTGCAAGTAGACGGTTCCAAAGTCTTTCGAATTATGTATCAATCGATTCGTCTCGTCGAGCTGAGTCGAATGGTACCACTCTCCATCATAGAAATGACTTTGAACCGAAATACTTGCCTTTCTCTTGTTTTCGCTTTAAAACGGGTTAAGACTCTAGCTAAGACTCTAAAAGGGTAGTAACAGCCTTTGCCTATTCTGATCTGCTGTGACCGCCGTCATTCTTGTTGCGGACCTAAAAGCGAAATACTCGATTATTTTTCTGAAACTTCAATTAATTTATTTTTTATTTTCAGAAATTGCAAAACAATCTTGAACCTTTTGAAGCCTTTCATCTTGAATGTTACGACAGTGAGTCCCACCATTTAAAAGAAGAATTAGAAGAGAAAGTGCGTAAAGCTAAACAATTGGGTGACCGTTTTTCAATGGTATAAAATTTTTTAAAATTAAATTTTAATAATTTTTGTCTTTTTTAGACTTATTCTGAACTTGAGAAAATTGCAAAAAGTGCAAATCGTTATTTTAATTCAATCAATTCTGCTCCCGATTTTGATCATCAAAAACGTATTTTTTTTCATTTTTTATTCTTTTTCAGCCTTTTTTTCGCTTTAGGTGCTCGGTCTTTCTTTATTGATGACGCTGGACCTTCAACTTCTACAAATATGTTGACTCCATTTATGCTTTCGTATGTTTTTTTATATAATTTAATTTGTTTTGTTATTTTGGATTTAATTGAGGACTGGAGTATTTGGGAATTAGTACTATATAAACTGATTTGAGGTCGGACATTTTTTGTCTCTTCAGGACGCCTGTGTTGATGACCACTCTTTCGTTTGCAAAAGACGAAATAAAAACGAATGAGTAAAAACGAATAAAAACGAATGAGAGTCAACACAGGCGTCCTCAAGAGACAGCTATTCCTGTTAGACGAAAAATGTCCGACCTCTAAACTGAACCCCCTTAAAATTTTGATGACATTTCATCCCATGATTTAATTTTTTCATTTTCATTTTAATATTTAAGCAATACTTTTGCCTACAATTCGGATAGAAATCAGCGTCAACAAAAACGTAAACCTCGACAACGCCACTTAAATTCTCCACGTATCGATCCTCGACTTGTTTTGCGTGCTAATCCTCCAGTTTCTGATGATTCTACAAATATTTTGGAATTGAGTTAAATTTTGTTTGGAGGAGGAATAGAATTTCTGGTTGGATTTTTTTGATTGGAATAATTGGAGAGAGAGAAAGGTTTTTTGATTTGGAAAAAATTAATTTTGATTTTTTTTGATTAACTTTTTTTTTGAAAAATTGACTTTAAAAATTTTAATTTAATTTAAACTTTAAGAAAAAATTTTCTTTTAAATTATTTTTGGGATGGAGATTGGACACATTTATTTTTAATTTAAATAATTATTAAAAAATTTTCTTTCTGGTCCAATCTCCTTAAATTTTGCTTTCATTTAAAAATTGTGTTTTGAATGGATTATATAATTGTGTAGCAACTTTTCTTTTAAATTTTGGATAAAATTTTTCATTTTTTATTTTTGGAATTTTTAAATTTTTTAAAAATAGTCTTCATGCCTATTTGTATCTTAAAAAATTTTTTTTAATAATTTTTCAAAAATTTTCTGAAAGAATGCCTTGTACAAGTTGTATGGTTGACTACTCTAGGAGTAAAAAAGAGGTTTTTTTTAATTTTATTTTTTAAAATCAATTTTTTTCTAAGTTTGGCTGTGCAAAATGTAAATTCAGTTTTTGTCGTAAATGTCTTCTTTATGATGTGGTGATACCTTCAATTTCGGCACAACCTGTTCCTGTTTGTTCAAATTGTTATTCTTTATTGGTTTATTTTTGATATTTAAATTCTGAAGGAGGTTCGGGATTTTTTCATTGAATAAGAAAAATATTTTTGGATTTTTTTCGTTAACTAACGGCTGGATATCACAACAATGAAATTTAGTTATAGGTTTTGAATCCGAAAAAACGATAAGTAACCCAAATTTAACTGAAAACTAAAAGAGATTTTAGTTTAAATTCTATGGTACAAGGGCGTAGACAGGGGGATACTCTTTCGAATGAAAAAATTTTTTTTCATGAACTAATGGCTGGATATCACAACAAATTCATCTTTCAGGGAGTTATTATTCACCCCAGCCCACGGATACCTCACCCCCTTCCACCCAGCCCCTCGTATACGCCCTTGCTATGTGACAAATAAATTTTGAGAATTTCGGGTCTTTGCCTAGGAAAAAAATAAAACCCAAATCCTTTTTCTTTAATTTTTTTTTAAAATTCTCTATAGAATCAACAACAACAACAAAATTCTGAATTATCTAAAGACAAAAATCGAGAAATGCCTTCAAATATAAATTGCTGGAATGGAGAAGATTTACCCCCTCCTTCATTAAGACCTCTATTTTCTTCAAACAAAACTTCAAAACAAAATTCAAAATCAAACAAAAATGAATGGAAAGAATTGGAAGAAAGGCTGGAAAGATTGAATGAACCTATTGAATCTGTTAAAGAAGAAAAAAAGAAAATTCAAGGAATTGGACAATTAGAAGAAAGATTGGCTGCTTTGCGTGGAGTGGATGTTGATATTATTAGAAGGCCGGGATTGGTTGGTTTTTTTTTAATTTTTAAAATATTTTCTCAATATTGAGGTATTTTTTAAACTTTTATTTTGCCGGCAATGTCCGCAACTTTTATTCTGCAAAAGTCATATCTCGTTCGACTCCTCAACGTTTTGAACTTTCCCTCTATAATGAAACTTGCGAAAAAATAAATAGGACGTTTAAATCGATAAAGAAATTCAACCAACATATTTTTGTGTTCTGTTTCGCTATTTAGGAAGACTTGTAATTTGAGGATAAGAATTGCGGACTTTCCCGGCATAAGCAAAGAGTATTGTAAAATAAATTAAGACTTTTTTTATTTCAGCTTGTAGTAAATCAAGAGGAAGGTCAAACAAATGGTGATGATGAACGTTATGAAAATGAGGCTATAAAATTATTGAATGAGGTTGGATAATTTTTATTTTTTAACAAAAATTCCTAAGTTATAAGATAGTATCTTTAAATAAGTTTTTGTAAGTTACCTATGGTGTAGTGGTAGTGTTCCTGGATTTTAGGCATTTTAGATGAGGGTTCGAATCCACGTGAAGAAATAGTATTATTTTCGCTACTTTTTCTTTAAAAATTAGGAGAAAATTTTTTTGAAGTTATTCTCTTTCATTTATTAATTTTTTAATTTAATTTTTTAAGGCCGAACATTCACTTCAACTAGGTAAACGATTGCCGTCTTCTACTTCCAATCCTCACAATAATTCTGCTCCGAATAATAATTTAAAATCTTCTGGGTCAAATCAAGATTGTTCTTCGATAAATTCTTCGGTTATAAATGAGGTTTTTACAAAATTCTTTGTAAAATTAATTTATTTTAAAAAAGACAATTGCACAAATAACAGCATCTAAGAAGAATGAGAACAGTACTGGTAGTATAAGCAGTTTGGATCAACAAAGTTTATATCCTAGCCTTGAAGATTGTGTGAGAAAAGTAAGGAGGAAATACTATAATTTTAAAGAATTTTCCTAAGTTTTCTCATTTTTAGACTTTGGAGGACGCTAAAAACGCAGAAAATGAGGCGGTTGAATTCCTTCGTTCCCATGGACAACAACAATCATCGAATAATGAGGAAAATGAAAATAACAGAAATACTGGGGAACAACAAACAAATAATCAACAAAAACATAAAAATCAAAATTTACATAAACTTTATTCATTTTTTAAAAAACCTTTGTTTCGTTAATTTATATGGAATTTTTTAATGTTTTAAAATGAAAAGAGAATTGTAAAGATTTAATCCCAGCTATAAAAATTGGCAAATTTGTTAGTTATTTAAATTAGGTTTGGACCCTGTCCCAGGAATGTCAGGGAAGTTGGTGTTTTTTATCTCCGACTTTCCGTTTTCTCACCGTAGCCTAACTTGAGATGAGTATGTCATTGTTTTATCACATGAAAAGAGTACATCGTATAGCTTCTTTATTAATCAAAATTTGGTCCTATTTTTTAAATAGACGAATTCTGGGTAGGGGACGATTCAGTATCGCCGATTCAGTATCGCCAATTCAGTATCGCCGATTCAGTATTGGCCGATTCAGTATTTGGCTTTTTTGGCCATAACTTTTTGCTCGATCAATATTGTGGGAATTATTATATTTGATTTGATAGGCCTCGGGGTGCTGCATCTTTTTCATAATTGGACTGACCTGATCTTATCACTCTACAAAAAGTTATCACTGATAAACGACGTCACAGGCATAAAGAATCGGTTTTCACGCTGTAACTTTTTTTGTGATCATCAGATCAGATCGGGCCAATTATGAAAAAGATGTCGAATCTTGAGACCTTTCGAATGATATGAGAATTATTCAAATCGGTCGAATATCAGGAAAGTTATGGCCATATACTGAATCGGCGGATACTGAATCGGCGATACTGAATCGGCTATACTGAATCGGCGATACTGAATCGTCCTTAACCGCGAATTCTAGCCTTTTCCTTCCAAAATTCTGAAAAGTTTCGCCTCTGCTGGTGGCACTCAAATGCCGCCTTATTTTTTCAGAGTTTCTTTGAATATTACACTATTTTTTAAGAATTTTCTCGGCTACCCTACAACTCATCGAATCCTTAACTCATCGAATCCTCAACTCATCGAATCGGCCAAAAACGATCAACTCATCGAATTTTTCCAAAAGGGGACGTTTGAGTCCCCGTGTTTATTTTTTAGATTTTTTATTGTTTTGTTTATTTTTTTTTGTTTTCTTCTGAGGTTTCAACTAATTTTGTTAATTAGTTGATCGGGCACTCATCCAAGTTTATCCGGCCAGTGAAAACATTATCAGAACATTATCTCATGCCTGAAAACATTATCTCATTCCTAATAAATTATGCTGGAGATTTTACCGGGTAAAACCGGACCAAATTAGTCCAGTAGACCCCGATTATGCCCAAAAGCCCTTTTTCCTAGCCTCCATAGCAGCAAAAAATTTTTTCAACGAAGATTCAGTTAGCCCTTTCGGGAGAAAAATAAAAACAGGGGACTCAAACGTCCCCTTTTGGAAAAATTCGATGAGTTGATCGTTTTTGGCCGATTCGATGAGTTGAGGATTCGATGAGTTAAGGATTCGATGAGTTGAGTGTTTTTGGCCGATTCGATGAGTTAAGGAATTTTAGCCGTTCGATGAGTTGAGCGTTTTTGGTCGATTCGATGAGTTAAGGATTCGATGAGTTGAGCGGGCACGATTTTCTCTAACTTTTGAATGAAATCATTATTTTTAATATTAAACATTTTGCCAAATTACGCTGAAAATTTCTTTTTAAAAATTACAAATCCCAAACAACTTACAAAAAATTATAAAAAATAATTTTAATAATTAATCTGTTCGAATGTAGTGATGGATCAAATGAACATATTGAAACTGGACATGCTAAAAAGGATTTAATTTGTTTTATTGTATAAATTACTAGATCCAAGTTTCCTTGTTGATTGATTTCATACACAAAGTCTTCCGGAGGTAATTGTGCTCCGACGACTGTATGTCTAAAAATTTAAAGTTTTTTTTTTGGTTGAAAAATTATGCTAAAATAGATTTTCAGCTTTAAAAGATAAAACTCCTTCACGTGGAATAGAACCATGGTCATGAACTTTAGAAGCAACACAAACCCACTTAACCAGACTTGCGAGACTGGGACATAAGGGCGCGGCCGTTAAAAATAAAAGAATGACCCCCGCGCCCTTTTGACCGGCGCTCTTATGACCCCAACCCGAACTTGCTTTAATACCAAACTTTACCTATTCATATACTGCGGTATTCTTATTTTGGTCCTAAAGCCGTAATAAAAATTTCTTACCTCTCAATAAGTTTATCAGTCGAGGGATCATAGGCAAAAAGAATCTGTAAAATTTTTGAATCTTTTAAACAATTTTTTCCCAAAAACCAAATGTTCTCTTCCATCCCAATATTTTGCTCTAAATTCCTTTCCAAGTTGGAACGTCCAATCCGCATTTTTCTTTGCCCCAGAAAGCCACTTACTTCCTTGTAATCCCTGTCCAATCATCATTCGATAACCGGGACCAGTCGGAAATAAGACGCGGGTCAATTTTGGGGGTTTTACAGTCCTCCTCATTTCCTCATTGTAACCTTTAAAATTTTTTAAATTAAATAGTGGACCAAGCTAGAAGGTACACCCTTGCGATTGAACATTTTTTATCGTAAATTGAGAACATTCATTATTGGGGGATGTAAGGGAGCTGTCGATCAGTTATTCCTTAAGATCCCATTTCAATTTCTATTGTGATCCCATTGATAGATGTGGTCCCACATGAATCATTGGTAGATAAGCTCCCTATTAACAGAAGGAGCTTAGGCAACCACAACTTAAAAAATTTTCTAAAAAATAATTTTTTATTGGGTGTATCTTTAATGCGGTCTACATATATTATTAAAAATTTTCTCCCAGAAATCCTCTCATATCCAGATTCTTTTTTATAGAAGAATCCTCCATCTATTGAAATATTTGTACCTCTATGTTTTGAAATCCCCTCCTCATTTTTAACAAATTCTAAAAACCACTATCAACAAGCACACCTTTAGCAGCCAAATACGCCTCCCAATTGTCACTATTTTCATATTGAAAAGCCCCAAAAAATTTTTGAGGGATTAATTCTTGAGATTTAATTAAATAAATTAAACAAAATAAATAGAAAAAGGAAAAATAAATTTTTGGAAAAATCATTTTTCGGAATTTTCTGAAAAATAAATTTAAAGGGGAAGAAAATTATTAGTATTTTTATTGAGAGAAAGAGTGAAAGAAAAATTAATATTTTAAAAAATCAGGTTTTTAAATTAATTCTTTGCCCAATAGAAGAAATAAATCTTAATTTTAAAATAACCTTTTTTGAGAGCAAAATATTATTTTTCTCTCATTATTTTAGTAAAATTTAGCGAAGAAAAAATTATTTATTCAAAAATTTCAAAGGAAAATTTGTTCAAAATATTACTCTTTTAGCTTTTTATTTCGTTTTTAAATTTTTTAATTAAAAATTAAAAAATAATTATGAATGGGGTCGAACACTTTCGTCAAAACACTCTCCACAAAATATCAGTAAAATATTCTGAAAACAAGACAGTAACAGCGAGAATCGAATCTCGTTATCTCTATTTTTATTTCGAAAGGGTTTTGAACTATGAATCATAAACGCTTTTTTGAAGGCTTTCCAGTAGTGCTATCGGATCCTAGAAAATCCCAGGATAACAGTAACCGAAAAAAGTCTTTGATTAAATTCCAAACTGACAACACTACTAGTCACCCACGTGACAGGATAAAAAAGGCATATTGACGCGATTCTAAAATCAGAATTTAAAAAAATTATTATTCACCTCCTTACTTCAAAAATATTTTTTTGTAAAAAAATTCAAAATAAATAAAATATATTTTTTAAACAAAAAATTATATTACAAAAAAAAACACCCAAAAAATTAAATCAAAGCCACAGAAATGGGGACAATTACTTAGATAAATAGTAAAAAACAAAAAAAATGTGAGGTGATTTGAGAGAAAATTTGAGTTTTTTTTAAAGTTGTTGTGTGTGTAGAGTATTCAAAATTCACTGGAATTTATTTAGATAAGGGAGGGAATGGCGGTAAAAAAATAAAGAAAAAAATTTTCTTCGTTATTTTTTGAGTGATAATTTGGGTAAGAGAGAAGAGGGTGAGAGGGAGGGAGAAGCCTTAGAAAATTTTTAAAAAATATCCAAAGGCTAGAAAAATTCCAAAATTTTCACAGACCCCAGTAACTCCTATATAAATTTCAAGAAAAATTTCCTTATAAACCTCAAGTTAAGAAGGTTGAAAAAGTTAGGTAGAGACATTTTGTCCCAGAAACTTGGAATTTTTTAAATTTAAAATTTCCAAAAATTCTGGATTGCTTTCGGGGTTTTTTGAAAAAAACAACAATTTTTAAAGCGAATATAAACACAAAATTTCATATCTCTAGGTTAACCAGGCATTTATCAAATTAATAATTTTTAATTTATCCCTTAAGCGTTACCGCGTGTTATCCTCTCAACCAAAGGAATTTTCCAAGAGTTTTTTACTTCATTTTTGTAGCTAAAACATAGCTTTAGCATTTTTTAAAAGAACTTTTCTAAACTATCACAACAAGAAGTAGCATTAAAAATTGCTACCACTTCCGCCATACCCGTTTTGCCTTATAAAAGGTGGTCTAATATTATTAACTAAAAAAGGTGATGAAGAATTTTGAGTTGAAGAAGAAGAAATTGAAGAAGAAGAAGACGAAGAAGAAGCAGCCAACAAAAATGGAGGATTTTGTAATTCTTGGTTAATTAATTCCATTAATGTTTGTCTTTTAAACATTTGAGCTTCACGTAGTCCCAATTCTAACAATTGACGTTTACAATCCCTTGAAAGTGTTCTCTCCGAAACAATTTCCATTAATTGTTTATGTAGTACAATACCTTCTAAAAATAAATTTATCTTATTAAAAAATAAATTTGTCTTTTTTAAATGTCCGCAAGTTTTATCCGCAAGTTTATCCTATCAAACTTCTTTAGAAAAAAGGAAGCATAACACGTAAAGGAGTTGTTATATTTAAGGAAATTTTGGAAAATTATGTTGATTTTACGTCCCAAAATAATTCCTTACATTTGTTTTTTTTTAATAAAATAAAAAATAAGACTTGCGGAAAAACTTGCGGATATTTTAATTAATTTAAGGACAAGATACTATACTAGCTAAAATAAAAAACAGATGAGAAAACCCAAAGATTAAGAATGTTAAAACCCCTTAAAAACTTTTCTTACTTTTTTAAACAGAAGAGATAATATTCCAAAATAGTTACCTATTTCTATTAAATTCTTTTTAAATTGTCCCTAGCCCTATTATAATTAAAAACCAAAACAAAAGATTTTTTAAACAAACTGGGGCCTATTTGTCTACAAAGCTGACGAATTTGGCGTTGTTTTTGAAGAAATTCTTTATATGAAATTGTTGAAATGACTGGAGTGAAAGAAGGTATTTCAGTTTCTCCATTATCCAATCTTGGCCTTTTAAATGGTTTTCTTTGATTATTTTGAGAACTTTTTGGTTTTTCTTCTTCTTCAAGTGAAGGCATTGAAGAGGAAGAAGGTTGTTGGAAATCATCGGCCTCTTGCAATGTTGTTTCTAGAAAAATATGAGGTAAAACAAATTTTTAAAGGAAAATTTGCGGATCAAAACTTGCGGACAAAAATCCGCAACTTTTTTTTGACCGCAAAAAAAAAGTTGCGGACAAAAAAAGATAAAAATTTGGAAATCGAAATAATTTTGGTTTTATTGGTTATTTGCAGCCGGTAGCTGTTAATTTTGGACATAAAAATAATTATTTAACAAGCCCTATAAAAGGATTTTCTAGTCCGCAAAATCCCTCCCCAAAAATTTAAGAGTTCCATGATCAAAAATATACCTAAAGTATTCCCTTTATTATTACCCCAAAAATTAGCTTTTTGTTGTTGTTGTTGAGACTTATCCAACTCAATATATTGAATATCATCTTCAAACCCCTTCTCTTCCATTTCTTCTTCTTCATTTATTTGGTCTTCCAAATCTTCTTCTTCCAATTTATTCCGTTCTTCAAAGTCTTGGGCATCCGGAGGGGCTGATTGGATCTCCAAAATGTCAGTAGCCATTGAATTTGAATTGTTTTGATTTCGCATTGATCTTCGACGATTTCTTCAAAATTTTTAAAAATTTAAAAAATTTCAAAGAAAAAAAACAAACTTCCAAGCAAACAATCTACTCAAATCCAAAGGACCCGGCCTTCTTTTAGGTCTAGCAATTACTTGTCCACTACTCCCCGGACCTTCAGACGAAGCTCGATTCTCACGTTCTCTTTTACGTTGTTCTCTTCTTTCAGCACTGCTTATGGAAGAGGAAGAAGAAGGCTCGTCAGAATTTACATTCATTTCTCCAACCTTTAAAACAATAAAATATTAATAAAGAAGAGCTTAAAAAGAAAGTTAAATTAATGAAAACGCAAGGAGACTTAAATCGAACCGAATATTCCACAACAAACGAAAATGACATCTTTGGTGTAGTGGGAAAATATTAGATTTATATAGAGGTGAGGATGGGGTTCGACACACTGTGAGGAAAAAGGAATGAATTAAAGAATTTTTGCCCAAAAGAAAAAAATAAGAGAACTAGAACAAAAAATTTAAAAAACCTCATCAACAATCGACATATTCTTTTTATCCAATTTAAAAGGATTTCCAAAAGCATGCGGTCTAGCTACTTGTGGTTCAAGTTCACGTTTAGGGCCTAGACCTATTGCATTTAATGACTTCATATATTCCTCGTAAATGCCCATCTTTGCGATTGGTAAGTTGTGCAAATCCTCTAAAAAATTTGGAAAAAATTTCAAAAATTTCTAGAAAAATTTTCAAATAATTTTCAAAAAAATTTTTAAATCTTCAATTCTTTATAAATTTCAAAAAAAATTCCACAAACCTGCATGTTGTAATTTAATTTTTTGTCCAGGCAATCCACCCTCCAAAACATGTAAATTACTCGTCTGAACTTGCTGATCAAAATTTAAACGCATTTTATCCAATTGAGAATATAAATTTTCTCTCGCAATATCAAAAGGATTTTTAAATTGAAGTGAAGGAATTAATGTTTGTGAAGGTGTTTCTAATAATAAAATATTTGTATCTTTAAATGCATCTGCTGGAATGAGTGATTTAAATGGAGCAACTGCTGGCCGAAAAGTACAAGAAGTTAAAGCTCCTTTGCCAAGTTGACTACGTGAACGAGAAACTTTTACCTTTAAAAAAAGTATTTTTAATAGGACTAGTTTTATTATTTTTTGCGGACATTTTATTTTTGCGGACAAAATTTTAGTATTTGCGGACATTTCTTGTCTAAAACAGGGCTCCGATTCGTACTTTATTTGAAAGTACAGTACTTTAAAATAGACCTCCGTACTTACTAAATTGAATTTGTACTTTATTGAAAGTATGTACTTTAAAATCAACATTTTGGGTTGAAAATGAAATTGGGGAAGGGATTGGGCAAAAATGATTTTTTTTTGGCCTACGGCCTTCGAAATTCTCAAAATTTTCGCCTGCGGCGCTGAAAAAGGAAGAAATCTGGCTTCTTGGGCTCCAAATTTCAATAAATTTTCACCTGCGGCGCTGAAAAATTTTCGCCTGCGGCGCTGAAAAAGGAAGAAATCTGGCTTTTGGGCTCCAAAATTCTAAAAATTTTCGTCTGCGACGCTAAAAATGGGAGAAATCTTTCTTAAGGATCCCAAAATTTTCGCCTGCGGCGCTGAAAATGGTCGAAAGAAAGTAACTTGCTTGAGGTTAAGACTGTCAGGGCTTTACTTCTTGTGTCAGCGAATTTTGAAATGTCATGCAAGGAAATGCACAAAATGCTCAGTGGAAACAAGAAATTATTAGAAAAGATTCATTTGGGAGAGAAAGATAAAAAATTTGAGCACGAATAAATAATTTTAATTTAATTTGGAGTGTACTTTAAATTTGGAAATTTTGTCCCTATGTCCTTTAAAATCGAGATTTTTGTACTCTTGATTGGTATTTTGTCGATCGGAGCCCTGGTCTAAAACCTATTTTGACATTGTTTTACAATTTTTAAATTTATTTCTAGTCTAAATAAACCCTTCAGGAAATATAAAAGTTTTTTTAAAAAATCGAAGAATTCTGCCCCAAATTTAAAAAAATTCTTCGAGTAAAGTCTGGTCTAGTGGTATCGTTCTTGACTATACCCTTATTTAGATGGGGGTTCGAACCCGTTTGGCGCCCAAAATATTTTTTTTCTTGAGAGTATCTTCCTATTTTAATTTCTTAACAAAAAAGCCAAAAAATCAGTAAATAAAAACATTTTTAGACTTACAAAAGAAGCAGAATTTGGTGGAAGTAAAGAAGTTTCTTGTAAATTTTTGTGAACAGCATTGCAAGCAGATTCCTTTAAAAATTATTTTTTAAAAAATTAATTTAAATTAAAATATTCTTACAAATTCTTGTTGTCCTTGGTGTTTAATACGTGTTTGTAATGCAACCAAATTGCAATAACCATAAAGTTTAGTATTTGCTTCTTCCAAACAAGGAGGCATTACTTTTATACGACTTAGGGCGTTTTTTAGGCGCTAGAAATTTTAAGAAAATTTTCTTGAGAAGTTGGATTTTAAAAATATTTTTTATACAATACAGGAATTTCGTGACAGATTAAAACCATAAAAATTTGAAAAAATCTTGAGAAAATTTTTTGCAAAAAATTTAATTTTAAAAAAATTTTGCCCATCTTTTGAGCATTACGGAACCAAAAAAATTTATTTTTAAATCAAAATTTAATTTAAAAAACCCTTACAGAGTAGTAGTACGCAGGAACGGTTTTTAAGTATTTCTCAAATTTGTGTTGAAATTGTGGATGACTGCTACCAATTTTTGGATCTTTCCCCATTGCCAAAAGGGAAAGAAGTTCTGGATAATTATAAGGCATAACATAAAGAGTAACTGTTGCCGAGGTAGAAATTTTAATATATCCAAATGGAAAACCAAGTCCTGGTTGACGATAGGAATTTTCAACAAAAACCTAAAAACAAAAAGATTAAAATCCGCAAGCTAAATCCGCAAATTTTATAAAGTCCGCAAGTAAAATCCGCAAAATTTTTTTAAATCCGCAAAAATCCACGAAATTTAGGAGAAAAAATTTTTTACACGTAAAAGAAGTTTAAAGATATTCTAAAAAAGGTGTTAAAAGGGTACAACCTCCTGTATAGAGTAACTTATAAAAAATGCGGACAAACTTTTGCGGACAAAAATTTATGAAATTTAATTTGGAAAATTGAAATTTTATTAGAACCTGCCAACAAAGATTAGACTCTTTCACGTCAAGAATAAATTGAGCTAAAGGAGAAGCACTATCCAACTCGTACTTGTCCAAAGGGAAGTCAGTATTGAATAAAGGCTCAACACGTTCACAACGAAAAACAACTATTGGGTGAGCATTACGAGGTGGCAAAGAAGTCCTAGAAAAAAATTTTTTCTTGGAGAAAAAGGAAAAATAAAAGAATACTTGATCGAATCAGGCCAATAAGCTTCTGGAATTGGCCAATGACTGTGTTGTTGCCCAACTTTGCTTTTTATTAAAACTAACGAATTCTTCCATTGTTCATTACTTTCATCACGTTTGGATTGGTCATTTTCTTCAAAAAAAGAAAAAAATTTTAAACAAAGACAGCCCCTCAAAATCCCTCGGAGCGCCCCAAAAACCCTTCGGAGAACCCAAAAAATTTTTTCCCTAAAAAATAATTATCTAAAAACCATCTATTCCATTGGGAAGAATCGGATCTGGTCCTTGTTTCTGAAAGCGTATGATTATTCCATTAGTTTGAATTTTCTGGATAATGTGATCAATACAAGGAGTGAGCGCTCGATGTGAAGTTATTGAAAATGAACGACCTCAAAAATTTTTTAAATTTTTTTAAATAAATTTTTCCTTCAATTAACCTCCCATTTCCTCCGCAAAATTTTGTGCTATACTATTATCTTCTGGAGGTACAAGACCTTGCTGTTTAATTAGAGGGTGTAGATGACCTGGCAACCTCAAAACAATAGGGAAGAGACGTTGATCCCACCGATACCCTTCAACAAAAAGATCGCTGCCTGTTAAAAGTCGAGGTTTTGGTACTGTCGCCTAAATTTAGAGGATTTTCAAAAAATTTTTTAAAAAATCTAATCAGACTTCAGAATCTGGCAACGGCAAAGAAGAGCCATCAATCACTGGAATAATAACCACATGTTCTGCATAGCTTGGATACCTCCCAAACCCAAAGGCTTCGATTGACGCGCCAGAACCGCTCTGCATACGACTGACAAGTAAAAGCCTGAGGACAGAGTCGAGACAAGACTCAAATTTTAACGACCCTTTTGCTTTAAGATTTTTTAATTGTTCGTTGAATATCCGTTGGCTTTCTTTCCATCCCGACTAGAGGAAAAAATTTTTTTAAGTCAGAAAACGAAAAGGCAATAGTTTGTTGAGACCCCCATTTTTTCCTAACAAACATGGAGGTTGGGGATTTTTCGTCAACAAAATTATGACCGTTTTTTAATCCCTTATGACGACACAAGCTTTTCCAGCAGGATTCAACTTCACTCCAGCCCTTGAAGAGCTCATTCAAATGCTTTCAAAAAAGCTCAAAATGGTCAGAAAACAGGGAAAAACGGGGGATCTAAACCAAACTATTACAACAAAAAATTTTTTCGAATCTAATAACCTTGATATTTTGTGGATAATCTTCAAAAGTCATCAACATGTATCTGTCCCCGCTTGATGCTGGATCCCGTTGTCTTTGCTTAAATTTAAAGAAACCCTAAAATTTTGTCTATCCTAATCAAAACCTTAAGGAATTGTTCTATTGCTAGTCTTGCATAATCTAAGTATGTAGTCCCCAAATATGTTCTTTGCAACATTGAAGCACTCGTATCAACAAGAAAAATTATTATCGTCATATTTAACAAATTTTTAAAAAATTTCAAACTCCTTAAATTTGAAAAAGAAAAATCAATTTCCTTAAAGCCCTAAAACATTCAACAACTTTAATTGACAAACTTTTAACAAACCGCCCTCGAACGAACTAAAAGGAACAAGAAGAAAAACGAGTCACGCTTAAATAGATTTCTGGAATGTTGGATTTTTTGTCTGTAAAATACATAACGCCAAAATAAATTAATTATTTGATTTTTTAATTTATTTAAAATAACACCTTTAAAAATTGCTCAAGTCTTATTTTTCTCAAGTCTCGGTGCTCATTGCTTGGGAATTTTAGATTTGCTCGTATTCGTACCTTCGTTTCACCCTCTATTTATGGTCTCATATTCGTATTTAATAACATTTTCCATTTTTGCTCGTACGAGTGAGAATTTTGGGATGTACGAGCGTCCATGCACTAATTCTTATTGATGAGATTATTTTGTTCTTTAAATTTTTTTCCTCAATTTCTAGCAGTTCTTTTGAGTTATTAAAACGATTGCTTTACTCAAACAACATTATTCTCATTATTTAATTGCATTTTTTTACATTTTTTATCATTTTAGATTTAAGCCTCAAATAAGATGAAAATAACACCAATCGATGAGAATGATATTCCTAGTCTGGAAGTTGATAAGGATATTGAAAAAGGTCAAGGATATGTTGCCGAATTAATTGAGCGTCAAAATATTGATTTTATGCACAATTTTGCTATGGAACATATGCCTGAGGCTTTCATTCCTGTTCATATGCTTTTTATTCGGATGAAGATAAATAACTGTCCGGTCATTGCTTTTATTGATTCTGGTTGGTTTTTTTTAATTTTTATTTTAAAAATTAATTTTTGAAGGTGCACAAACTTCAATTTTGTCTGAATCTTGTGCTAAAAGATGCAATGTCCTTCGAATGGTAGACAAACGAATTCGAGTTCGGCATATGGACCGCCAGTCTTTTTTGGTTTTAGTTAAGGCTGTAAGGGATATTGCGCCTAATGTTCGCTTTAATGTTGAGGTTTGTTTTTTTAAATATTTTCCCCTTTTCCCCCATTTCGAGGGGGGGGGGTGGCTCTAACCCCTCCCTGGATACGCCCTTGGTGGACCCTATTATTCAATCCTTTTTATTTTCTCAGATCAAATTCGCTCATCTTTTGACTAATGGAAATTGTGGAGGTGGACATATTAATCGCAGGAATATTTTTTGTATTATATTCTCGAAAATCAACAATGTGGACTTCAACCGACACATTTTCTTTGCCTCTTATGATGTGTGTCTTCTCCAAATGTTTGTAATAATTTTTATTTTAATAATTTATCATAAGGGAGGCAAAGGTTTAGCCCTAGATAGGTAGCGATCCTGTGACAGCCTGGGAGTTATTGTTAGGCTATTTCGACCACCACGTACAAGTGTTCTACCAATTGAGCTATCGGCGGTTCTTTTCACCTCTTTAATGCCCCCCTTAGAATGTTCCCCCCTTGTGAACATTTTAAATCAGGGTTACGATTCGTACTTTATTTGAAAGTACAGTACTTTAAAATCGACCTCCGTACTTACGAAATTGAATTTGTACTTTATTGAAAGTATGTACTTTAAAATCAACATTTTGAAAAAAATGGAAGAAATCTGGCTTAAGGACCCCCAAATTTCTCAAAATTTTCGCCTGCGGCGCAAAAAATGGAAGAAATCTGGCATAAGGACCCCCAAATTTCTCAAAATTTTCGCCTGCGGCGCAAAAAAATAGATTTTTTGGCGCCTTCGGCTCCACAAAAAGTGCATTGAAATGCACAAAATGCTTGGTGGAAACAAAAAATTATTAAAAAAGATTCATTTAGGAGAGAAATATGAAAGATTTGAGCATGAATAAATATTTTCTAATTTAATTTTGAGTGTACTTTAAATTTGGAAATTTAGCCCCTATGTACTTTTAAATCAAGATTTTTGTACTTTTGATGGGCATTTTGTCGATCGTAACCCTGTTTTAAATACCAGCTGGACCTTCTTTACAACTTGTTTAGATTTTTAGATGCCAGAAATTTGAGAGTAAATTTAACAATTAATTTTTAAGAATTTATCTAAAGAGAATACTAGTCCAACTGAAACGAGAAAATGTTCGATTAAAACGAGAAAACATTCGACTAAAACGAGAAAACAGAGAAATCAAAGCTTTACTAAAACTTATAAGAGACCAACAGGCCGAGACTGCTGAATTGTTAAAAGTATATGGATCATTATCAAATAGGCCTTGTCAAACTGGACGTAAATGTAGCCTCGAGTACTACTTTGGTTATTTTGGCTAAATTATCTGGCGAGTTTATTTTTTGTTTCTAAAATTAAAATTGGGAGGGTTAAATTTTTTAAAAATTTTTAAAAGTCAATAGGGGATATTTTAAGGGTTTTATGTAAAATTTAATTGAAAACTAAAACGTTTCTTATTTTAAAATTATTTTAAGACAGCAATGGATGGTGGTTTTTAAACTAACTTGTATGATTTGAAATTAACTTATATATTGAATTTTAACGATAAAGAATGCCTCATGTATACAAAAGATTTAATTGTTGTTTTTTTTTAATTTATTTGTTTTTAAAATAATTTTGACATAAATTTGACAAAATAATTTAACAAAAAAAGCTTTTTTTGGGCGTTAAGAGTCGCCTACTTATTCTTTTTTTATTTGACCATTTTGCAACTTTTCTCGTGCTATTTTTAAAATAATTTTTTCTGATGCTTATTTTAGCAGTTTAATTTTTTGTCATCAAATTTTTATTTTTTTTCAGAATTTACCTAAATTCATTCCAAGCTAGAAATGCAGTTAACAATAATTGCTGGTGACGATATTTCAAGCTTACAAGTTGGTGAAGACATTGAACTTGAAATTTTGGTGTCGCTTTGTAAAATTGAGATTGCTTCTATTGCTGACATTCCTTTGGAACAATTACAATTAATTGTTAATGGACAAAATATTGCTTTGAATTCTCCGGATTTGTTGAAAAAACAGCTCAAAGTTTTTTTAAAATTATTTTTTCTTTCAAAAAAATTCTTTTCAAAGGATTTTGACATTAATGATGGGGATGCTATTCATATTGGAAAAGTCCAACAACCACCTAAACAACCTGTAAATCCTTCCCATGCAACGTCAACTTCCACTGGACTTTCTTCAATTATTTCCAATTTGGTCAAAAGCATCAAAGTGCCTACTAAACGGCCTTCTGAAGATTCACAAGACAGAATGATGGCAGAAAGAATTTTCGATTCGCTTTCTGTACCTGTTAGATTGGATTTTTTAAAAGCAAACTATCCTGAGTTGGCAGAAGCTTATGAGGCTAATCCGACTGATAAAGGTTTGCTTTTTTGAGTTCCTTTTTAGTTTTAGTCTTAGGAAGTTCAATAGGTATTTCGAGGACAATATTAAGGGCCCGAGTCGTTTTTAATCGTTTCAGCAGCTTTCAAAAATTTTCTTTTACATTTTCTTATGAGGCTCGTAATTGAGGACTGAAGTGTACCAACCTCTGCATCAGTCATTTTTTTCGATTTTTTGAGGGTATAATCGGGCCCTTTCCAGCTCCTAATAATTTCTTCACAACTTATTAGAATTCTAATTTTTAAATCAAAAAATAATTTTTAAATTTTCTCCTTGTTAATTTTTCAGAAGCTTTCGTCACTGCCTTTTTCCAATCGAAAAAAGATTTGGCACGTAAAGAGCGTCTAATGATGGACGAAACAAGTGAAGAAGGTCAAAGATATGTTGCCGAATTAATTGAGCGTCAAAATATTGATTTTATGCACAATTTTGCTATGGAACATATGCCCGAGGCTTTCATTCCTGTTCATATGCTTTTTATTCGGATGAAGATAAATAATTGTCCGGTTATTGCTTTTATTGATTCTGGCAAGTTTTTTGAATTTTATTTTAAAAATTAATTTTTGAAGGTGCACAAACTTCAATTTTGTCTGAATCTTGTGCTAAAAGATGCAATGTCCTTCGAATGGTAGACAAACGAATTCGAGTCCAGGCTGTAGGTATCGGTGGAAATCAAAAAATGTTGGGAAGGTTAGTCTGCAAAAAATTTTTGAATTTAATTTTTAACCTTGTCTTGAAAATCTAAACCAAAATCTATAAGTCTTTCATCAAATTAAGTTTATTTGCCATTCTTTTACATTTAAAAATAAAATTCAAGAATCTATTTCTCGCCTTTTCTAAAATTAGTATTTTTAATTACCCAATTAAAATCCCTCCAAATTCCTGTCAAGTTCAAATATATATCATCACTTTTTTCTTGTCCACTCGAAATTATGGCTGACCTTATTTTCCCACTCAAAGTCCCAAGTCTTGTTTATGTTAGTTAAGAAGGACCATCGAAATCTTTCAAAAATAATTTTAAACTTATTTTTTTAAATTTTCTCTTTTCAAGAATCCATTCCTGTCAAGTACAAGTAAATGAACACTTCTTTTCTTGCCCATTTGAAGTTATGGCTGATCGGGATATTGATATTTTGTATTTTTTTTTGAATTTTTTAAATTAAAAATTTTTTTTCTTAAAGATTTGGATTAAATACTTTACTCAGACACAAATGCAGCATTGATTTAATTAAAATGGTTTTGAGGTTTGGTGACGGTACTGAAGCACCTTTTCTTTCTGAGGCAGAATTTCAACGAGAAAAGGAGGCTGTTATTTTGAATGGTTGGTTTTTTTTGAAAATTTTTCTGGATAGCGGCCGGTTCCAGAAGTCTTTAGATTTTTACGTCATTCGTTTTGTCTCGGTGAGCGAAGCCGAATGATGCCACTCTTCAATATTGAAAATGCCTATGGATTTCCGATATTGTAGTCCCTGAAAATCCAAAAACCCCTGAAATGTCCCTGAAAATCGAAAAACCATATTGGGGAGTGGCCAGCTTATTTTTGGGATCAAAAATTCAAATAGGCAAATATCTAGCTAATTTTTGGTGTCATTCGATTAACAATAAGCTTGCCTTGACGAACTGAATAACATAAAAATCGGAAGACTTTGGAATCCCTAGAATCCCGGGTAAATACATCCTAATTTTTTAATCTTAAGAAATTGCAAATAATGAAAAATAAGTGTTTTAAAAGACAACAAAATTTTTTGGAAGAAAAAAAGTGAAAACGAAAGACATTTTTTGTACTATCACTTTATTTAAAAAATACCTTATTTTAATAATTCATTTTTTAAATATTTTTTGTCAAAAAAATTTTCTTTTAAATAAAAAAAAGGTAAAAGAAAGGGTTAACAATTTTATCTGTTTTGAAAAATTAAAAATTTTTTGGGAAAATAAGAAAGAAAAAAATATTTGGAAACTTAAAAATTAAAAAAATTAAATTAAGAAATAAGAGTTTTATTAATTTTGGGGGGTTAGATTTACGTTTTTAGTTATCTTTAGCCAGACTTTCGAGGACGGGATACAACCCTAATAATTATTATCCAAAAATTGTTACTTAAAACTCTTCTCTTTTTTTCTAATAAATTAACTATAAATTTTTATTTTTGGTAAATTCCTCAAAAGAAAAGGCTTCAATTCCCTCACAAGGTTCACTCCAAAAAATAACATTTAATCCTGATTCCTCTACTGCCTTTTTATTTGCTTTATCAACTAGAGCCACTACACAACCGCCCCAACCCGCACCTGTTAATCTTGCTGCTAAACAGCCAGAATCTAAACATTTTTGGACGGTGGCGTCTAATTCTGGACAGCTACAATCAAATAAATTGGCACAAGATTTGTGACTGGCATTCATTAATTCTAAAATTTAGAATGAAAATTTGGGACGAAATGTCCGTAGGGGTTCATTGGGGCAAAATATCCAAAAGGTTTATTGGGACAAAAATAAAAATTTTTGGAAAGAAAAGGCTGAATTGGGAAAAAATGTCCAAAAGGTTTTATTGGGACAAAATGTCCAATCGGGTTTATTGGGACAAAATGTCCAAACGGGTTCATTGGGACGGAATACCTAAACGGACCTATAAAGAGTCAAAATATTACTCACCGGCCAACTTTTCCAATGCATCCTTGTCCTGACTTTTACAAATCCTTTCAAACTCCAAAACACGTGCCGCCTCTGAATAAACGTGTTCTGCTCGTTTTCCAAGACTAAAGATCTGCATATCCTGAGTGTTTGAGTTTAACGAATATTTTGCCAAATCCTCGTCTGAACACCCCAAAGATTCACAAATTTCTTTTCTCGTAAAGATTCCTTCAGGATTTTTAAACTTCAAATGCTGGACAAGTTCTGTCATTTCTCCGGGCCTTTCAACACGATCAACCAATTCTGCAATATCTCTAAGTGTTCGAATTGAAAATATCGAACGGAATTTCTCCCTAAACTCCTCGAATAAATCAAGTCCAGCGCTTTTAGCTATCACTTGAGCAGCCAGACGGCATTCAACAACACGTTGATTATATTGCGAATCGGCCCCCTTATTGCTGAAATGAATTAAAAATATTTTGAGGATATAAGAAAACTTGGGGGAACCTACCATTCTTTCCCAGAATGAATCACTGCAAACAATGCATTAGACGGTAAAGTAACTAGACGAAATCTAAGAGGAGCAAAGTCAATCAGAAGAGCAGATCCGCGTTCGGCAAGACCTTAGATAGAAAAAAATGTCTTTAGGTTTAGTCTGAACAGAAATGAAAAACCAAGGAAACCCCAAGAAGAAAGGGGCTGCCGTATCAAAGGACTGACGCCCGCAGTAATAAATTCTAGGGTAGAAGTATAAAAGGACAAGATTCTATCACTTTATAACACGGCTAAACTCATCCTACAGCAGACGACGACAACTTCTTCTCAAACGTCAATGGCACAGTCTGCAGGCGAAGGCCAAGCATCTGAAGGCGATCAAGCAGCCTCAAATGGCGACAACAACAACTCCTCGGATCAACAGGTGCCTCAAAACAATGAAGCTAATACCATCACAGCAAGAGAGGACTTCCCTCTTCTCAAGAGACTTCCAAGTACCATCGACGTCACTTTGCGCGAGACACTTACTGCAATAGGTGGAGGATTTGGTGGAGCGTCTGGCGGTGGTGGTCCTTCTGCTGGTCGAGGTGAGAAAAATTTTGTTCTTTCTCAAATCCTTAAACTTTTTTATACTTTAAAGGTGACAATTCGGTCTATATGGGCGCTGGCAGAGTCGGGGATAACAGCGTCTACATGAAGTAAAATGCAGCATAAGACGAAAGATGAACGAAGAAAAGTGAAAGGAAGACATTGTTTTCGATTTGTCACAATTTTCTTGTACATACTCATTCTGTATATAATTTGTATTGATGTTGTTGTTGATTTGTTGAATGTATATGACTTGTATATAAATATTGAGTGATTGAGTTTTCTGGGCCCATTGCAACTATTTTTTGACCCCCTTTGTGCATGACCATTTTGCTGGTTGATCGTTTCTGCCTGACCATTTTAATGGTTTTGACCCTTTAGTCACCATAAAATTGTATCGGGGTAATTAGACAAATAAAATTAAAAAACAAAACCAACATTCACATGCTTGGTCCATTCCTCCTCCCTCCATTCCCACAAATCTTTCTGCTTTTGTTGCGAATTCGGCTAGATCCTTCTGCAAAAGAAGGCTTTTTTCATTAAAATTTTTGAAGATTTAACACTTGCCTTCGAAATATTTCCAAAAGCTTGTCCAGTTTGAACACAAAGAGTAGCGAGAGCAGCTGCACATACCAAAGCTGATGAACTACTAAAAAACATTTTTTAATAGAGGAAAAAGCCTCCCCTCTCTTTTTAAAAGTTTTACCTTAACCCAGCACTCGGAGGAATTTTGCTTCCAACCAAAATAAACATCCCCCTAGCTTGTTCCAAAACTTTATTTTCATTTTCATTCCCATAAAGCCTTTCTAGAGCACCTCTCCAACCAGCAAAAAAGTAGTGGTACCACTGAGGACTTTTTCCATTGGCAGAAGAATTTGAGAAAGAATTGCCAATTTCAAGAGTAAATGGACTTTAATAGAAAATAATTCTTTAAATCTATTCACAATTTACTTGTATCTTGAATTGGCATTCTCTAATCTAACTTCTTTTGTTTGATAGTTATTTGTTGTTGCGATGCCGGCAGCAACCTTTTTTGATTATTTTTAAATTTTAAAAAATTAAAAGATTTTTTTTTAATTTTGGCGTTTTGATTTTTAAATGACAAATTATCTTCCCTATTTTGCCAATACGACATTTTGCCAATAAGGGTAAAAATTTACGTTTTGTCAATAAGCTTGTTGGCAAAACGTGGCTTTTTGGCTTTATTGGCGAAATATGGAATGACAATATGTGGATTCCAAACAATTTTTCTTTTTTTCTCTCACCCATGTACTGTCTTCTATAGCCATAGGCAATACTGGATAATTAGAGTAGTCGATATGTTCGCCAATTAAGTTCACTCTGCCAGGACATCTTATAAGCCATTCAGGATTAAGGCCAAATTTTTGCTTGTATAAGGTGACGCATTCTTCGCCACTCATGGCGAAAAAGAGAAATTCTTTTTAATTTATTAGAAAATTTTGAAGAGACAGCAGCATTAAAGACAAATTTTTAGACTAAAAATGGGGAGAGAATTTTAAACATCAATTAAGAGAGAGAAAATGTGACCTAATATAAAAATTCAAAATGAGAGGAAATTTTATGTTTCTCCTATATAAAATGTGGTGCTAAAACCAATCAATCAATTAACAGCAAAACGTAGCATTTTTTATTAGTTAATATACCGCGATTTTTACATAAAAATTTTAGATTTTTTTTTGTTAGAAAAATGTCATTAATTTTCTTTTTTTTCTTCATACAGGAAGAAAAGAGTTTGGGTGATTTCACTTTCCCTATAAAATTTTTTTTCATAAAATTTTATTCGGTCTTTGAGTTTATAATTAGTGTCGTTTACCGCCCCTTTTTTCCTTCCCGTCCTTCCAATTTCCTTTTCTATTTTTGCCTAGAACAATCAAAAGGGATTAATTTCACAGGGATGTTTTGATTTTTTAGGTAAAATATATAAAGGAAGACTTTAAGGACGAGAGGAAAAGTCTGACCATTCTGTACATATAAAGGAAAAACTTGGGGAGGAAAGGGGGGGGGGTAAACGAACTATAACCATAATTTCTTTTATTTTTTTAACAAAAAGAAAATTAAGTCTAAAATTCGGTTAAGAAAGTGTTTATTTTTATTTAACAATTCCAAGGAAATAGGCAGCGTCTAGCATTCGTCTGAGGCATTTTCAACCCTGTACTAGCTTCTTGACGTGTTTCAAAATAATCGAGGTGGTCGAGTATCTGCGCGATTAAAAAAAAGAGAAAAATTAAGGCGCAATTCTAATGCGGGTTATACCCAAAAGATCAAAATCCTTGTATAGGTCACAGTAGAATTGAGGTAATTTTGGGGAGTTCAGGGATAGAATCAGGCCACGCATCGAAATCATTGTCGTTTAAACGTAGTTTTTCACAAATACGAGGATTTAAAAGTTGGTATAAATTGAAAATGTAATGCTTTCAAAAAAGTTCTAATTGACTTTCAAAAATTAATCTTTTGATTGACAGTTTACATAGGCAAACATAAGGTTTGGTAAAAATGGAAGCTAGCACTATGCAGCAAGAAAATATTGTGCAGGATTAAAAATTATAATCTTTTCAATATTAATGTCAGTCATTAGAATATGCCACAGGGGAAATAGAATAAAGTTTAGGCAGTTTGACCATTATGTACATCCTAAGGAAAAAATTGTGGGTGAGAGGGAGAAAACTTTGGTGTAAACTTTTTGATCTTTTGGGTTAAACCTTTCATTTATAACAAATCTTGCCTTTACCCCCTCAGACTCGATTAAACCTCCACGGGCCATTTTCTTCCCAGCTCCAGGCCATTCATTCAACACCAATTGTACCTCAGAATTTTCTTTAATTTTAGAGTTTGTTGTTATCTCAGCATTAATACAATGGAAGATTAATAGAAGGGGGAATAGAATTTGAATGGACATTTTTGATGTTTTTTGGAGAAAAATTGTGGAAGTTGAAAAAAATGAAGAAAAAAAAGAGAATTTTCCCTTCAAAGGACACTGACTGTTATTGTTGTCCACCTAATAACCTATTTTACATTATTCTCTCAAATCATTAAAAAATATTTTTTCCCTATTGTGTATAATATCATCACCCCCTTTTCAAACGTTAATTTTATATTGTACATACAAAAAATATTTTAACACCTCTCTTTTCCCCCTCATAAAGCTAACGCGGTTTTTACATAAAAAACTTTTTTAATGTTTGTTGGCAAATAAACAATTACACAAATTTTTTTGTAGAAAAAAACAAGAATAAGGGAGAAGAATGAAAGAGAATTAAAAATATACAACTGTTGGACTTCAATTTTAGATTCTCTTTAATGTTGAACAGAGGTCGACCGAAATTTAGATTTCCGACACATCCTCCATTTACGATAGATGGAGTTTCTATTTTTTCGTATTCAAATCTTAAAATTTACCCAAATAAATCTTTATTTTTTTTAAATTTTACAAATAATGGGATTTCATTACACGTCAGGACCGAATTGAGCCAACATATGAATGGGAGCGTCGTATGAAATGAATGGGATTAGGGAAAATGAGGATGTTATTTAGGGAGTTGTAATAGGGGCTATACATAAATTTTATTTTACATTATAAAAATATATAAAAATAACTTTCCTCTCTCTCTCATATATTTTTCCTACAACATCAAAACAATTTGAGAAGATGCCGGACCCGCATAATTTACAAAATTTACAACTTTTTCATTCAAATCTTCAACATCTTCAGCATCTCCATATTGCTCTAAAATTGCTTTTAAAGCACCATAATAAAGCCTTTTATTTTCTGTTAAACACACAACTTGAGATAATTGGGATTCATTAGGTTCTGGTTTTTTAGAAGTTTCCACATTTGGATGAAATGTTGTAAAACGACCTCCATTTTCTTTTAAAAGTTTGTCACATTCTGATAGAGGCACCTAAATAAATTAGGGAATCAAAGAAAGGTTGTTATTCGTAATTATTAATATAGCCTAATTTTTTGATACCCCTTGGGTGCTGAAAAATCGTATCTTATAATGAGGGATAAATTAAATGGCGAGGCGGGAGTATCGTCTAAATAACGTTCATATGTTGAGGAGTACATTATTTTGGAGGTATTTAAAATTGAGGTTCGGCTTTAAAATGGAAATTGGGTATCATCCTTTACATGGATTTAGTACCGCTTTTCCCATTTAATAATGTTTATAAATTCAAGGAATCCTTTTCGGCCTCTTGTTTAAAAAATTACTAAAATTGAATTTTTGTAATACCAAAAACTAGCGTAAATGTCCTAATGTGGAAATCCAGGGCTTTAATTTTTTAATGGGTAATTTCTTCTATTGGGGGCATCCATTTTAATCTCTAAAAAATTAAAAAAATTTTACCCAATCAAAGCAATAATCACAAAGTAAATCCGAAGGTCTAAAACATCCTTTATAACGCATTTTTGGACAATCATACAAGTAAAAGCCCATATAATAATAGTGCAAATTTGGTCTTTGTTTTGCCAAAAATTTTGTAAAATTAATTTCCCACAATGCAGAATAAACACCCAAAGACAAAAAAGAATAATTTGGATCATAAAAAAGATATTTTGAAGAAAAACAATTTGGTAAAATATCTATTACACCAACAGCTATTATTTGACCATCTAAACGATATTGTTGATGGTAGGAACCTAGTGAAGTAAATTCACTTGATTTTTGGTTCTGAAAAATCAAAAAAAATTTTTTTTTGAAATTAAAGAATGAATTCTGGAATAAAGGAAAACATAAATATTTTGACTAATTAAACAAAAAATTTAATTGAGAAAAGTAATTTAGGGATCAAACTTAAGGGTTCTCAATTTGTCATCTCGAAAGCTTCTGGGGAGGGGGTTTGTCATTTCAAAACAATTTGGCATTACGTCACGCTCCGATAAGTTCGATAGTGACTAAATTTCGACGATGATTGACAAAATGCTAGTTTAGTCAAATTCAGGCACTGACGAAATTAGGCAAAGATGAGTTTAACAAAAACGTTTCTTAATAAGGTCAACATTCATAGGACCCAGAATATTGTAGTTTTCCAAGGATTTTATTTTAATTCCAAAACCCCTAATGAATTAAAAAAACCTCCTCTTCAGCAATTAAAGGAGACGAAGCCAAAAAACGAGTAAAAGAACTTGTAGACAATTCATCAGGATCGTCTTTGTGTATTTCAACTTGATAACGTTTAAAAAGTTCAAATTCTTCATCAAAATCTGTATCCAATTCTGAAGAGGGCTGTCCAACAAGTTTTATCTAAATGACGAAAAAAATTTTTTTAACGAAAAAAATCGAGCTTAAAATCTGAATTCGAGCTTAAAATCTCAATTTTTTTCCATCCAGAATTCGTTAAAAATATTTTTTAAGAATCTTGGAGAAAGATTTTCGATGTTACACTCACTTCACGAAAAATATTAAAATTACGAAAAAATAAGTGTGGTGTTTTCGAGTAGGCCAACGTTCAAGAAAATAACTCCTAGCATTAATTCTTATCGAATACGATGTTGTAATGAAAAGTTGAAATTCCAAACGCCGAAATTTTCATCTCAACCGAGTCTGAGGGTTTGGAATTTCAGCGTTTTGGAATTACAACGAGCCACGTTTTTATTGAGTCCTAAAAGTAAAACAAAAAAACCTCTAATCGATGCTTCCATTCTTCCTTTCCAATTTTCTCATCGTCCAAATAATCAAAATAACTTTGTAAAGTTCTGACTCGAGCAGCTTCTTTTTCTGCACGTTCTTTTTTATACTTAAACGAATTTTTAAAATAAAAATTTTTTTAACAAAAAAAACCTTTTCTAAATCAACTCCCCTTGCTTTTAAGCGTTCTTCAGCCTTCAAACGTCTCACAAATTTCTTTTTTGGTAAACGTTCAGTTGTAGAAGTCTCCTTTCTAAAAATTTAAATTTTAAAAATAATTTTAAATAAATACTTTTTCTGTTTTTCTTCATTTTTTGCAATTTTTTCTCCATTTGTTTGACTCTCCTTTTTATTTAAAGAACCATAACTTTCCATATTAACAACAGCTTTTTCTTTGGGCTTTATATCATTTTTAAGGTAATTTTTCATTGCAGAAAGCACTCTTTTTTGTGTTCGGGAAAGACGAAATCTATTTACATCTAATCTGTAAAAATAATTATTTTTATAAAAATTTGGGAATTTTTTAAAATTAAAAAATATCTGGCAAGTAGGAAAGGCAAAAATTTGTCTGATTTTTCCCCCATTTTTCCCATTTCGGGATCTTCCTAGCCACATAGTCATGACTTGCAGAGGTGGGTCGGAACAGTCAGAGGCGTCGAAAATAGGAAGAGTCGGAAATCAAAATTCCGACCTATCTCTGATGACTTGGTAGAACCTCACCATAAAACACAGGAGTGACTTTGTTTTTTTGAAAATAATTCAGGACCTAGTCAGGCCAATCAAACGTTCGGTTTTTTAAGGAGTTTGAGTCAGTATAAAATTTAAAAAAATTATAAAAAACCTTATAGTATATTGAGGACAACAAGTTTTGTTCATTATAGGTTTGTACAAATATTTACCAGATCTTAACAAAAAAATAAAATTATTCTTTAAAAAATATTTTTAACAAAAAAACCTTCTCCATCCCCTATCCACCAAATTTTGATAGGCACGAACAGTGAGACGATAAGCCCATAAACCTACAAAATTAAAAAAATTTATCAAAAAAAATTTAAATTTAATCAAAAAGAGTCTTATCGCTCATTGTTCGGCCTTCCCCGATTCAAAAAAATTCTTAAGAAAATGAAAGGAATATATTTTTTTACCTACTCCAACCGAGATCCAAAAGTAGATTGAAAGAATTTAGGCTTAAAAAACAAGCGAATAACCCTAAATTTAAGAAAATGAAGAATTAAACAAAAATGTTTTACCAAAAGTGTTAGAATTGTATCGATTAATAGACTCGTCTTCTTGAGATTCTGTTGAAGATTCACCTTCAAAAATTTTGATTTTACTAATAAGTAGGTTTAAAATAGTAGACTCGTAGAGATGTACAGGAGGGCAGAAAATTTTCCAAAATTCTAGTTTGGACCCTCCAAAAGATTTGGATATCTCTAGTTCTCTTAAGAGATTTCTAAGGAAACCGGTAAAAATACGCGAACCATTAAAGCCTAATTTAAAGTACTAATTAAGATGTCGGTGTCCAAAAACCTTCACGTCGCCCGATTTCTTTAGATATTTCCCAAGTATCCCGCAGAAAACAGGATTACTAAACATTAAAAATATACCAATTTTTTCCTTAGCCCTCTTTGTAGACTCGCAATATCCACAATGGTTACATTCATTAATTCCAACATAACGAACAATTGACAAGTCATTTGAAGACATTTTACTAAAAAAATTTTATTTTTTTTAAAAAATTTAAAGAATCTAAAAAATATATTTAATAATAAAATTTAATACTTTTTTTTGCAATCAAACAAAAATTTATTTTTATTTGAAAAAAATTCAAATAATAAAACAAAAAAGGGGCACGCCCAAAACGGGGCACGCCCAAAACGGCGCAAATCGATAACTTGCTCTAAGATTTCTTAATCTTGCCAGATTTAGTATCAAACGATTCCTCTGATCGGGTTAGGGAGATTGGTACCAAAATTGACCAGGGCTAGGAATTTTCCAGCAAATTATAGCTCTGCGCCGTTATGGCCATGCGCCGTTTTGGGCTGTACCCAAAAAACAAAAAAAGAAATAAACAACAAAAATAATTAACTTGTTTCACTCTTTTCTTCATTTCCGTCCTCTTGTGGAGTCAATTTTAGACGTTTCTTCCCCTTTTTCGCTTTTTGTTTAGCCAACTTTTCTTGTAATTTAACTTCATCGTCTCTCTGTGCCAACATAAATTCAAAACGAGGATCTTCTGGATCAACCCAATAACCAAAATATTCTTGGACTTGTCGAATTTTTCTTTGCAATTCTTCTCCTTCCATTTTTTTCTGATCCATTGATTGAGCTCTTTCTTCATAATATTCTTCTAACATTGCGTCATGCTTTTTCCAGTTTTCTTCGATTTTTTTAAGCCTTTAAATTTAAAAAATAAATTTTTAAAAATTTAAGAGAAAGCTAAAATATCATTTGTAAATTCGAATTTTTTCCCACAAAAGTTTGACCATTTTGAGCCTTTGTAACTTACGACTTTTAATATTTTTGAACACCCTTATAACTCAAGGTGAGAGATGTTAGCACGGTCCGATCCCGTTGCCATTCACACACAGCTAAATGAGCTCTATCGACCTATCGACTTACTGACCAATTTGTACCCTCAAACAGAAAAAATTGCCAAAGGGACAGGTCACCAAGTCAATAGGTCGATAGAGCTCGGTGAGCTATGTCAAAGCGTACAATTAAAAATACGACAAGAACACAATTAAAAATAAATTAAATTGCTGACCTATTTTCACGTCTCAATTCTTCAAACATTTGATTATTTTTTGCCAATTCAGCGGCTTCTTTAGCTTTTCTATGCATCCTGAGAGATGTAATGTCTTCAACTTCCTTAAAATAAAAAATAATTTTGAAGATTAAATAAAAATAAACCTCAATAGACGGCCATAAACGTCGAATATCCACACCGCTTTTAAGTCCATATTGCCCAAAACGTTCCCCCATTGCCCATTTTTCTCGTTCATAATCATATTGTAAAGGAGGAATGCCACCTTCAGCAATTATTCGATGACGAGCATTTAATCCAATTTTGGGTAAAGAAGCGACAGCTTTTTTCATTTTTATCTATACACAAAAAAATATTCAAAAAATTACCCAATTTGTCCTTTTAAGAAATTAGATATTTTAATGTGTTGACATTTTGACACAAAAAATTTTTTTGACAAAAATTTTTTTTTGAAAATTTTGCAAAAATTTGTAAATAAAAGATTTAACTTTATTATGGTTTTAGAATCATTAAAATAATCAAAAATATAAATAAATTAAGCGAAAAAATACTTGGTCTTTGAAAAATATTTTAATGACTTGAAATTATTTTACAATTAAATTTTTATTAAATCAAGTACTTTCATGAATTGAGAACAAAAAATCAAAAAAATTTGTTGAGTTCTAAAATTTGTTAAAGCTTTAGAAAAAATTGAAATTAGTCAATTTCTTTCCCTAAAATCCACAAAGTTTATATTAAATTATTCCCTCATAGAAACTTCATTTCATAGTATAAAATCGTTAATAATGGTCAAAATACGAGGGACGTAAAACAAAACCTTAGAAAAAAACAGAAAAAACCTCTCAAAATTAATTATGCAATAAAGAAAAACTTGCGGACAAACTTTGCGGATTTTGGGAAAATAACAAAAATTAAATATGATTTTTAACAAGTCTGGGGAAATTTAAAGGAATGTTACAAAAATTAAATTTTAGTCAAAAATATTTTCAAAACCTTTTCATTTGTTTGGAAGACGACCAAGGAGTACATTCAACAGAGTGAAGTCTTTCATAAGCAATTTTAATTCCACTTGCATCAGAAATTCCATTAATAGCGGTAACATAGGGAATTCTTTTTCCTGTCTTCTTTTCTACTTTGCATTTTTCATAAAGATTGAGCTTTAAAAAATAAATTATTTTTAATCATTCTTTAGTGAAATTTAAGTATTTGGAAATTTTAGTTTGGAAGACGGCCTCTTTTCTACTTTACACTTTTCATTATTTTCCCAAAATCCGCAAAATTTGTCCGCAAAATTCTATTTGTCTAATTAATCTTGAAAATTTTTAGCTCTTTTTTATTGGCTTTCCTATGGACTTTTTACGGACATTTTACTTTTTTTGCTCATTTTTAAGCAAAAAATAATTTTTTATAAGTCAGTTGAGCGCGAAAATAGAATTAAAAGAGTAAAAGAAAAGGCCACAAACCCCCTCTCAATTCTTCCCTTTTTATTTAAAAATAATTTTAAAAAACCAATTTACATGTTTTCCAATTCTAAAGTGTTCCCAAATACTAAATTTTTTAACATTTGCTAAATTGGCCAAAATTCCAGTATAAAGCACATCCTCAATTGGAAAAGCGTGAACATTCTCTGTAAGATTCATTATTGCTTGAACTGCTTTTGATGTAAGTAAATATGTTGGGCCGTTGGTGTAATGTGGAAATATTGGATGGGGAAAGTCTATGGGAGAGACATACCTTTAAAAAATAAAAAAAATTTTAAGGCTGGGAAGAAAAAGATTAAAATTAACAGACAACATAAGGAAAGTTCCCTCAAAAGACAGAATTTTATGGGGGCCAAAAACCATGAGAAATAGGGCTCCAAGACTTAAAATAAAAAAAATTGGCTCTACTACAGTTTATGAGTCCAATTGAACATTACGCCTTTAAGAAAATTCGAAGGATAGGGTAAGAAACGGTCCCAGACCCAGTGGGCGTAGGTCTCGAACATGAAATGTTTTAGAACCATACCTCTACTTTGAAATACGAAGAAAAAAACAAATTATTTTTTGATTGGACTTATAAAGTTTGATTGGACCATAAGGAACGGTCCCAGACTCGGTGGTAAAAAAGCCAAAAAAAAATTCCCTAAATTTTGGATTTTAATGAAGCAAAAATTGCCTAATATTCTGTAAATTCTAAAAGAACCCGATAAAAATATTATACCATCTATGCTTTTCATTGCGAATTGGAGTCGATCTTTTAATCATTCCACCAAAAACAGCAGCAGGGTATTTAGACACTCTGTCACCAAAATCATTGTCTATCCACCAAAAAAGTCTGTCAAAATCAACAATTGTGTCATCATCTGTTTTTAGAATGTATTGAGCAGTTGAACAGAAGATTTGTTGCCATTGGAGAGCTACATAAACCTAAAATAAATTTTTTGTTGGTTTTAAAGGCTTAAGGAAACTATGAGAAAAAACACCTAGAAGCAGGCCCGTAGCCAGAGCTCAATATGGCTTTTTGAGCTCCAAAGCTCACAAAATTTTCGTCTCCCGAAAAAAATCCTGGCTAATGGCTTGCCTAGAAGTATACTAATTCCTTTAATCTTATATGACATAGACATAATCGCCTTAAAGACAACATAAAAGAACAATTTCCATGGCGATCCGACCACCAGTTAATAAGAGTCGCTGACGGTTAATTACCCCCTAGAAAATAATAAAAAAGCAAACCTTCAAATACAAATTCCTGTAAGAATCGTCAATATCATAAACAACCAAATCGTCAAATTTGATCAATTCCTCTTGCATTAATTCAAATACTTTTTGTTCTTGCGGCCATCCAACAATAAATTTCAACACAATACTAAAAATAAAGTTAAACTCCATAAAAATTCAATTAAAAATTCAATTAAAAATACCTCCTCTCTGCCTAAAAAACAAAAATAAAATTTTTCAAAAAATTTCAAAAAAAATTTCCAAACCAAATTCGCTCCCCAAAAATTTCTAATCATATGCCGTGTATAAAATCCATCAGCTCTACTCGGAACAAAAACAAACATTTTGGTCTTTAAAGGGCATATTCCATTTGGTGTAGGCAATATAATTGTGTAATTAATTTTTAAATTTTTAAAAGAAATGAAGAGATTGTCTGTTGGAAAAGGAAATTCTTCATAAGCAATTACTCCAAAATTTTCAGTTATTGGTTCTGTATCAATGTCAATTGTTTCATAATCCTTTTGGTCAATTTCCAATTTTTCTTCTTTTTGTTTCAAGTCAGTCTTTTCAGGTGTTAAAGCTTTAAAAATAAATTTTTTTCTTTAAAATTTATTTAAAAATACCTTTAGAATGTGAAATTTCAATGTTTAGAAGCATCAAAAATAAAATTAGAACAAAAGAATTCATCTTCTTGGAAAGGGCAAAATGGTCAAAATATAAATTCTAACCCTAAAAAAATTTAAAAAAAATTCCAGATTAAATCAAGCAGATATTTTCGAATGAGGGAAAGGAATTCAATTTTTCAGAATAGAAATTAGAGTGATCAAATAAATTTAGAATTCTAGAAAAGACTTCAAAGAATAAAAAAACAAAATTTTTTTAAAAATTTACTGGTCAATATATTTTAGAGGCAACCATTCTCAACAACTTTTGAGAGAAAAAAAAAACAACAAATAACTTAATTTTTTAACCAATTTAATTTTATTTAAAATCCAAAAAGCCTCTGCCCATGTTCTTAAAAGTCACCACATGCCACTCACTCACTGAAATTAACAATTTTAAAATTTAGTAGATCATTAATAAATTTTTGGGAACTTATGCAGTTTGGGTACACACCCCATTTATTCGCAAACTAAAAATGGTCAAAGTAACCATATTGAGGCCGGAAAAATGCCTGGGCATAATTCCTCGCATCGTGCGGTGTTAACTTGCACGCGTCTCGCAAGAGTCGAAGGCTGCTTTGTTTAATACGCTGCAATATAGCTTCTTGCTAGCTCGCGAATAATCGGGTTGTTTAGTCAATTCGCCTAATAAATGAGGGTCATCTCGCGAATAAATGGGGTGCAAACTGCATAAGTTCCAATTTTTGATCATTCCTATCCCGAAATCGTGGGCAAAAAACCGTGGGAGAGATAAAAAATAAATCCACTCAAAAAATTTAAAAAGAAAATTAAAAAGATTTAGGTCTAGGTCAAAAATTCGCACATAAAAATATTTTACCTTGCAGAAAGCATGCCACGGCTCTTAGCATATCGATTCATTAAGAGATGCAAAGTGGTCACAACTTCTAAAAAATTTTAATTTATACATTGAATAGTCAAATAAAAAACCTTCGGAAAAACGCAACCAAACGTCCATCGCCGAATCGGCAACCAAAACAACGGTTATCGAATTCTCGAACAATGAATGAAGTCGACCTTTCTTGACGATAAAAGCAGGCTTATTCTAAAAATTCAAAGATAATAAATTTTGATCTATAAATTATCTAGTTACAAAAAAGTTCAGAATCAGGACTAAAAGTTTCGAATCAGAATGAGTTCTGATCAATCAATTGTACCTTACGGACTCAAAGTTTAAATATTGCTAAAATATTTTACTATGAACTTAACAAACCTCCTCGAAGAACTGCCACTCAACATCCTTAATGACCTAAAAGATAACTGATAATTTGGTTTATGATTCAACAAAACCTGCGCAATTCCCCCAGAAAACTTCGCATTCCATTCGAACCCTTTAAAGATATCTTAAAAAATTTTTTTAATTTTAAATTAAAACAAAATAAACCATCAAATTCCTTGCAGAAAAATTTTAATTGTGTTTCAGTCAATGTGTCTTCCTTCCCATCCAAGCTTTGCAAATAGCCCATGGCTTTGTTGAAGTTATTCTTAATGGTTGTCTTTGTCTTAAATCAGAAAATTAAATATTTAAAATGCCCATTGAATATCAAAAACGAACAAATAAAATATTGACTATCCAATTTCCTTGAAGTTTGAGAACAAAAATGTCAAAATCTTTTGATACTCTGATAATACTCCATTTAATATTAAGGGGGAAGAATTTAAGTATTTCTAGTAATAATTCTAAGGGTAATTTCTTTTCAATATCCATTGTGAAAATTTTTCACAATTGGATTCCAAAAATTGTAACTCATAAAATTAGAACCAAAAAAGGAAATACGCCCGTTAAATAAAGGGTAATCCATTGACATGACATTAGAGTCTAATTTGTTAGCCAATAATGCGCAATGACTCTAATGCAAAATGGCCGCCTAGTTGGCCCACTAATAGATTGGTCAGTCGTTTAAGAACGACATATCTGTTATGAAATCCCGTTTTGACATTTTTGAATCAAACAGAAAAATAACCGTTTCTATTTTATAATTAAGATATAAAACTTTAAACAAACCAAAGTAGCCATTGGGATGAATAGCCAAAAAAGCAAGAATTATTGAGGATTTTACGATTCTAAAAAAGATTAAATTAGAAAAAATGAGAATCTACATAGACTAAATAAAGGGAGATAACTGATAATTTTGTACACACCCCTAAACAAAGAATAGTACAAACTATAGAATTCGAGAATACTCCTTGAAAACATTAGGGAATGCGGGAGGATACATTAAGAATGTAAAGTCTATGAATGTAAAATCGAATTCTTTGAAAGGGAATGAAGGAATAGTAAAATACACATACACGAAAATAAAAATTCTAAAAAGGTTGACTAGTTAAGAAGGAGAAATCTCAATTTTACAAAGTGTACTAATTAGAGAAAAATAAGGAGGAACCAAAATCAATAGATTTTGAAAAAAAACAAAAGTCAAAACATTTTGAATAATGAACGCTTTTGTATTAAAGTTCTCCCTTTTATAGAAAAATTTTAAATTTCAAAACGCCAAATTTTGAAATAGAAAAAAGTGCTGAACAGGCCAATTGAGTCCTTCAACGCGTGCGATCAACAAAGCAAAGGGAGCTTTTCCTCCTTGCTTTCGTTTTTAAAAGCTGTACAAGTTCCCTTGATCTAGTATTTTTGTCTTTTTGTCTTCTTTCGGTCAAAAAATTTGTCTCGTGCGAAAATTAAAATTTCCTATTTTAATTTTTAAATTTTCAGTAAAACATTCAAAGAAATTTTTTGTCTTATTCATCAAACTATTCTTTCAAGTTGCCAAATGTCGTCTCGCAAATCTGGGCCATATTCAGACAACACTTCCATGGATGATGGTATGCCATTTTACTATGAGTTAAGACGAAAAAAAATTTTTTAGATCCATTAACGGACGACGATTCAAAAAAGAATGAGGACAGAATTCGTCAACTTGAGAGAGCAAATCGTGAATATGAAAGTACAGTTCAGGATTATCTTAGGCAAATTATTACTTTGCAAAATTCTTTGAAGAAGTCTCATGGCCAGGAATGTGCTGAATTGATTAAAGAAAAGTGTCAGGAAGTTGAAGAGGTTTAAAATATTTAAATTTGAGTTAAAATTGCCGTTTAGGGTCCCCTTTTTCCTCCCTAAGTTTCATGTATAGAATGGTCGTACTTTCCTATCTTTTTTCCCAATTAGCATTTTTGTATTTTGCTAGTAAGCAAACAAAAAGGAGTCCACCCTTGAAAGCCCTCGATATCTGCTTTCAAAAGTTGTAAGTTTTCAGGTCAAAAGGTCTTCAGGGTGTAGGTCAAGTTGACCCCTCTTAAGTATTATTTTTCATTCTTTTTGGGAGGAAGAAATGAGGGAAAATTTTGGGATGAAAAAAGGATGGCTGTAAACGACAACCTTAAATTTGACTTTGAATTTTCTTTTAAAAAAGTTGTTGAAGAACAAAAAAAGTTTGGAAGAAGATGTGGAGCACTGCACTACAGATTATAATCAAGTTATGGCTACTTTTGCGGAAAACAAACGTGATGCTGACAAACGTGAGGCTAAACAGGCGGAGACGATTAAACAGCTTTTATCGAAGATTGAACAGAAGGATCGAGAAATTGAAAAGGTTTGGAAATTTTGTCGTTTGTGTGTGTTTGTTAAATCTGTTTTTGTAGCTTCGCAAATTGATTCCGTATGAAGGTTATTGTCAGCCAACCGGTGCTTTCTTACAGCAGAATATGACGTTTGAATTTTTTCTATTTTTAAGGGTTTCTAGAAGTCCGGGGATTTAGATCCGTAATTTTAACCAGGAACTCGGAAAACTCTAAAGATCACTAGGACTAATTACTAAAATTACTGGGGAAGGCTTTATAATTTAACAAAAAAATTTTTTTTTATAAATTTAGGCAATTTCTTCCAACGACTTCTAAAGATTATTTTATTGAGAGTGCAACTAGTTGTCCTTTGGAGACCAAAACTAAACAAGGAGGATTTTTTAGCCGTTTGTTTAGCCGTGAATCTGTTGTTACTGCTACTTGGGTATATTTTTAAATTTAATTTTTTAGGAGTTTCGGGTGCCTGCATAGACATGGTTTAACTTTGGTGGGTTATTTTCCCTTAGAAATCGAAAAAAACCAAAAATTAGAAAATTTGGATGATTTTTCTGCCTATTTTTTGACATTTTTGAGTTTTTCGCTAATTTCCAGTTATATTTGGCATTAAATTTATTTAAGAAAGTTCCCATAAAATTTTGAATTTTTCAATTTGTAACTGAAAAAGGCGCTTTCTCCAATTTTTTCTCTCCCTTCCCCACCATTTATTGGTTTGTTGGGGGAGGAAATTTAAAAGAATAATTAGGGAGGAGAAAAATAAGGGAAAAGATTGAGAGCCTTATGAAAATCAAAATTGAATTTTTTTAAATTAAATTTTAATTTTTTCAGTTTTTGGGCTTCAACACTTTAATTGTCGTTCTCTTTGTTCACGTCTACATGTTTACCCAACGATACTTTTAGAAAGTTTTTTTGAAAGGAAGGTTTATTTTTTTTTGGTTTTTAGGGTATATCAGTTTAAATAATTCACTTAAAAATTTTTTTTCCTTTTTTTTAAATAAATTTATACAGTCAAAGTCCTTTTAAAATCAAACAAAATTAAACGAATTTTTTCCTTTTTCAGCAAGACATTTCTATTTTTGGGGGGAAAATTCAAATTAATATTATTAATTTTTTTTTTGAATAAAATTTTTTTCCGGAACATTTCCAATTGAAAAATATTTTAAAAATTTTTAAACTTTGTTTGGCCCCTGGGTGGAGGAATCCATCTAATTACTAATGCCCCTGTCCCAATTTAAAATACAATTTAAAATAATTTTTCGTCTCCAAGGGTTTATTTTATAGCGGTGTTCGACTTTAAGTTTGCCTGTATAATTTATTTATTTTATCAATTAAAATTTTCCCCTGTGCTATTTATTCTCGATCCGTGATCTTTAAAAAATCAATTATTGTTTATAAAAAATTGTGTTTTAAAATAAAATTGGGAAGTACCTCAAAAAGTGGGGATTTTTTACTGAATCAATTTAAAAAATTTTTTGGAATTTTTTTTGAAATTTTGATAAAAAAAATTTTTTAAAATTAAGTTTTTAAAAATATTGAAAACTCAAGAAAATTTTTCTATTCACAAGGAAACATTGTCTACTATATAACAGCAAATTTATTATATTTTTGGTACCATTGATGGGATAACTTTGACTGACTATAACTCGTCCCAAAGTCATCTTGCTACAAAACGGAAATCACTTCGCAATAGGAAGTTGAGGATCCTCTATCGAATGGTATAAAAAAATATATAAAATTCACGCTTAAAGTGAACGATGTCCCCTTTCAGGCCCGTAGTCAGGGGTGGGGGAGTAGGCGCAAAAAATTTTCCTTCTTGCCCCCCCCCCCCCGAAAAAAATTCTGGCTACGGGCCTGTTCCCCTTCCAAAAAAAGTCAAAAACAAGTCATATAATTTTTTCAAAAATTATTAAATAAAAAAAAGTAAACCAAAAAATTGGTTTTTACAAAATTTTTAAAACTACTAAAAAACATTTTTAGAAAAATTTCAATTTATTTTTAACTGTCCCATTGTCCAAAGAAATTACAAGTGGGCACAATATCGCGAAATGAACAACCAAATTTACAGCATAACTAAAAAGGGGAAAAAATTAATTTTTTTTTTAATTTTTTGAGAAACTTACAAGCATCATTTCAGTCATTGAGGGAGCTCTGTATTTATCTGCTGTTGATAACCTTTCAATTTCTTGAGGGGGGTTGGTGTTCTTTTTTGCGAAGTTGGTGAAAATGTTGGATGATTCTTTGAAAAAATGATTTTTTTAAATTTTCGAGGAAAATTTTTTTCTGAAAACTATTTTTGGGTTTATTAAGGAAAATAAGAATTCCAATACCCACGGAGAGCAAAAATCAAGTCAAAAATCTCAAAGGCGGTTTACCAACTGCCTAGTAATACTGTCTATTAACTTTCAGTGAAATAGCCCTTATTTTAAGGCAGGGTTCCTATTCCTACTTATTTTGGAAGTATGTACATACTTACTAGAGATCAAGCTGGATCCAGAACTTGATTTTTCCTGGATCCAGAGTCCAGATCAAGGCATTTTTCAGCGTTCCTTGATTTTTCATGACTCAAGGAGCTTGATCTGGTCAAGGTACTTAACCAAAATCAAGAATCAAGGTTTTTTGAAAATCTCGATCTCAAGTACTTATAAAATGACTTTTTGATTAAAAAATTAAATTTAACTTTAAAAATTTTTAAAAAAAGCTTCAAGGAAATAAAATAAGAATTCCTTTACCCACGGGAAGCAAAAATCAAGCCAAAACTTAGTCGGTTTTCCTATTGTCTTTTAATACTGACAATTGTCTTTGGGTGAAATACCCCCTATTTTAAGGTATTAAAATTAATTACCATTTTCTATCCGGTCATTAACATCCCTTTTCTTCCTTTTCATCCCGCAAGTAATTTCCCAAGCTGCCGTGAAGGACTCTCCCCCAGGGGGGCATAATTTCATCAATCCAGAATTTGAACGACGAACAAAAGAAGCTTTTGAAGGTATTAAAAAACAATTTAAAGCCAATAAAAATATAATTAAAATGGATAAAATAAACATTTTTTTGAGGTCCTGGAAGGAGAAAAAATTTTTTTCTGAAGAAAATAAAATTAGAAAATTAAATATTTATTCCTTTAAATGGCTTTTTTTTGCTTCCTTATGAAGGCTTCCGCCAATAAAAATTAATATTTAAAGAGATAATCTTTAATAAGAAGAACGCGTCTACTTTTAATTAAAGAAAAAAGGTTACGCAATAGGAAGTTAAAAAAATATTTTTTAAATTTTTATTTTTAAAAGGATTTGAAAAGGAATTTAAATTTTGAAAATTTTCAAAATATTTTTTCTTTAATAGGGGCTTTTAACTGTTCAATCTCTCAAGGGATAATTAAACTAAGACTATCCATTAGCGCAAAAATCTTTTTATTTTGCAATAGCTTATTAAAGCTTATTATTATTAAGTTATTAATTGTATTATTCTAATAGAAAGGGCATTTCAATAAATATTTAAATTTAAATATAGGCGATAGAATAAATTTTGAGAATTTTATTGTTCAACAACGCCAAAACTAAAAAGTCAAACAATACTAAAGTTATGAGGGTATCCCCAAAATTCTAATACAATCGAACTTCGGGTACTTCCCCATTATAAGGCTGCACATGAAAAATGAATAAAAATGTCCTAGATATGGACAAATGTGTCATTCTAAAGAGCTCGTCGAGTTGGGTCACTAAAATTATAAGGGCTCGAAATGGTCTTATTAATGAATACATCCCTATTGTACGTTTTTCAAATGTGGTTGGCTACTGGTTAGGAAAAAAATGGGGATAAATGCCTAAGCGATATCTCCCTCTATACTTTAATGCATTTTAGAGACGTTTATTACAAGCCAGAGGGCGTAACTATAACAAGAAAGATTACATTAATTTCTTAAAATATTTGATCTATATAAGGCTTCAATAGCTAGCTGACCTTTATTTTTTGAGCTTAAAAAAGATTTTAGAAAATATTTATGGTTAATTAGGTTTCTTTTATTATTTCTAAGAAGTTTAACTAAATCCCAAAAAGTGGCTTTATTAAAAAAATTTAAAAAAAAATTTTTTAAACTTCAAAAAAAGAGGGGAGGATGCAACGAAAACTCTTCTTTCCGTTTTCTATTGTGTTTTGAGACTTTTTTCTTTCCGGTTTAACAATCCCCCCTTTTCATTCTGTTTTTAAATTCAAAATTAAAGGGGCATTTGTTTCACTCTTTAACTTCAAAAAAAGTTCCGGAATTAAATCTGTCCACATTTTCCTTCTTTTTTACTTGGAATCACGCAAATAGATGGAAAATGACTAATTAAGTGACGAGAACAAAATTTTTTTTTAATCCTTTAAAATTGAAAAAATTGAAAAATATTGACTTTCCTCTTTTTATGACGGTTTATTACTTAAGTACCCCTTCTTACTTTTATTTTTATGATTTTTAACTTTAGGGAGTGCGTAAGAAGCCTTTTTTCTTTAATATTTGCTGTTATATTTTTTGAGAAAAGTGCAACAAAAATTTTTAATAAATATTTAAAAAATATTATTTTATAAATAAAATAATATATATTAAGTAAACACAGGAAGACAAAAAAAATTTATTATGTTACGAAAATGACGAATATTTGGTAAAAGACGTTGAAAACTGAATTTTCTAAAAAAAAATTCAATTCTTGCAAAACAAATTTAAAGAAGAATTAGTATTTTTAAAAAATTCTGCAAAGATTGAGAAAGGAATGGAATTTAACTTTAAAAAAGGTTAAAATAAAACGAAGATTAATATAAAATAAGAAAAAAATACCTAATACACTTATAACTAATTTAAATAAAAAATATTATCCCAAGGACTCCAAAAAAGGTCTTTTTAAAAATATTTTTAATTATGTTTTATTGAAAAATTAATAAATAGTAATTAATGTGTAAAAATTAATAATATAAATTAATATTTTTTACATAAAATTACAAAAAAATATTTTTTTAATAAAACGAAGTCACAAAATAAAAAAGCTCAACATTACGTTTAAATCCGGCAGAATTTTTCCGATGTATGTAAAAGGAGAATTGGACGATGTTATGAAGAATAGGGTTGGAGGATCCTAGGAAATCCTCGAGACTATACAGACCCCGAAAATACCTATCCGGATATCCGGTCTATTTTCAACTTCGGATTCTCCAGCCTCTCTAATAGAGAGTAGAGACCGGACCGAGACGTTATCTCGATCGAAAATCTAGGTTATCGAGATATCGATTCTCGTACGACACTCCCAGTCCGTTCTCTAATAGAGAAGGTTGGCAAATCCGTTATATGAAATTACACAAAAAGAGTAAATTTTAAAGGGTTTTACTGAAGAAAATTTTTTTATTTTATTTTTTCTAAAAAGAGGTATTTTAACAAACAATTCTCTAAAATATAGAGTAGATATCAAATGCAAAAATTTAAAAAAAATAAAAATTAAAAAAATGGCAGTATAAAAATGGAATTATAAAAAAAGCCTTTTAAAAAAAATTAAAACGAATAAAATTAAATTGAAGCACTTTAAGTAGTGCCAAGAGGTAAGGTTAAAGATTAAATTTTTTGGGCTAAAAAAGGTTACTAATATATATTTTTACAAAACAAATATTTACATAAAAAAGGTATTTTTTGAGGGTCCACAACAATTAGCCGAACCCCAATTCGTCGATTTTTATTTTCACGTGCATCACCTGCTTACCTACTATAATTAAGTTAGGTGATTACTAAGAAATCTTATGGTATCTGGAATCGGAACCGAATCGAAAATCTAGAATATCCGGGGTCTTTTCGGTTCCGGATCAACTACAAAGTGAGCGGTTCCTGAGAAATCTACTGGTATCCGGAATCGGAACCGGTAATCGAACCGAAAGTTTCGGGTATCCGGGGTCTTTTCGGTTCCGGATACCAGTGAACGCCAAAATAATACAAGAAAAATCGCGAAAAATGTGTCGTGAGCGAGTGTCGACGAATTGTATTTTCGGCGAATTGTAGTTGACCCCGTCGTTTTTAAAAATACTTCTTACCTTCTACTCCTTTTCAAGAATTAAAGAAAATAATTTTTTCTCTTCAAACCTTTTCTTCTTTTTCCTTTCCCTCCTCCTTTTTATATCCCAAAATAGATAAAAATGTTATTATATTTGATTCATCATTTAAAGGTAAACAATTGGCAAAAAGGCAATCTTTGTTATATAATTCAATTAAATTGTCAAGCTGAGTTTTGGCAAAATTTTCAAAAAATAGCCTTTTTTCTTCCAAAATAAGCTTTTTGAAAAAAAAAGAAAATTAAAAAAAATTTAAAGAAAAAGATTTTTTTTGAATTTTTGCCCCCATGACGTTGGTAGAAAAAATAAATCTGTGGGTAGCGACACATATTTGGAAGAGGCTAGCGATATTTTTTGTTGATGGAACTTGAGTCAAATTTCTATAAAACAAAGATTAAAAATATTGGACTCAAATTCCAAAAAAGAGAAGAGTCTGCTAGCCGAAGATTTGTGCTAGCACTGTTAAAAAAGAGAGGAGATTTGACACCCAAAGAAACAATTAAATTAGATAGTAGAAGTACATAAAAGATCTCCTCCCACGACCAGTGCTTGGAAATTTCAATTTTGCTCATACTCGTACCTCGTACCAAGTACGAGAACGAGTACGAATTTTGGTACGAGCGTCCAACAAGGGCGTATCCAGGGGGGCTGGGGGGGGGGCTAGAGCCCCCCCCCCCCCCGAAATGGGGGAAAGGGAGAAAAAATTAAGAGAAGGATGGTCGAAAAAGTGAAATTTTTTCGCCTACAACCCTCAAATTTTAAAAAATTTTCGCCTGCGGCGCAAAAAATGGAAGAAATCTGGCTTCTTGAGCTCCAAAATCCTCAAAATTTTCGCCTGCGGCGCTAAAAAAGGAAGAAATCTGGCTTCTTGAGCTCCAAAATCCTCAAAATTTTCGCCTGCGGCGCTAAAAAAGGAAGAAATCTGGCTTCTTGAGCTCCAAAATCCTCAAAATTTTCGCCTGCGGCGCTAAAAAAGGAAGAAATCTGGCTTCTTGAGCTCCAAAATCCTCAAAATTTTCGCCTGCGGCGCTAAAAAAGGAAGAAATCTGGCTTCTTGAGCTCCAAAATCCTCAAAATTTTCGCCTGCGGCGCTAAAAAGTGAACTTTTTTTGGCCTACGGCCCTCCAAATTCAAAAAAATTTCGCCTGCGGAGCTGAAGTGATGAAAATTTATGTACAAAAAAATTTGCGTACGGAACGCCAAGGTAAACGCCAAAAATTTTTGCGCCCACCCAGTGTTAGCCCCCCCCCCCCCCCCCCCGAAACCGACCCCCTGGATACGCCCTTGGCGTCCAAGCACTGCCCTACGACTCTTATATTTCTGAAGATTGGATAAGGTCAAATTTTTAAAAGGAAATTTAAATTAAAAGTCTCAAAAATACCATTAATTTTGATTGATATTTAGGGAAAAAATTAAAAAAAAATTTTTTAAAAGAAAACCTTTTCTCCAAATTTTCCCAATTGCTTTCGAAAACCATAATTTGGATTTGCACACAATCGCTTCTTTTTAATAAACATCATTGCATTAGAATAATTTAAATTTGTAACAGTCATTAAATAAGCAATACAAAAACAAACACTTCGGCTAACACCAACTAGACAGTGAATTAGGACATTTTCTGAAAGAAAAATTTTAAGAAAAAGAGAGTGAGAATGTTCCAACTAAAATTCTCAAAATTTACGCCTTCGGCGCCAAAAAAATAAAGCTGAACATTTACAAGAATGACCTCCTCCACCTTAAAATTTTCCTGGCCATGTGCCTGAATAATCTATCTTATTCTAAATAGGAGGGTACCGCTTAAAAGCCCTTTCTTCCTACACACATCAGTGGATAAAATCTCAAAAAGCGACTTTAAATTAAGGTTTAAAGCTAAATTAAATTTGCGGACATTTTATGCGGACAATTTGAATGTAAAACAAAAAGAAACTTTTTCTTAATCTAAATTGGTGAACGAAAGAATTAACAGTAGTAAAGTGTTTAGTAACATTCTCTTCAGTCGAATCATCCAAAGTTAAATGAAGAACTGTATATTTATCAGAAAAATTGTGAATGCCTGGTCCACTGTGTATTGAAACAATTGCTTTAATTGAATTTTCTGTTAATTGCTTTTCGTCATTGGCAGATCTTAAAAAAATAATTAAGAAAAACAACAAAAGTATTTTATTGAGACTAGTCGAAAATAGAATAAATTTGCGGACAAGTTATGCAAACAATCAAGGAAAAGGTTCAATAAAGTTTTGAAGAACCAGAAAAGGGAACAAAGCAAATTTAAAATCAAAAAATACCTCAAACCTCCAACATAAAGTCCAGGCAACACCTTAAATCAAAGATAATTATCTAAAAATATTTTTTAAAAAAAAACCTCATTCATCATTGCACAATAAATATTTTTAATTCGAAATTTTTGAAGGGAAGTATGTGCAAATAATCTTTTGAAATCTGTCATATATAAAAACTGAAAAATAAATTTTAAATTAAAATTAGTAAACGAAAAATTAAAAAAATAAAATTTGAAAAATAAAATCATTAAAAAAAGAAAAAAATTTTTTTGAACTTTTCTTTAAATTTTAAATAAATTTAAAACAATATGAAAAAAAATTATTTTTTGGTTTGATATTTGCATTATTTAAATAGTATAAATATATATTTTTGCAATAGAGAGATTATTTATATGCGAAAATATAATTATTGAAATGCTCAGAGTAAGAAAAACAGGGCTGAAACAATCGACAAAATTAAGTAATTGAAGAATTTTAAAATGAAAAATAATATTTGAGTTCATCCCCAGCAGGGGTATGTTTTCCAAAAATTCCGCAATTGGAATAACCTTGCCCGAAATTACAACAGATTTATTCAGTTTGATACTTTGGCAGCTTTTGTGGGTTTACAATTAGTATTTTTGCGTTTGTACTGCGCGATCCTGTTGGGCTCTAGTAGAGATCCTAGATCCTCCAGATCCTCTAGTAGACCTTTATAAATTTTAAATAATATAGTAGACCCGATCCCCTAGTAGAGAAATAAAAAAAAAGAATATTTTAGGTTCAACTTTAGTTGACCCTTTAACTTGGTTCCAAAAAAAATTATAAAAAAATAAATTAGACAAGGATCAGGAAAAAATCGGATAGAAAATTTTTCTGGTGTAGTTCAGTTTCAACCCCTCACAAGTGTGTGTGAAAATGAAAGAACAAAAAATTGAAAATAAAAATATTCAACTTCAATTTCTGTTTTGATGACCTTGTGTTGAACTAGAAGCATTATTTGTACTATCATTTCCTCCAATAATTTCATTCTCATTTTTATTATTCCAAGAGAGACACATAAAATCACCAAAAGGTCCAACACGATCTCTAGCATTAGAAAGTTCATCTAAAAATGAAGGGCCAGCACTTTCTTCTGTTGAATCTTGTTGTCTAAAAAATTTTTGGGGAAATAAATAAAAAAATAAAAAAAAACTCGATTTTTGACGATTTTCTTGACCAACGATTTTCTTCTTTATCATTAACCTGTCCACTTTGACCACCTCGCTTTGGAGGTATTGGAGGCGGTGATGAAGGTGAATTTAATGGATTATTAATTATTTGCTGGACAGTCCTTTCTGGACGGGGAGGGGGAGAAATTGTTGAAGTTTTGGATTTTATTGAATTATTTTCTAAAAAAATTAAATTTTTACTCAAAATTAAAATAAAAAAAACCTTTTTTAAAGTCTGCAGGATTGTATGATTCAATAAGTACGTTTTCAGTTCCTTTTATTTCACAACGACAAAATGGACAATTCTTTTCACCATCAGATTTTTCCTTTAAAAATTTTTTTTGCTATTGATAAGGCAAAAAAAATTTCGGTACTTTTCGGTTATGAGGTCACACTTTTTAAAAAGTTCTCAAAATGGTCAATATATCATATATAGGGTAGAAAAAGGTGCCGAGTCGAACGGTACCAATCTTTTTTCACGGAGATTCTTGTAAACCGAAATATAGGGCTCGAATGGTCAAAAACCATAGGCTCCATAGGTTTGCGTTGACCATTTTGAGCTTGTTCATCTGCTCTCAGAATCAAGATTTCGAGCTGATTTTAGTGTCATTCGACTCAGCTCGAGGAGATCTTTCGAATGAGCTATAATTCAAAAAATTTAATTTTTCACCCAAAAAATGAGCTTACTACTCCATATGGTTTTTGACCATTTCGAGCCCTATATCTCGGTCTACAAGCATCTCCGGTAAAAAAGAGTGGTACCGTTCGACTCAGCACCTTTTTCTACCCTATATATGATATATTGACCATTTTGAGAACTTTTTAAAAAATGTGACCTCATAACCGAAAAGTACCAAAATTTCTCTTTCGCAAACCTGCCATTTATGCAAACAAGGCCGACATAATAAATGCCCACAAGGTTCCAATTTAACATTTTTATTCTGTTCATCACAAATTTTACACATTTCAAAAGTTGTACCCATCTCGCAATAAATTTGGTATTGCTCAGGTGATACATGCACTTTGCCTTCAGTATTTGATTGAATGGCAAAAGAAAGATCAATATTTTTGGGACGTCCATCTGGGTAAAGATAAAAACCTTCACGACTGCCGTCAACCTAAAATGAAAATTTTCGAAAAATTTCAATTCGTAAGTCTTTCTATGATCAAACATAAGTGGATTTGAACAACTTTGTCATTCGAAAATTGCAAAGTCAATGAATGGAAGCGTTCGGTGTCAATCCCTACACAAAATGATTATTCGTATCCTGCCTAGAAATAAATTTCCATTTATCAAATAATTCCAACCGGCCCAGACCCGGAAAGAGAGAAGAATCCCAAAAAGAATAGCGGACAACAATTGCCTATTCTTTTAACAAAAAAATAAAATTACCAATGACTGAATCAACGATTTATTTTGTGGAATTGTTTGATATATCTTTTTATCTGGAGCCACGTAACCAATTGCCCATTGACCCAAACGTGTGCAACTCAATCGAAAGACATAACTTAAAATAATTAAATAAAAGGCAAAAATAAAAAGTGATAGAAACCTTCCCGGTTTATTAATATATTGCTGAAGCCGTTGTTTAACCTCGTCATATGTCATAAAAGCAACGTATCCTGGAGATTGATATTAAAATTTAATTTAAAAAATAAGAGACAACCTGGATGTGTAACAGCTAACCATTGCCAATTTTTGAGTAATGAATCCCATGGATGGAAAAGTCTGAAAATTTAAAAAATTAGGAAACAGCTTTAAAAATGTACCTGGTAAAAACATCAAATTCAAAATTGCTGATGTGATCTATAAAAATTATTTTTTTTTAATATTAGAGGCAAAACTAATAAACATTGACAGAAAGTAATTTATGGGAAAATTAGAATAAATATACGAAAGTCATTTTGGCCTTGAAACAAAAGCTATTAAACAAATAGGGTTATCCTCCAGACGAGGAGGGCCAAAATTTTTGGGAAGGCAGCGACACAGGTAAGAAGTGACAAGAGCAATCCCACTAGAAAGTTAAAGGAACCAGAAATAATTTTTAAAAATTTACCATTGCATGTGAGATCAATAGTATTCTTCAAAGCATGAGTCTCATTTCCAACACAAAATTTGTGTACTTTATTCAGTTCATTTCTAAATTCTTCCCAAGAGACAATTGTTCTGTCAGCCCCAAAAGAATCATTCCAAAAATCTTCTGCCTGTCTTTTAGTAATTCTAAATCGACTTCCAATGAATTTTCCATCGGGAAATTCTGCTTTTAATTCAGAAAACATATGAGAAAAAATTAGTGAATTCATTGTTAATTGCCTCCTTGCAGTAGTCGCCTCATCAAAAATTTTTTCTTTTTGATTTTGAAATAGCCGAACAGTTCTTTTGCATGTATTGGTTAAATTAGATATAAATAACCGTAAATAAAGATTGCTTTGTAAAATGTTTGGATCATTTGTCAAAATGATATTGAGAAGATTGTAAATGTCAGGCAAAATATCGAGAATGAATGGAGGCGAATTTTTGAGAAACATTCGAGGCTGTTGACACAATCGAATAACAGTTTCCATTAAATGATAACATTTTTCTATTGATTTTCGATCCTGAAAGATTAAAAATTAAGGTAATCTTTTAGTTTACTGTTCTATAGAAAGAAATGAGCAGGAAGCGTTATTCTGAAGTTTGACAGTAGGTAAATGAGTGTGTTGACATGAGTCCAAATGTTAAATTAAAATTTGTTTATTTCGAGTCCGGACCGAACTGGACTAAATTCTAAGCTAATATTCGGACTAATGACAGAACACTCAATTACCTACTGGCAGAGTTGAAAAATACCAAAAGATCACTTCTCCCTTATTTTTCTAGGGGCCGTCCCGATTCTCGAAAATCGGAAATTCACGACGTTTTTTGAGTCAGGATTCTGATTTCCCGAAATCGGAAATTTTGGTTTCTTGTCGGCAGGATCCCTGCTAAGGACCAGTAAACTACAAAAGTACCAAAAACTTTTAAAAATTTTAGAACAAACCTGAGAATTCAAAGGACAATTTGGACTCGTCATTAAAGTTTGTGAAGAAGGAAGGTTTAAATTATATGTGAATATATTTTGTGTTGAAGAATTGACTAAAGAAGCGGCCGTTCCCACCATACGATTCAGGAATGAACTAGCAGCGTTCATATGTTCTCTTTTTAGCTTAAAAACAATGGGAAAATTTATTTTAAATGAGTAATCTCAAAGCGACTAGAATGTGCAATAAAAAAATTAAAAATGTCAAACCGTTAGCAAAAAATAGAATTTTTCATATTTCAAGGACAAAAATCAAAGAACACCAAGAAAATTGACAAAGCAAGACTCTAACGTCCAAAAAAATAAAATTTTATTTATAAAGTATCAGTCTGTTTTGGTGCGAAAAGTTTTATCGTCCGAGTGCACTCTTAACATATTAGCACTGAAACGGCCGCCGGAAGTGTTAAAATAGTAGACAGTTGAGTCTCAACGAGTTTAACTAGAATTTTTGATTTATCAATTGTTGTTCGATTAATTTTCTTTTAAATTTTATTTGTTAATTCCAAAAATTGTTTCTTTTCAGTATATGTTAATTGAAGATTTCTCTTTGTTAGAGAATAAATATTTACGTCCTTTTACGAGTAGGCGGATTAATGACTCATTTTTTGTTAAGGTAAGAAAGTGCAAATTAAAATGAGCGATCGCGAATTAGAACTTGTTCTAGAATATAGTAGGTTTGTTTTAATTTTTTTTCTTCTTCATTTTCTTATTTAAAAAAATTTTTTAGACAAACATACCTCAAAGAACTAGCAGAAAGAAAAAAAGAAGAAAAAAGTCGGGAAGAAGACGTTGATTTATTAATTATAGAGAATCCTGAAGTGCTCGAACAGGATCGTAAAATTAAACAGATTAAACAAATGTTGTGTGCTAAAAAAGAGTGAGTCGTTCTTGATTCATTTTGAGGTTTCTAAAAAATTTTTTCCAGGCCAGTTGATTCATACCAAAATGTCCCACTTTCTCCTGTACATTATTTACCCCAATCACCATGCTTTATTCAACCTCAATATACCGGCCAGATTTTTCCTTTTACAACAAACTTGTATAATCAACAACAATTTCAACTTCCTTCTACTTCAACAGCAATACATTTTGAACGTGGCTAATTTTTATTTTTTTGATTTTTTTTTAATTTTTAAAAATTAAAAAATCAATTTTTCGGCAATCCCGGAGAATAGGGTTTTCTTCGTAAAAAATTTTTAGAAATGAGAAAAAGGACAAAATTTGAGCTCAAATTTGTAAATTTTACCCTAGAAAAAAATTTTTTTTTATTTCTAATTTTTTTCGAATAAACCCTTATTTTCCGGGATTGCCAAGTTTCCTTAAAAATTTTAAATTTTCAGAACAATTTTTCCCCTCAACTTCCGTGTCTGTTCCAAACTCTCCCGATTTTTGGTCTAATAATTTTATTCAACCTACTCCACTTTCTATAATGAACTCAAACTTGATTAATCCTCTATTGGTTCAGACGGATGTAAAAACGCCAGAAAAGGTTTGAATTTTCGATTAAACTTTTTCTTAGGAATTTTTGAAATTTTTTAAAAAATTTGTAAAAATTCTTTTAAAAAAAGTTTCAGAATTCTTCAAATTCCTCCTCTTCACTCAAAATTCCTTTCCAAAATGGAGATTTGATCGATTTACAGTCACCCATGAAAGCATCCTCTTTGACTATTGAGGAGGTTGGTTTTTGTGAATTTTTTAACAAAAAAAAATTTATTTTTTAAAGTTTGATCCTCTCTACAAAAAATTGCAAAAAAGTGAAATGGAAAAAAATGAAGAAAATCAACAGAGGAATACAAATGAAGAAATAAAAAATAATTTTGAAGATAATACTGATAAATGTGTTGATGAAGCAACAGCTGATAATAATTCTAACAAAATACAACCTCAACTACATCAACAGAGGTACTGTTTATGTAGGGAGTTTTTAAAATTTTTACAAATTTTAAAATTTAATGGAGAAAATTTTAACTCAAATTTGGTTTTTAATCTATATTCAAGTTTTTCGTTACTAATTTTTGGAGTTCGAAATTTTCACGTTGTCGGGCTCGGTATTCAAGTTTTTTCTTTCAAGTTGATTTGGGTGGGGTTTTCTTTGCTAAAACTTTCCGTGTCTAGGAACCTTTTTCCGGGCCGATAAGCTAAATTTGATTAAAAAATTTTTTTTATTTTCCAAAAATTTATTTTGGATTTTTTTAGAGTTTATTTTCTATATAAAATAATCTTTAAATTATTAAAATTATTGTTATATTTTTATCTTTTAAAGGTTACTTGCCTGTGATGATTTTAATACACGTCAAGAATTGTCTTGTGATTTTTACAAAGAGGTTTGTTTTAATATTTAGAAATGCTTAAAAGAAATTTTTTTAAGAAACAATTACTTTATGAACGTTCACCTCGAATCCGAATTTGCTCAAATAATAATTTTCAAAATGTTTTCTTCCTTGCTCCAGTACTTGATTATTTTGTAACACCTGTTGATACAATTAAATTACATATTCATCAAGACGATACGTTTGTTTAAAATTTTTGTTATATTTTGGAAAATTGTAAAAAAATTTATGTGAAGGAAGGAATTTTTATTTTTTTTCAGTTTTTTCCTCAAAGAATTTTTTTCAACTCTTTCATCCTTTTTCCCTGTTTTAAGTCAATTCAAACTTCAATACCTGGGATGGATTTTTCCGCATTTTTAAAAACGGAAGCCAAGGGTAAAAGAGCCAAAAAAGGCGAAGGAGATCCCATCCTTATCCAAAACCTAATCTTTTTTATTTAAAAAATATTTTTAGTTGGCCTCGTGACACACCCGAAGAATTGCAATCTTTCGAGCTAGCTTGTGCTGTCAAGAAAACTACCGATGAAATTCTTCTTGAAGTATTGATAAGGTTGCTTTCACAAGAAGAAATCCAGCGTAATGAGGGTCAAATCCCACTTAACGATTATGCTTTAAAAGTATTTGGAACTGATGAATTTTTGGTTCCAGATGCACCAATAGGTTTTTTTTAAATGATTTCTAATAAGAAAAATTTTTTTTAGGCAAAAATTTATTTGTGGCACAATTTTTAGCAGGCGGAAAAGATGTGGATTTGGAAGTTGGGCGTAAAATATTGCCAAAAATAAAAACTAATAATAGATTAATTTCAAGGTTTTAATTTTATTTTTGTAAAAATTTTTAAATTTATTTTTTGAAGAACTATTTCTACAAATCAGGCATTGAATGAGGAATTATTTACCAATTTAGTCCAAAATCTGACCAAACATTTAACGAATTGTTTAGCGGATCCAGAGGATAAAAAATTACGTCAACCTGTTTTACAATCTATTAAGTAAGAAATTGATTTAAAAAATGGGGTGAAGCTTGTAGTGGTAAGGTTGGGAGAAAAATTAAAATTCTGCACGAGATTTAAGCTAAGATTGTAACTTTGAAGACTAGGGTTGGATTTTTCGAACCGGACCGACGTTCGAGTCATTTTTTCGGGCCTCGTTTTTATCGAACCGGGCCGTTTGAGTCTTTTTTGGGCCAAAATTCGAGGCCCGTTTCGATCTTTCGAACCGAACCGAACCGGGTCCCTAACCCTATTGAAGACCCATAACTATCCGAGAATTGCTTTGAAGCCAAAAATTGGCAATAGCTCATTAACTATGCTCTATAGAATGATACTAAAAAATAGGCTTGTAAAAGACGGGAGAAAGGGGATTAAATTTCCTTGACTTTCGGAAACATTTCATTAAACCTCAATGAAATGTTTAAAAAAGTTGTTACAAATTGAAATTGTAGGAAGGGGCACAAACATTAAAAAATATTAAATTTTAATATCCAAATCATTTATCAAATTTTTTCCAGATTATTAACCAACAGAACAAACAACGTTCAAACATCAGAACTTGTTTCTGCTATAGATCTTCTTTATTCAGCCAACAATTTAAATTCATTACACGAAGCAGTCAATTCTATAATAACTTCATTAATTCATCTCTTTCGTGCTTATTGTTGTTCTTCTCTAGCTGATTTTTCAATAAATACAGACCCTTTGGGTTTAATTGAATCTTTATCAATTCGAGATAGTGCTCTCTGCAACGAGAAATTGCTTATAAGTGTTGAATCTGCACACAATTTGCCAAACTCTTGGAAATCTCTTTACAAGTCTTTTTACCTCGAAATGCATTTAATGTATGGTCCAAACTCTTTTGGACGTTGTAAAAGTTTGGCGAAACAAATTGTAAATAAACAGGGCTTTAAATTTGTGCCTTTTCAACTTTGGGTATGAAAAAAATTTTTTTTAATTAAAACTTGGGTTGTTCTTAGATGTATGAGTGGGAGAGGGACAGTTTAGAGAATATGATGAAAGCCAAGTAATGAAATTTCCTTGACTTTCGGGGACGGATAAGTGAAGGGAAAGTTTAAAAAAATTTTTAAGATTAGGGTTGTTCTTCGTTGGATGGTGTAGGAGTAAGCTCTTAGCGAGAATTCTCGTGAGGACCGCTAAAGGGGTTCAAGAAAATTTTCTTTGCCTTTCAGAGGCTAATAATTTTTCGGGAACCTAACGAAAATTAAAAAAAAATTTGCAGAATGATTTTGATGTTTACATCCCTTATCTGCCTCGGGAAGTCCAGATTTGTTTTATTTTGTGTGGTGTCCCTGTAGTTGGAGAAGAATGTTCAACAACACATAATAATGAATTATTTAGTAGCAGCAACAGTTCTTTAATTGCTCCACATTATTTAAGCAATGAACATTTAACTTTACCAAATAATACAAACAATGAAAAAAGACTTGCTTTTGCCAATTTACCTTTATTCAATATTGACGGGTATGATTTGTATATATCGGGGTTTATTTAATTTATAACACCCATCCTTAATTTGTTCAGAGCTAACAATGAGACAAACTTATTTTAAGGGTGTGCCTTTCGCCAAAATTTCGCCTTTTTGGTGTTTCGTCTTTCGCTTTTTCTTGACTTCCACCTTTTCGTTATTTGCTTTTTAAAATCTCTTTTGGCACACCCCTGAATTGTTTCTAGTAGTTGGTCGGTTCACGGTCGGTTAACCGAACCTGAATCGAAAACCGGTATAGTTTTTAGTTTTTGTTTTATTTTCCCCACGGGGTGTGTTGTGTCAAAGACTCAATTGTAAATTTAAAACTTATCGTTACTGTTTAAATCTTTTCAGCTTTCTTCTTCAAGGCCCTCTACTTGTTCCAATGTACCAAATGAATAATGATACAGTTCATCCTTGGGGACCCAGACCATTAATTAGCGATTCTGATGAAATCATTTTATTTGTTAAAGCCTTAGAATATGATTATAGAATTCGATTTCCAATGGATATAACTCCTAGTGAAGTGTAATATTTTTTTTATTAAATTTTTAAATAAATTCTTTAAAAATTTCAAGGCATTGGCGTGATTTTGGTGCCTTACAACCTGAAAAACAAGAAGTCTTACAAAGCCTTATAGATAGTGCTGTCAGCCTTAAGTGAGCCTTCAAAAATTAAGTTTTCTTATAAATTTTCTTGTCTAGATTGACCAAAGACGATCGCGAACTTCTTTGGTCAGAACGTCACTTTCTTCATCAATTCCCAAGTGCCTTACCTCTCGTTCTCAGCTCTGCTACATGGGGTACTTACAATTTGGGGAATATTTATGCTCTTCTTAAAAAATGGGCGCCATTACCTCCAATAATTGCTTTGGAGTTGCTTTTACCGAAGTGAGTCTTTTTTGGGTTATTTTGACTTTAAAATCTTTCAATTTTAGTTTTCAAGATCGTTATGTCCGCGAATATGCTATTAAATCAATCAAGCAGGCATCTTCTGAATTTATTTTTAATTTAATTACCCAATTTGTGGAAGCTCTCCGATTCGAAACCTTTGAGGATTCTGCCTTGGCTTTGTTTTTGTTGGAACACTCAACTAAAGATAGAAGATTTGCTTTGGAACTTTTTTGGTTTCTTAAAGATTTTTGTTAATTTTTAAAAATTTAAATTTAAATTTAGGCAACTTCAAACAAGAATTCAAGATGTTAAAAGTCCTTCATTTGCTTCGCGTTGCAAATTACTCCAAAAAATGCTTCTAGATTTAGGCATACCAAGCTTGGAAGATGAAATAGCTTTTCAACAACAATTTTTGGATAAAATTGATAAAATTTCTTTAATAGTTAAAGAATGTGGGGATTCAGCGGTATTTTCTAAATTTTAAATAAAATTTTTTGAAAGTTTTTAGACTAAAACCTTGAAAAAAGAACTTTTTCAATTTTTGGATGTTTTTGATTTTTCTAATCTACGCATTCCAATCGCTACTTCTTTTTGTTGCAAATCGCTATCGGTAAGAGTTTGCTTTTAATTTATAGGGGTTTTTTGTTTTTGTGGATCTTCTAGTCTTTTGAAGGGTTTCTTTGTTTTTTTTCATTGTCCTTCTCTTTTTTCTACAAATTGTTTACAAAAACTTTGAACGCCTATAACTTTTCGAAATTGAGGTATTACAATAAGTTTTCGACCATGCCCTACACGATGGTGCAAAAATATTTACGAAATTTTTGGTGACAGTTCGATAGGTTCCCTTGTTAGTTGGGTTATAACAACTTGCAATACTTAATTCTAGCCTTTAGTTTGTGCCGGGCTTGAGTCCAGGAAAAACCTAGAAAGCTCTAAAAATAGACTATTTTGCAAGTCTTGAGCTTCCTGAATATTTTAATTTTATTTTTTTTATTTACGTAACTTTCGGCTAGATGCTCCTTGGAATCCTAATTTTTAAAAATATTTTTTTAATATTTTTTTCCTTTTTTTAGATAGATGACTGTTCAATTTTCAGTTCAAAAACAAAACCAATAAAAATTGTTTTTAAAGGCAAACGTAATTTTTTTGGAATAATTTATAAGGTTTTCTTAAATAAATATTTTTTAATGAAATTTTTTTCTAAAGGCTGGAGATGATTTAAGACAAGATGCTGTTGTTACTCAATTAGTTCGTGTAATGAATGATATCTGGTTAAGTGAACAACTCGATTTAAGAATAATTTCTTTTCGATGTATGCCTACAGGAAAGGATAAAGGATTGGTTTGTTTTTTTAGAAAACTTGAATGAAAAATTGCTTTTTTGAATTTTTTCCTGAATTTTCTTGAAAAAATTCTAGAAGCTCAATGTCTTCTAATTACTGACTTGGGCCTGGCTTTTTTTTAGAAGAACCTAGGGAGCTCTAAAAATATTTGGGTGAAATACAAGAAAAGCTCACACCTTGGGCAAGACTGCCTCGAGTTTTACACACAAACCTGTGGTCACTCAACTATTGACTGGCGTGAATCTGGTGTTGTTAATATTTTTGGTCATTATCTATCACCTTTTTCTTAGCTTTTCTTTTATCGCCGGGTCACGACTTTTAAATGATTTTCTTCTAATATCAAAAATTTTCAGATTGAACTAGTCCCAGATTGTCGCACTATAAAAGAAATTCAAGAAGAAATGGGTACTGGAGTTAAAGCTGTATATGAAGATATTGTTCTCCTTAATTGGCTAAGAAAAAATAATTCTTCTGAATTTCAATACAAAGCGGCGCTAGAAAACTTTCGACGTTCTTGTGCTGGTTGGTGTGTAGCAACTTATATTTTGGGTATTGGAGATAGGTTTGTAGTCTCTGAATTATTTCTTTAATTTCTTAACTGTGACTTGCGGATTTTAGATCTAATTAAAAAAAAAGAGCTGGGATCTTTGGGACTGGATCCAGTTCAGGAAAGACACAGGAAATTCCAAAAATGTTAAGGCCTCTTAACTCTAGTTACAGAAAACCCGAGGCCTTGGTTAATGCCAACCATATCGATCTATATTTGAGACTAGAAATTTACAGATCCCTAAGTTTGTATCCGCAAGTTTCTATGTCTCCTTAATCCTCAAAATTCTCTTCTATTTTATTAAATTTTCATTACAAATACTTAAACTACAATCATTCTTATAATTATTCTAGGCACAATGACAACATTATGTTAACAACAACTGGACATATGTTTCACATCGATTTTGGCAAGTATATGGGTGATAAACAAATGGCTGGAATATTTAGCCGGTAAAACCTTTAGGGGAAATTAAAATTTTTTCAAAAAATATTTTTCTAGTGACAGAGTCCCATTTGTTTTTACAAAAGAAATGGCTTTTGCTATTAATGGTGGTCAAAATACAACAGAAAATTTTCAACGTTTTGTTGATGAATGTTGTGAAGCTTTTAATTTATTACGCAAAAATCGTCCAATTTTGTTAAATATTATACGATTTCTTTCTTGTTCTGATATTCCTGGAATGTGTATGGAATCTGTGGTTTTTTAGAATTTTTTAAATTAAAAAATAATTAATTTTTAAAGGATTATGTGGAAAATAATTTAATGTTAGACATGAATGATGTTCAAGCTAAAGTTCTTTTTACACAAAAACTTGAAGAATCGTTACAAAGTAAGCAGTTTAATTTTAATTTTTCTTTCATAAAAAACAGAATAAGACCTCATTGTAAAATACTTGTGACATTTCAATTCAGGATACTTTTTTTAAAAATTTGGTTAAAAAATCAAAGTCAAGAATTCACGATCAAAGAATTCAAAAAAATAACCCAGTAACTCACAATCAACTAGTTAAATAACCCTTAACTCGGGGTTGAATTTATTCTACCGATTTTAACCCGTAGCTAACAAATAAGGGTTATTTGCCCCGGGTTGTTTAACCTGGTTATCCAACTCCGAATTTATTCTACGGGCCCTGGATACACCCTTGTAGGAGATACCCTCCTCATTTTACTAGTGGTACGATTTTTAGCCTGTTAGTGTGATTTTATAGTGAGGGCAAAAAGTCGAATAAAAATCCAAGTCCACTTTTATTAAAAATTTTTTAATCAAAAAATCCGTCGATTAAAAATCTTAAAAAAATTCAATTTTTTTTTTCAAAGGCTGGTTCCCTCGTCTCAACTTTTTGGCACATACAATTGCTCAATTTAAAGGAAATCCATTACAAATTTTTGGAGTTTCAAAGGTTGATGATATGAATAGATTATCGTTTATATCTGAAATATATACGTAAATTTAATTTTTATTTTTTTTTCTAAATAAAATTTTAAAGAGAAAAGAATGATGGAAGAATAGATTCTGTTGTGGTTAGCTCTTTTGATAAATGGTCAGAAAATTCCAAAAAAGTTTATGTAAGAGAGATTGGGATTAAAAAAATTTTTTTTTGAATTTTTAGATGTATAAATTGTTGGTTAGAAGGGTAAATGAAAATGTCCCGACAGAGATTTACAGGTTTAATTTTAAAAAATTTTCTAAAAAAAATTTTTTTTTTGAAGAAATTTCCCTAAAAATTTTTTGGGTTTTTTTCGAAAATTTTTCGAATTTTTTTCGATTCTCCAAAAATTTTCTAAAAATTTTTTTGAAGAAATTTTCCTAAAAATTTTTTTTTGGATTTTTTAAATTTTTTTGGATTTTTTTAATTTTCCAAAAAATTTTCTAAAAAATTTTTTTAGGTCATATCAAGAATTTGAAGAACTTCGCTTAAAACTTTGCTATCGTTTTTCTATTAGAGCCATTCCTTCCCTATCCCAAACTGTTACGATTCTTGGAAGAACAAATGTTAGAGAAGTGGCTATTCGACGTGTGGTAAAATTTTAAAAGAATTTTTTTGAAATTTAATTTTTGTTTTTAAGCCCGAACTTCAAGTTTTCCTTCAAAAATTGTTTAAACTTTCTGATGAAGTTGCACACTGTGATTTGGTCTATACGTTTTTGCACCCTCTCTTTCGTGATACTGAACCTGAAAGTCGGAAGATTAATGGTTTATTTATTTTTTTTTAAAATCTAAAAAATAGGAGGGGATTGGTTCTGTAATCAGTCGAAGCTAGAGTTGTCAGTTCCCCATATCCGAAACCTGAAAAATAGGTTTCCGAAATTTTCATTTAGGATATTAGCTCACGGATAAAGAAAAAGGGTTGTTTGTTAATTAGTTGTTAATTAAAAGTCTAAAACTAATTTAGACTTTCTCCAAAAAATTATAGTTTAAAAACTTTATTAAAAATAAGAATAAATAAAAGAATGTCATGTTAGAATGTTGATGTACTACTAAACGGAATCCTTTTTAAATAGGCAGATAATAACAATTTTGTTTTAAGTAAGATGATTTTTATTTTTGTTAGAATTTCCAGTTTTTCTGGTTATCAACAGCTTCTAGAAAATTTTGCTAAATTTTCTAAAAATTTCTAGTCTACTCCAAATTTTTTTTAATAATTTTCAAAACTTTTTCTCTTTCACAGGCATACCAGACATTTTGCCAGATTTAAATTTCCATTGTCAAGTACTTCTTCGGATTACTTTACTAGACCAAGCAGATTTACGCATCTTTGTTGGTCATGCAAGAAATTTACCTTTAGTTAGCCGTGATCAATCCCCAGACAGTTATGTAAAAACCTATTTGCGTTGGGGAGAGGAGGATGACAGTATTTTGTTTGCCCCTCGTTATTGGAAAAGAAAGACAAGAGTTGTTAAAAATACACAAAATCCAACATATAATCAAGAGGTTTTTTTTGAAAAATTTTTTTTCCTAAAAATTTCCCTCCTAATTTAACAGATTTGTTATTCACTAAAAGACGTTATTCTACACGGAGTTTCCGTCAATGAAATTTCGTTAGATGTCTCAATTTGGCACTCTGGAAATCTTAAAGTTAAATTCCCCTTGTGTGAAACTCGAATCAAATTGAATCAGTTGACGTGTGAAACAGACAAAAGAGGAATGGAAAAAATTGAAAGTTGGTTTTCGATGACAATTAATTGATTTTTGAGGCCTTAGCGAATTTTTTCTGCTTTTCTTTTCTCAAACAAAATTCTAATAGTAAGGCCTGAGGTATTTACGATAATAGCTATATACCATTAGATTCAGGGGTGTCATTGGAAATAGGCGGACGGAGTTCCTACAGTTATTCCAGGCATCTACACCATTTCCGACTGACCTCTGGAAGTGGGAAATATCTTACAATTGACATCCCTGTTTCGAATTTTCTTTTGATTTTTTCTATTTATCAGTATTGGCATTGCTTTCTAAAATATACCCAAATTTCCCATCTTAAGATTCTCCACTAATAGTAGTAAATTATGAACCTCCTTTTTTCTGACATATTTTTAAGTAAAATACATTCACCAAAGTTGTCTTTTCATATTTAAAAAATCCTGACCAGATTTTTTATTGTAGTTTAAAAATATTGTATATTTTAAAAATAGATTTAAAATAATTTTAATAATTTTCAAGAATATTTTTACCAAATAAAATCCAAATATTTTAAGATAATTTTACAAAAAATTTGAATAGATTTTACAAAGAAAAAAAATATAATTAACCATCAAATATTGGGGCATTTTAAAATTACCATTAATCAATCCCAAATAATTACGAGTTTGTGCTGACAACAACTTCAGCTCTATTAACATTCTCATTATAAATATTTTCCTGGGCCATTGACGGAATATCCTCAAAAAATATTGCCTTAACAAACGTTTTGAACTCATTAAAGTTTTGCTGGAAATTTAAAAAAATAAAAAAAACTTCCGAAATTTTAACCTCATTAATTTGAATTGTCCCTTTGCGAACCAAAATATCAAGTGCAGCACGAGAAGCTGAAGCCTTTGCATTTTTCTTATTCTTTTCTGGAACACCTCGCGCTTGAAATAGTGGTCCTCCCAATACTTCTAATGGAACACCAGGAATTGGATACGGCGAAATTATTGCATCAGCAATGAATCTTAAAAAAATATTGGTTCTAGTCTAATTTAGTAGTCCAATGAAAGTTTATTAGTTCAATCAAAAGTCCAAACAAGCACAAACTCAAAAATTTATTGAACTCAAAAGGACATATCCAAGGGACCCCCATTCCCCCAAAATCGACCCCCTGGCTACGCCCTTGTGAACTCATAGGATTTCGTTTGGACTCACAAACCTTCATTGGACTCGTAAACTCTGAACGGACTCATAAACTCTCATTGGACTACTAAACTAAACCAGAGCCTAAATTTTTTCTTTGCTAAAAATGGAAAAGGAAAACTATTAAAACTCTAAAACAGGCCTTTGACTTGTGACAATATTAATACATAAAACTTTTCTAGTATTATTTTTCTCATATCCAAGAGCGTAACTGGCGGAGGTAATGGAAAAACTTTAATAAGTAAAATAAAAAATAACCTCGGTCCAACTTCACTAATCTCATTATAGCTAAGCGCCCCCAATCGATACTTTGCACAAATTTCAGTTAAAAGGACTGTTGCGTTTTTACTTGCATGTGTTGCAAGAAGAAAATGTGTACGAGGATCAAGATTTTCATTTGGATGTAATGTCAAAAGGAATTGGTATGGCTGAAATTCTATTGGACGAATTCCAGATGAATTAGTTTCAATAGATACCAAATCTTCCTTAAAAATACAAAAAATTATTTTACTAAAATTATTTTGGCTATTGTCCAGATCATGCATCCAATCGCATCGCACATCTAATAGAACCTTTTTCCTAGCCGAATTTTTATGCGTCCAATCTATGGCGATAAGTATCCGGTTTTGCGTATGATATGAACATATGATGAATGAACATAAAATTCGGTATTGTGTGTGTACCATAAATCAGGATGAGCGGAGCCCTCTATTTCCATTAAACCTATCGCCATAAATTAGCTATCGCCATGGATTGTCAAAATTGATTAGACATATAAACTGGACGTGTAAAAGTCGATGAACAAGAGCCATTATTTTTCCCCTAACTTTAAAAGATCTTCCATCATTCCCACTGATTAATAAAAAAATTTTCTTTAATAAAAAAACCTCCGACGGTTCCTTCTTTCGCTTCTTTTGAGTAGGCCGGCTTTTAACAGATTTTGGACGTCCAACTTTCTTCTTACCAAGATTAGTCCAACCCTTTTCAATCAAATGTTGTGCAATAACTACAGCACAACAAGCTTTTGCCTTTGATTTTGAGTTAGAAATTTGACCATGAAAAAGTCCTTCATTGAATAAAGCAACACAAGCATAACGTCTAAAGGCAAAAATTATTTAAAAAAAATTAAAAATTTCTTACGGAGGAAGATATGGCAATGTAAAGACAAAATATTCTGGAAGCTCCACTTTCTTCGGTTCTTTAATTTCCATTTGTTCCGATTTCTCCTGTCTAAAAAATTTATAATAATTAAAAGGAACTTGGTATAAAATAAATAATTTTGGCTAGGTTCTCCAGTAATTTAAAAAGAAATTCACCGAAAATTTTTCGAAACAAAATTTCGTTGAAAGTTAAAGAAAGATAGAATTATTGAAAAAATTGGCAGCTTTAAAGACTTTTTGCGGGGTTTTCCCATCTAATTATTTTTGCCTATTTTCTTGTTTTTAGGACTTTTAATGAATAAATAGATGCCAAAAACAAATCGAAAGAAAATGGGAAAAAAATAAAAAAAAATGGGAAAAATCCTTAATGCCCCACAGAAATAACCTGATTTTTTTCAGGTTATAAATAAATTTAAAAAATTAATTTCAAACCCTCCAGTCGTTTCTTCTCGCTGTTGTTTTTGTTCTTCATTCATTTCTCTAATTCTCCAAGAATTTAAACGCATAATACATTGGCTAACATAAGCAACAGAATTCCAATTTTCATGCCACATTCCAGCTGCATTAAGCTTTTCAATTGTAGATTCAGACAATTTTAACTCAGCCCAAAATGCATTTTCACAAAAAAGTTTAAAAGCTCTGTTGCGAACATCTTCATATTTCTCCTTGTCTTTGTAATCCAACGGCATTGGATTTTGTTCTTCAAAGTTCTGAAAAAATTTTAAATTAAAAAAATTATTTTTTTTTTTGCGGACAAAATTTCTAAAATTGCGGACATTAGTGATTAAGTTAATAGAAAAAAATTTATATCCGAAAAGAGCAGGCCCATAATATTAGCAGGCCCATAACGAATGGGTAGGGGCCCCCTCTTTGGCGCCCGAATTCGGCGCAGAAAAATATTTTCCATGTTGGCCTCCCCCGAAAAAATCCTGGTTACGGGCCTGAATAATAGTGTTCGTCTAATCAATTCTTTTGTAGTTTATCGGAATTCGTAAATAGAGGCGGACCAGATGCGGGATTTCTCTGATTTAGGCCTGTAGCCAGACTTTTTTCGCCTACAACCCCCGAAATTTTGCCTGTATCAACTGAAGAATATAACCAAAAATTATTATAAAAAACCTGTTTCATCTCCAAAAGTTTAGGACCAATCGGACCATCAAAATCAACATCTTCAGCAAACAAAGCCATCTGTGGATCGACAGATAAAGGCTGTTGGTAAAACTCCGCGCTAATTTTGCCCAAATCTTCATCCAGTTTCGGAACGGGAGTAAATGGAAGTGGACGAGGATGGCGATTTGGATGCTTGAGTTTTCGACCAGTGCTGCTCAGACAATTGAGCTTAAATTGTTTTTTAAATTAAGCAAGAAAAGGAAAAACAAACGCGTTGTTCCAAATAAAGCTTTTCAAGAATGCAAACAGCACAGGTCTTTTTGGCATCTTTTTTGGACGCCGAAGGAAAACCAAAAATTGGCTGGCCATCCAATTCAGAAACAATCAGAAATTTACTAGAAAAAATTTAAAAATTAAGAAAAACCTCTTTAAAGTAAAAGAAAACTTTTTGTCAGGACGTCCAACCAATTCATATTCAAAAAATTTAAAAGGTACTTCTCCACTAATTGTTGAATAAATATTTAGTAAAGAGACTGGGTCCTTATTTGTTGAAGTAATAAAATCCTTTGCAGGTTGACTAACATCCTTTTGACGATAAAAAGCACCAGACAAGTTAAGTTCATTAACTAAAAAGTTTTTTTAGAAAATTGGTTAAATTCTGTCAAAAGCCTATTTTGACAATGTCATACGGCAAAATTAGGCTACGTTCTCAATTACGGAAAGTTTTTTTTCGAAAATTGGTTCAATACTGTCAAATCTCCTATTTGGAAAAACAATGTCATAAGGCAGAGCTCAATGAGGTGAGTCGAACGACGCCAAAATTAAAAGATCCGTTCTCAATTATGGGCCTAGATTATTGTGTCATTCGACTATCTATCCGAGTCGTTGCAAATAACTTATTATTATTCCGAATCTGAGTCCGGGACATACGACAGAATTTTTAGAAAAAAATTTTAAAAGTACAGACCTATACGTTTGTAATATTCATATGCAGTAGTTTGGCCTTCCTCGGGCCCTTCACCTTCCTTGTTTGGTTCTGACAACATGCTTGCTTCTAAAAAAGATGAAAATGGCTCTTTCTAAAAAATCCAAAAACATAAAAAAATAGCTAGATTAATAAAACGTAGAAAAGTATAAAGAAATTTCTTAAAAATACTTATAAAAATAATCGATAGTTTTTTAAAAAAATTTATTTGAAAATTTTTAGCACAAAATCAGAACAACAAAAAACATTTTAAATTTTCTAATCGTCCTCCTCTTCAATTTCCTTACTAACTTGATTCTCTAATGTGGCAACCTCTGTCTGGTCAATTTGCTAAAAAATTTTTTAAATAATCTCTAGCTAAAAATTCCAAAAAAACCTCAAAACCATTATTAGAATCTTCACCAATCCAGCCCATTTCAATTCGATGTCCAGTCGATCCTTCATCTCTAGTCGTTAACAAAACATGTATAGCATGTTTAATTAATTCCTGTTTGCTCAATTTACAATCTTCCCCCAATCCTTTAATTTTTTCGATTTCTGATTTTGCTGATACGGCATTTTTTCTTAAAAAATAAAAAAATTTTTTTAACGCTTTAAGAAATGAACTTCGAAATGTTGGTAACTATTTCTTAAAGTAACCCCATTTATTCGCAAGCTCAAAATAGTCAAATAACCCTATAGAAGTCGGCTAGAATCAACAGTTTTTTACGAAATAACATAGGAAAAAGGAGAAAGCAAGTCTCATTTTCTCTTTAGAAAGAGAAAAATTTCTCTTTATTAGGAAAAATGAGGGAGACTGACAGCTCCAGGTCGAAAACTTTGAACCCCTATAACTTTTCGAAAAGGGGTCAGAGCCAAAAAAAATTTTTTTATTTAAAAATTTTTACTGCAAGTCTCTTGATTGTACGAGCACCCGGACGAGAATTTGTACAAACGATAGCTCATTCGAAAGAGCTCGTCGAGCTGAGTCGAATGACACCAAAATCGACGTGATCCGACTTGATTTGACAAAGATATGACATAAATTGTCGACTCCGGCAGGTCTAAATAATGTCAAAACTTTGTCAAATCTTGTCCGATTACGTTGAGTTCGATGTCATTCGACTCAGCTCGACGAGCTCTTTCGAATGAGCTATCGTTTGCTTAAATTTTTTTAATTTCAAAAAATCACTCCTGTGGTTGTTCAATTTTCAGGGGTCTGTATCTCGGTCAAATCAAGTCGGATTTTGCTGATTTTGGTGTCATTCGACACAGCTCGATGGGTTCTACAATTGTTGTTCAGACTGACCATTTTTACATAATTTTCGAAAAAACTGACTGGGGGGGGGGAACTAAATAAGTACCCGAGCACCCTTATGGACAAAAGTGTACGTAAACTGATGCGAAGTTAGAGGTATCATGTAGTCTTGCGACTAAATGGGGTGTGTAATTAAAGAAATAAGTACCGAAATGTCAATTAAAAAACAAACCCAATAACCCATCCAAAATATTTGTAACATTGCCCAGATGTCTCAATGCAATAAATTGACGAGCCCTCCTTAAAAGGAAATTAGAAAAAAACAAAAATCATTAAATTTCACCTTTTGGTCCCAAGACGTAATAAAAACTGAAGCTCCAAAAGGACGGTCTGTAGCAAGTGTAAAATAATGGAAATACTGAGAAACCTTAAATTTTTAAGAAAATTAAAATTTTATTTTAAATAAAAACCTGTTCAGCAAGCTTTTTAACAGAAATATGTTTATCCATTTCTTTGTAGTTTTTGTTATCCTCTTCTCTAGCCCAATTACATATAGCAAAAACGTCAGGAAAAAGACCAGAACCAACAAATCCAATTTTATTATTAATTCGCATAATACGACTATTTGCTCCCTTAAAAATAAAATTTTAGTTGACAAGTCAAATCTCTCGATTGTATGAGGACACTTATGGACGAAAGTGTGCGCAAACTGAGGGGAAGTTAGAGGTACCGTTTAGGCAGATCTCATCACCCTATGGCCAATCAACAGCCTATCCCTAAAACCATACCCACACACTTGATAGGTGTATATTAGGGCTGGCACTTCCGCAGAATTCCGGCTTCTTCAGCCTTCCGCTATCTAAAATTCAAAATTCTCTCGCCCTGGTGCATATACAACCAAGAACAGACTGTATTAAAAAATACGAGGGAAAAATGCTCTTTGCGTACCTTTATTGCGGACTTTTTTTTATAGCTTTTGAAATTTGCAATGACACTAATATCCCGAAAAATCGGTTTGTAAGAGGAACAACTCGTCTAATAAATCTAACATACGAAAAAATGCCAGCAAAAAAGCACTCCTTTAATGTTTTAAAATTCAAAAAAAAACCTCAACATCAAGTTTTGAAAGAATTGGTTGATCAACAGCAACAACAACTCCCTTTTTACTACTTAAAGCAATAACAGTCACACTTGCTTGAACAGCTTTAGCTGCATATTCGACTTGAAAAACACGTCCATCAGGCGAGAATGAAGAAGCATCCAAATCGTAACCAGTACCAATTGAACTCATTTTTGAATTAAATAAAACTTAATTGAAAGAAAGCCAAAAATACTTAAAAATGAATTATCAAAAGGTTTAGACAAAAAAATTAAACAAAACATTAGACAAAACTAAAGAACGGTAAGATCGATTTTGCAGGATCCCGCATGCGGAATTTTCCCTAAATGTCTTGTATCTCGGTCCAAAGTTAAGACCGGGGATTGATTTTGGTGTCATTCGACACAGCTCATCGAAGTTTTATAACTTATGACTGACTGACCATTTTTTACATATTTACCAAAAAATGACTGGGAGGGGGGAAGTAAATATATACCAGTCCAGGAGCGCGATCCGGCTTCCGCAGGTTACTAGACGAAACAAAAAGAAATATCACCCATAAACAAGAAAAACAAACATCTAAACAAACAAAAATAATTAAGTCAAAAAATCGTTTTTGTTGGATCTGAAATTTTAAAAAAGCTTTTATAGTAATTCGGTACAGTAATAATTACACAACGCCAAAAACATAAAATAAAAGCGGAAATTTATAAAAAGAAAATTTTATCCAAACAGAATTAACGTGAGACTCGGATTCGATGCCGCAATATAGTGACTTGACATGGGGATGCCGAAAAGTTTTTTCAAAAGTTGCAAAGTTTTGATTGAGTTATTATCAAAAATGAATAATTCGATCAAAGGAAACATCGATGGATTTGGAGGGAATCCTTGGGGGAGCAATGAGGATATAGGTATAAGTTGAAGGACTAAAATTGGAGGGACTTCAAATTTATTGAGAAACAAATTTGAAGGGATTCAAATCCCTCATTATAACCTAATAAATCAGTGTTTTTTTAGTCAATTTATAGAAAAAGGCAAATTTTAGTCATATTAGAAAAGAAAAATTTTAGAATAAATATGACTGAATGTATATGACTGATGTATCGGATTTTCTTCAAAAATCAAAAAAATTTTTCCGTTACTCAATTTCTTTTCCTCAATTCTTTCTTTTTGGCGCATTCTTTACTAAATCTTCCATTTTACCTGTTCAAAAATTAAATTATTTGTTAAGAAAATTTTTAGAAATATTATTCTTTCCTATAATTTATTAAAAACATACGGGTTCTTTGACCTGGCGGATCTGCATAAATGTCCTAAATTTAAAATTTTATTTAGAAAATTAAATTATTTAATTTAAAAAATACCTCATCATCGCTATCAGATTTCGTAGGCTCTTCAACTTAATTTTTTTTATTATTTTTAGAAACATATACGTATATTTTAAATTTAAAGGGTCCTTTGAATATAAGAAATTTAATTTTGCCAAATCGGCAAAGTTTAACAGTCAAACAAAAAAATTTACAGTTATTATTAATAAGTTTTTTAGGTTCATAAAGGCCGAAATAGATTTTTTAGTTTCAAATAGGGGCAATATAGACACATTGTTTCGACCCAAAACAGTTATCATTACTAGTTCGCAAAAAATAGGTAAAAACTAGAGATCGGCCTGGGTCTGGACCAAGGAGGTTTTTCCTGTACCCAGAGTCCAGGCCCAGGCATTTTTTGACCTTCCTGGGGTTTTCCAGGGCCTGAGTTTTTTCTGGACTACAGGCCCAGGACCCGGCCCAGGTCAATAAATCAAACCCAGGAACAGGTCCAGGCTTTTCAAAATTTCCGATCTCTAGTAAAAACCTAAAAAACTCTCTATGGTTATTATGTTAAACGGTTTTGAACGTTTTAACGTTTATAAAATTTTTTAATTTGTTAAAGAATTTAATTTAGAAACCATCAGCATGACCGGGGTAACTCGAACGAGGTATTGAATTTAGTTTGTTTAATGTTCTCCGTCCTTTCTTCTTCTCCCCCTCTCTATTAGCATCACAACAATGAATAAAAACAATAGCGACTATTACAAGGGCAAAAAAGAATTTTGACATTTTTTAAAAGTTTTTCTTTGGCAAAATGAATATGTTGAATGTTTTGAATGTTTTTAAGTGCTAATTTAAATGGGCTTTTATAGTAAAAGAATTCAACAGAATTTAATAATCTTTAATCTTCGAGTAGGCGTTGACAAACGATTTTTGTAGTTTGAAGGCTAATTTCCTTCTTTAAAAAAATTCCTTGCCTTCTCTTCCTCTCTTCCTCTATTACCCATTGTCATGTATAAAATTTTATTAAAAAAAATTTTTCAGTGTGACTGTCTGCCCTATTAAATTTTTTGAAAAATTTTTCCTTAGCCAAAATTTATTTCCAAATTCAATAATCAATAATATACTAAATTACACTTCCTGTCTAATCTTTAATTTTTTTCCTATTGTCTTTAAAAATCCCCATGTGCTTCCGGCGTCTATTGTTTGGCATTTTTTTATTTCCCTTCCCTCATGACTTTAATTTTTTTTAATTGATTTAAAAAAATTAATATTTAATTTTATTAAAAATTATTTAAAAAAATTTATATTTTTCAATAAAATTTTTTGAAAAATTGGGGAAATTTCAGAAACTTTCCCATTTTCAGAAACTTTCCCAATCTACAAAAATAATATTTTATAATCCATTTGATGGTTCTTCGCCTTCCAAAATTCTCCATATTTTTCTTCTGCGGCGTTGAAATTATCAAGAAGTTCCAGCACGCCGCCTACTGCATAGCCTTAGGAATTAAATAGCTATCTGCCTTACAATTAAAAAAATAAATTTTCCACACTTATTCTAATAGAACTACCGGTGTTCTATTTTTCAATCCCTCCGAGTTGGTTATGTGTATTAGTGCGGGACGGGATCCCACGCGGGATTTTGCGGGATACAGCTCCCGCATTCTTTTCGATTTTCGGGATTTTGCGGGCCGTCCCGCAAGCTTTTTTAGAGTTCTCCCGCACGCGGGATCCCGCAAAGACGATTTTCTGATCTCTAAATTGAATACTGTGATAATTACACAACGCCAAAAACAATAAAATACATGGAGGCGAAAGCATTTAAATTTAAAATTTATTTTACAATTTTTATTAAATTTATTTTCTAATTTCCATCGTTTCCCCATTCATTAAAATAATTATTAAAATTCATTCCAATATTTAAAATTTCTTCATTATTTCTTTCAATTCTTTCCTCATTTTCTGAATAATTTCCATATCTTCTTAATTGATATGTGGAAGAATTTGCATTTATTGGATCTATTGGGTCTGTTGGAATATTTGTTTGTTGTTGTTGGATATTTAAAATATTCATCATATTTAATTTGTTATCCCCTTCTTCTGGGCCTTTTTTGGTTTTGTAACGATGATTTTGAAACCTTGAAAAATTTTTTAATTAGGGTTAGAAGCTTGGCGAGAAACGGAAAATTTATTTAAATTAAGGTTGGACCTCGAATCCTGAGGGCACGTTTTTCGGGGAGCGTTGGAGGATGACTGGCAATAAATTGGGAGTGTTATTCTGTCAGTCATCCTCCAACGCTCCCCGAAAAACGTGCACTCAGGATTCGGAGTCCAACCCTAATTTAAAGGGAAGGAAATAGTGAAGAAACATTTAAAAGGGAGAGCGGGAGACCTTAAACTCTGTGGTGCAAGGGGGATTTAAGGAAAATAATGAGCTTAGAGATGAATGTTGATTATTAGAAACGAGGTCTATCTCGATATTTGAAATAAAAATACTCTAGTTACAATATTCCAGTATAAGGGGAAGGGTAGATAGAGGGACTTTTTCCAGATGAAACTCCCCTCTTCCAAACTCTCTTCAATTGAATAAAGGTTTGTAGAGGTTGGAAAGCTTTCCTGATCCAAAAATCGAACGGATCTCCGGTTTCAATTCTGAGTAGTTCCAAATTCTTTTATGGCAATTTATGGGGTTTTTAGACAATTAAAACACTTTTCAATCAGAACATTCCTTTCTCAGAAAACTCAAAAAATTCTAAATTACCATATTTTAACTTGTGTAGGTTGTAGCTGTATTTCTCTAGCAAGTTGTTCTCGTTCTTGTGCAGTTAAATATTTTTTTATTGCAAAGCGAGACTCCAAAATTAAAGTTTGGGCTTTTGAACTGGAGAGAATTTTTTCTCAATTTTTCAAACAAAAAAACTCACAACAGCACTCTCCTCTTCCTTTTCTTCTTCTTTTCTACCCCCTCGGGTAAGATCACATTTTGTCCCACTACTCTTTCCTCCCCAATTTTTTCTGAAGCAAAATTATTTTTAATGCTTGAGGTTGTTGCTTGATTATTTAAACGGCTTTTCTTTCCTAATTTTGTCTTTAAATGAAAGAAAAATTTTTTAAGGATAATTTTAAAGACTGGTTGTTCTACCTTATTTTTTTGCTTTTCTGGTTGTTCCTTTTCTTTTTTAATAGAATTTAAAAATTGAGGGGAAGTGAAGGGTTGTTGTTGTTCTACTTCTTAAATTTTGATATTAAAAGTTGATAAAAGCCATAAGGGGTGAGACCTTGCCTTAAGACCTTCAGTTCCTGCCCCCTTATTTAAATTAAAGCATTTGAGCATGATTAAATTAAGGCATGTGAGTAACGAGATCGAACTAAGACTTGTTTTTCTAAACTCTTGGTTACAGAGATTATGATTTATCGAGATAGGTATCTTGAGTCTCTATCGATTTTTAAGGCTTGTCTCAGCGGATATACACAACAGCTAAGGAAGCTTGGATTTCTTAGAATCGAAAATCATCCTGTTAATTTTTGACTCTTTACTCAACACACAGCCTACCTTCAGTTATTCGATTCTTTTTTTAAATAAATTATTTGATTATTCTGAAAATAAGTTTTCTTTATCCTACCAGAAAATCCTCCATTTAAGGAAGGAAAAAATCCGTATCGAGGCATCATTGAAGCTGAATAAAGCTGTGGAAATGTTGGTTGATAAAAATAATTATTTGGGGAACAATATGTATTATTTACATTCATTAAACTTGTAGAATTATAATTATTATTTAGAATATTTGGATCATGTGGTGGAAGTTGTGTTGGGGAAGTACCTGGAATAAACAAATTAATTACCGATTACTGAGAGTTAATCCTTAAGTCAATACTGTAATATCTTGAACTTAAAGGGTGTCATGACTTGAAGAGCGCCTCTCGCCTTTTTATTAGAGAGGGGTATTTAGAGAGGGGTCCTACATAGTTTTTTTGTGATTGCCCTTATTTAATCAGATGTTACTGCAAAATACCCACTCGGGATTCAAAAAACTGTATCATATAATGAAATTAAAGGGTGTCATGACTTGAATTTCGCCTCTTGCCTTTTTATTAGAGAGGCTTAACAGAGAGTATCGCTTAGGCACCTCCTCTACCTTGTGGCTAACCAAAGTTTATATATTAGAAATCTTGTTATCAATCTGTCCCGTCTTTTGGTGATGGTTTTCCCCCATTATCACCCCTAACTCTAAAATCGTTTTCAAAAAAAATTTTTTTAATCACCAAAATTAGCCATTTGTTGTTGTTCAACAATAGATGAACACCAATTGGAAGAATTTGGCAACATAAAATTATTTGCCAATAAATAAGGTTGTTGTTGATATGCAGCAATTGTTTGTTGTTGTTGGTAAAGAGAAGATGCCGCAGCAGCAAAAGAAGCAACTGAAGTGTTATAAGAATTGTTGATAGGTAAAGGGGTTGATGTTGATTCCAATTTAATTGTTGATGCTTCTGCATTGTTAATAGTAGGCTTTCTAAAAATTTAAAAAGTTATGTTAGACTTAACAAACAAAAAAATCTATTTAATGAAAAATAATGCTTCAGATGCCCAGTCTTCAGTAGACTACAAATGTACTTTACTTGATACGCTTTAAACATTAGCTTCTTGTAGAAGGAAAAATAGGCATAATTTTGATCAGGAATTCTTGATAAACTCTGATTGCTGTAAGAGTTAGCATTATTGAAAAGAAATGCCCATGGTCTTATGGTTCATGGCCCACGATCTAAGGAAATAACATGGACCATGAACGCGCGCATTAAAATTTTTAAAATTATTAATCGTAGGAATGAGGATTAGGAACGAAGTATGGAGGTAATGGAATGAGGTACGAGGAACGAGGTATCAAGCCACCGAACTTTCCAAGCACTGGCCAGAAAGATAGGCATTTTTATATATCATTCACCTTTCAATCTCGCTTTCATCATTTAACAAATTTTGACGTTTATTTTGGGTCTTTAAATTAGTAAATGAAGAAGGAAATGAAGAAGAAGGAAAATAAGACGAAGAAGAATTACAACAACTATTAGAAGTACTTGTAATTCCACTCAAAAGAATATTTCCTCCTTTAGTGGATGTGCCACAAGAATTGAAAAAAGTTGAAGAGGGAGGGAGGTCTGTATTGAATATATTGTTGTTGTTGTTGAACATTTTTTCTTCTTAAAGAAGGCCAAAGGGTTTTTAAGTGATTATTATTGTTGTTTTTGTTTGGGAAATAATTTTTTTCAACGTCACTTGAGAGAGTTTTTGAGTGTTTTTGGAAGGGAAATTTTACTAAAATTCTTGAAAAATATAATTTTTTTTTGAAGAAGATTTTTAAAAAATAAATTTATTTTTAAGTAGTCTTGAGAAGGAAAAATTATTTTTTCATTATTAGTTAGAAAGGCAATTGAGAGGGCCTAGAGAAGTCAATAGAGAAGGGTCAAGAGTTGAGGGGTCCTTAAAGATGGTCAAAAAAGGGAGTGGAGAGAGTTAGTTGTAAAGGTTTTTTTGAAGAAGATTTTTCATATTTATTAAATATGAAAATAGGCCTATAAAAAACAAAAAAATTTTTCTCAATGAAAATTTTCCAAAAATTTTCCGAAAATTCTTTTGAAAATTTCAAAAAATTTCAAAAAATTTTTCAGATTTTTTTTTCTGAAATTCTATTAAAAATCCCAAAAATATTAACTAAAATTCCTCAATTTTTTTTTTCTAATAAAAAATATTTTTAGAAATTTCCAAAATGATCAAATTGCTAATAAAACAAATATGTATTGGCTCAAGTTATTTTAGAGATGCGCGAATTGTCCTCCTTCCCTTCTTTTTTCCTTCCATTCCCCCAAGAATTGCCTCATTTCTGGCAAATATTAAATTACTGTAACTATTCGATGTTCTCGAGTGAAAAAAAATTTTGAGAAAAAAGAGGGAAGAAAAGTTTGCGGGGAGGGGAGGGGGAAACTAGGGGGAATGTTGAGGGGAATTGTACAGGCAATATTTGAAGGGGATACAAACAAAGGCTAGGCCGATACAGAAATGTTTTTAGAGTTATTTTAAAAATTAATATAGATAAATGTAAGTGTATGTTTTGTAAAAAAAAGAAGAAGCCGACTTAAAACAAACAGAAAAAAATTTTTTTGAAGAAAGACAAAGATGAGGTAGCGGGAAGGAAGATGCGCGGGAACGAAAGAGAATTACCTGTTATATTAAAGGGGATTATTATTAATTTTCGAATAAATTCGAGTAAACTAGGACTGATTTTTGAATTTATATTACCTTCATTATGACAGAAATTAGAATATTCTTCAAGTATTCAATAGGTCATGAGTTGAAGGATTAGTCGTTCAATCCGTTTTCTGTCCAAAAAGGGCAAAAAAGGTGTACCTCGTTTTTTCGTTCATATTTTTAACAATAAAAATATTCTATGAATATAGAATTGCTTAAAAAAACAAAATTATAGTCTAAATCCTCCTTCAAGAGAAAGAGGAGATTTTATTAAAAATTGAAGGAGGTTCTTCCTCCAAGTTCCTCGTTGCTTAAATGGCTCGCCTTGGTCAAAAGTAGGGTTGGCGGATCCTAGTTCGAAATATCGGACAAATGTCGTGATCAGGGTGGCCCTTTCCAAATCACCAAAAGGGTGAAAAGCAGTAAAAAGGGGGCAAATGCCTCCCAAATGAGGGAAAAAGGCCACCCTGGTCCTGATATCCAAAAAATGTTTTGGCTCGGATAAGCAACCCTTGTCCAAAAGACACCCTTTAGTCCAAAAGACACCCTTTACCTATACTCAAAATTTTTCTAAATTTAATCAAAAAATTCATCAAGAATACAAAATATATTTTTAAAAATAACGCAATCTGGCAAGAATATTTTTAATATAATTCAAAATATATATTCTATCACAAAATTTATCATAACTATTTAACAAAGTTGGCAACTAGCTCTACAATGCATCCCCATCCATCTTGGATTTCTTTCACATTCTCCAATAAATCCCCAAAATGGGCAAAGAATGTGTACATTGGTACAGCCTGAATTAAGTTTATGATTAATTGTGTGTTTTGAGTAGAAAAACACCCCCATATCGTACAACTTCCTTAAGTTAAATTGCCTTATAGGCCATAAAGGTACAACTTGCCTTAAATTGGGATATGGCGGGATTTGGAGTGATTAAAAGGAAGATAAGTGGATTAAAGGGGCTATAAGTGCATTTGAAGGGATATCCGTGGATTTTAAGGGATGTCAGAAGATCCAAGGGGATTTGAAGGGATTAACAGAGAAAACGAGGGATTTAGGGGATCCCTCTTTTGCTGATAGGGCAAGTTGTACTTAAGGCAATTTATATTGAAGTCAAAACAACAAACATGTTTTTCTGGGAAACGATTCTAATTATGTTTTCTCCTGTTTTCATTAGTGAAAACATTGATAAAAACAACTTAAAACATGTTTTTCTCTTTTTAAAGTTTTGCTAGACAAGAAAAAATGTTTGTTTTATCGTTCTCTAACCTCTTCTAGGTGTTGGAGTAGAAATATCACCCAATGTTTCCCCACACGACGAACACGATTTCTGGCAATGTGGACGCATCCAAAAGGGATTGCTCTAAAAATGTTTTGTTTGAAAATAATTTTGTTTGAATAAATGTTTTGTTTGGAATAAATGTTTTGTTTGGGTAAATGTTTTGTTTAAAAAATAAATGTTTTGTTTGGAAAATAAATGTTTTGTTGGCAAAAAACATTTAAAAACACTTGCCAAACATTCTCCCATTTCTGCCCAAAATTCACACAATTTGTGGTAATTAAAACATGTTTGTTTGGTTGTTGTTATTATTGTTGTGTTTATTGATGTTTTTATGGTTGTTAATGTTTTTGATGTTTCTGTTGGTGATGTTATGGGAGTGAGGGGAGTTGTCTACATTTTATTGTTAAAAAAATTTTTTTTTGAAAATTTTTTAAAAATTTTTGAGAAATTTTTTGTAATATTTTTGTAATATTTTTTTGTTTTATTTATGAAAATCCTTTCCCTCTAATTAATCCAAAAATTCCACAAACAAAAATTTTAAAAATTAAATTAGGTATTAGCTGTAAGGGCCTGAAGAGGTCATTATGAAGAATATGTTAATAAAATAATCAGGCAAACATCTAAAATATTAAAATTTTGTCCAGACATTCTTATAAATGTCACTAAACAATTCTGAAAATTTCAGAATTTTTAGTTGAGTACTTCAAAAGTTATGGCAAAAAATCTTCAAAAAATCGCTTTTCTCACTAAGATATAAACGCTATTTTGGCCACAACTTTACAAATATTTCCCAAAAATTCTGAAATTTTGAATATTTGTACTTAACGATGTTTTGGATATCTGTGCAAAATTTCAGAATTTTAGGTGCTCCTTTGACTGATATACAAAATTAAAGAACGCAGTCGTTTACAGCCCAAAACCCTTTTTAAAAGTTCAAAAACCAAAAAAACGCCAAAAAACAAAACGCCAAGAAACAAAAAAAACAAAAAAATTTAAATTTTTAAAAACCTTATCCTTCAAATTAATTTTCTTCTTCTTTTCGCGTGTCCCTACAAAGGATCGTAACATAAAAGGATCGACACGGCTAAAAACGTTCAAAGGATCGTAACGTCTAAAAACAATTAAAGGATCGTCACGGGCAAAAAGTATTAAAGGGTCGCCCATTATGCTACGGTTACATAAAAAACGCGCGCGTCTTGCGGCAGAAAAGATAATGGGAAATGAAGAGAGTAAAAGACGCCGGCGTCTTGCCGCTTTTTTTGAGTGGTTACATAAACTGCGTCTTCCGCCGGCGTCAAGACGCCGGCGTTTTGCCGCTTTTTTTGAGTGGTTACATAACCCGCGTCTTCCGCCGGCGTCTTGACGCCGAGCGTCTTGCCGCTTTTTTAAGTGGTTACATAAAATGCGTCTTCCGCCGGCGTCTTGACGCCGGCGTCTCTTTTTTTAATTCAAACATGTTTGAATTTTTTGCGGCAACTTTTAGCGTCTTGATCATTTCTCGGCCAATTCTAATGCGATTTTCAAAATTTAAAAAGATTCTGAAAATTCAATTCATTCTCTATCGATCAATATAAATTTTATATTTTTAAAGTTAAATCTTATGGGTTAAAATTGATTTTGAAAAAGGTATACTTTTTGCAAAAAAATATTCTTTTTTTTTCGATATTTTTGAGATTCTCAGTATCATAACTTTTTTATCAATCGGTCAAAAATTCTGATTTTTTGATATGTTGTAGAGCTTTTGATTCTCTATCAAATGATACCAAAAACATGAAAAAGTGACCATTTCTTGATAAGTAGGGCTCGTCCCATATAGTTAGGGACACTGCTTAATTTTTATACCATTCGACTCAACTCGACGAGCTCTTTCGAATGAGCTATCATTTGCATATTCGAAATTCGGTTCGGGAATTTTTACCCCAAATAAGACTTGGTCGAAATCAAGTCCGGGATTCGAAATGACCAAATTCTAAGCTCAGATTCGTGATCAGCATGTTCGTGATCAGCAGATTCGTGATCAGCATGCCCAATTCTGCACCATTACCACTTTTTGAGACTAATAAACATGACTAAGTTGACGATCAGTGATGGGAAGGTTCCAAAATTTCTCTGGAACTAGTTCCAGTTCCAGAACTAGGTTTTTTATTTTTGTAGTTCCAGTTTCGGAACTCCATTTTTAAAATTCCTTAGTTCCAGTTCTAGAACTTGTTCCAAGTTAGTTCTAGTTCCAAACTTTTAAATTTTTTTGAATATGAAGAGATTTATCAGTAACGGGATTTTCTTCAAAATTGTTTACGGACAGGATCCCGCGGGATTAATCCCGTAATCCTTTTCTAAAATTTAGCGAAATCCCGTGGGATTTCGGGATTTTCACATAAAAAATTTTTACGTAATGAATATCGGGAGATCAGAGGATTTGAAGGGATTAAGAGATTCCTAATTCTAGGATCCTAAAATAGTCCAAAATTTTTGACATTTTTTCTAAAATATATTGAAAATATCTCGTGTCTTGTGGCAAAATACGAGATACGAGACCTCTAAAAAACACGAGATTTCACGAGATACGAGAGGAGCGCCACCCCTGATCGGTACCATGGCAGAATAAAATGATTTGATTTTATAAATTTTATTTTAGTATGATAAATATTTAAAAAAAATTTTAATCGGATTTAGTGGTTACATAAAATCGCGCGCGTCTTGCGGAAGACGCTCGGCGTCAAGACGCCGGCGGAAGACGCTGTTTTGTGGTTACATAAAACTAGCGTTTTGACGCTTTGCGTCTTCCCGCTTAGCGGAAGACGCCGATTTTATGTAACCACGAAACAGCGTCTTCCGCCGGCGTCTTGACGCCGAGCGTCTTCCGCCGGCGTCTTGCGTTTTTTATGTAACCGTAGCATTAAAGGATCGTCCATCAATGGATCGCCATGGGTAAAAACGTTTAAAGGATCGTTTTTTGAGTACCCACCCAAAAGAAGACGTTTGAGTCCCGTATATCTTTTCGATTCGGCCAAAAGGGGTTAAAAGAGTCTAGCAATCCGCGGAAAAAAGTTTTTGCCGCTGCGGAGGAAGCCGGGCATGTCGAGCGGAACGACGGCCGCCGCTTCGCTACGGTCGCCGCGAGCGAAGCGAGCACGACCGCAGCGAAGCACGGCCATCGTGTAGCGAAGACCATGCCCGGCCTACCCTCCGTAGCAGCACAAAAACAGTTTTTCCAGCGAAGATTCTGTTGGTAATACATAATTATGTTCAGACTCGACTGACTTTTCCGTCTTAATCACCGTTAGCAGACTGCGGCATATAACTGCGCTCAAACTGTTGGCACTGAACTGGCTTTATTCAATTTTTGAAAAATGACGATCCTTTGAACGTTTTTACCCGTGACGATCCTTTGATGGACGATCCTTTAATGAACGGCCCTTTAATACTTTTTGCCCGCGACGATCCTTTAACAGGGCGACCCTTTAAAAAACGATCCTTTGTATAGGAGCCTCTTTTCGCCCTCTTTAAGCTTCTTTTCATTTCTATTAAAATCCTCTTCTTCATAAATCTGAGTTGAGTGAGTAAAAGTAATTGAGTGTTTTTTAAAAGGAATTAAAGTTGTTTCCATTCGGGGTTCTTCTACTTCCTCGGAATAATCACGATTAAATAAATTATCAAAATTATCATTTTTATCACTATCACCACCACCACCACCATCACCAAACGAAGAAATAAAGGGGGCTATAAGGGGTGGATATTCTTTCTCTTGACTAACAATTTTTGGGCGTATTGTGGTTGTACTTGTAGATTTGGATTGCTTCGGCCTCTGTGGACGATGTCCAGGCATTTTTGGGGGAGGTGTTGGACGGGGTCTTCTTCTATTCGAAGGTGTGGTTGAAGTGGAAGGAGGGGGAGTTGGTGTACTTGTTGAGGGTGGGGTACTTCTTGATGTACTTGTTGAAGTTGTGGAAGTGGTTGCTTCTGTTGTGGTGGTTGTTGTGGTAGGCAAAATACATTTGATTCCAGTTGATTTACATTTATTTGCACTTTTGACTGAAAATTTTTAAAAGAAGTAAAATGTGCCTGATAATATCTTGATAATCAAACGTCATCATAAGATACCCTCAATACTAGGTACATCCCCAATATTAGTTCCTTTATTTAATATACCGTATTTTTCCAAATACAGCCCCATGGGATATATTTTTTAACTATCCTCCAGAATGGGGAGTGGGGCTATAAGTGAGAGTGGGGCTCTATTATTCAACTATCCGCCAGACTGGGGCAGTATTAGGGAATGGAGTTCTAATTGAGAGCGGGGCTTTAGACGGTAAGTATATCCTTTTAAACTAGACTAACTATTGGATTGGGGAGCTGTTTAAGCGATACCTACCAATTTAGGATACACTTCATTATAAGGTAAGGTTTCTTGGTTCCAGGGGTGGATATATGAACGAGATGTTTCTACAAGTATCCAGAATTCTTTCCCCTTTACAAAAAAAGGGATTCTCCCCTCTCTCCCTTCTCCCCTCTACATACATATACTCACCTTTACACCCACACGTTCCACATGTCATAGGGCATTTTACCCTCATCCAAAACGGATTATTATTACATTCACCAGCTACCGCCCAAAAACAACAAAGTTCGTGGGTATCCTTACAAAAAGATTTTTCTTCCTTTTCTTCTTCAATTTCTTCCTCTTCTATTAAATTTTCTTTATTTTTAACCCTTTTTTGTATTTTTTCAATAATTTCATTTTCATTGTTTTGGGAAGGCGGAAATATTATTTGTTCTTTTTCGCCTTCCGAAAGGATACGGCGACCTGTTGACATTGGTGTCATTTTTATATTTAAAGGAATGCCTTTAAAAGAAAGGATTTTTAATTTTTTAAAAAATTTTTTAGTTGCCTTCTTGTCCATCCATTTGTGCAAAAATATTTGCCCTTATAGTAGTTGATTGGCCTAACTAAAAAATTTAAAATTCTTTTAATTAATTAACAAAAAACGGTGCTGGTTATTGGCCGTTTTGTGGCTCCAGCTCCGTACATTTCAAAATCATAGCATTAAACGGGAATATACCCAGCATTAAACGATTTTTTTCCAGCTATTCCTTTTAATCCCTCTTTAATACTCGGAGATCTAGGGATGTGAAAAAGGTTAATGTTCAGATATGAGTCTGTTGTACCCCTATTATTCTTGCTGAACCAGAAGTTTTTGGTGAATATTAAGGGGGGGGGTTACCCCGTCTAATTAAGTCGAGAAATATGAAGCTTCTTTCAGAAGATTCCTCATATCTGCTGTTCCTCTTCCTGGACCATACATTTTTAGATTTTGGTTAGTCACGGGGGGGGGGGGGGGGGGTGTTTAGCCATTAAACATTTTTACCTTAAAATTAGGACTTGTTTTTATTGTTGTAGGTCTACTACTCGTAGTAACAACTTGTAACCCTCCTTCACCCTTCAACCCTTCAAAAACCTTTCCACTTTCCTCCTCATTAGTCCCATCAAATTCCACTTTTTGTTCCTCTTCCTCATCTTTTTCAATTTCATTTTTTTCTTTTGAAGAAAATAAATTTAAAGATTTTGTAGAAAATAGGGAATCTGTTGCCTGGAAAATTTTTTCTTCTTCCGAGCGTTTAAAATCTGAGGAAGTTGATTTGTCTCCAAGAGGTTTTGGAGGTTTAGAAGAAAGAGTCTCTTCTTTATCGAGGGATATGTTCATGTAAAACTCTGCGTAGCGATTTTTTAATTCAATAACGCAAAGGTCTGGTACTTAAAAAATTTTTTTGTAGAGAAAATTAGAACTAGGTAAAAGGTCCTCGTAAAACTACACTATAAGATATTCTCTTAGATTTAGGTACTTTGGTTTGGTATTTAGGTACTTTGGTGATTTAGGTACTTTGGTATTTTGATTAGCCCCTATTTAAGATAGTGCTCATTATAAGGTACGATTTTTCCTGCCCTAACTGAGTGTATCAAGGATGTGAAAAGTCGAAAATTTCTTCGGGTCAGGCTTCGTATCCGAGTCCGCAATTCGAGTATAGGGGGTCGGGTAATCCCTATCCGCGTTGTATATCTTATAGTGAGTGTTGAGTTTTCTAAACAAATTAAACAAACATTTATGACATCCAATATCCAAATTTTCAATATCATTTGGAGTAACTTCAACAGCACAGGCCATTGTAGGAACTTCATTAATACCCAAATCTGGACATATGGAACATTTTTTCCCTTCCTCTTCAGATAAAAAACTGACAAGGCTTTCACCATTAACTGGTACTATTGTACCTTTAAAATTATTTTTGAATTTTTCTAAAAGAATAGCTAGGTGTTAAGGTAAAAATTCCAATTATATTTATATTTAAGGTTTGGCAAATACAGTTTTATACTAAGAACAGAGGTTCTCTCAGTTCAGTTTCAGAAAATTTGCTAAGAATCGACAACCAAATTAAATGGCGCTGCTCAGAGTTGAGTGAGATTAGGAGTCTTATGTTAGATTTATTCTTGCTTAATGCTTCGGTCCATAATTTTGTCCTTCCCGGGTTTTCTGATTTTCAAAAATTTTATTAGAGATAGTAAATTAATTTTTAAAATTCCAAACAATATTCTAAATTCTCGGAAGCTTGGAAAGAGCTTGGAAATTTAATCTGAAATAATTCAAGCTTCTCGGAACCAAAATCAATTTCTCTGTTCTTATTGGTTCCGCAACCAACAAAACAACCCTAAGATTGACTAAAAATTTTCTAAAATTCCTAAATTCCCCTTATACTAAAATTCCCCCCAAATTTTCAACGAAAAACAAACAAATATGAGCATTTTCTTCAATCCATTTATACAAATTTGGAGGACGTTTATCTATTAAAGGATTTGTTGTAGACAAAGTTTCTACTATTCCTTTTAAACAAATTTTATTGAATTGTTGAAATAAAATAATAAAAATTGAAAGGAAATATTTTTGGAAGATTAAAGACATTTTTAAATTTAATTTTAAGCTTTTTAATTAAAAAATAATTTTTTAAAAATTTAAAAACCTCTATTTAACGTACAACATTTTTAAAAAATATTCTATTTATGGAATACTCTATCCAAGGGAAGCGGAGCAAATTGAGATTAAAAAAAAATTAAATTTAATCGACTTTCGAATCGTGACTAGTGAACGACATATCTACGTTTTCGTCGATTCGCGGCGAATAACTACTTTTATTCGCGAACGACTATTTTTTAATACAAAACGCCAGAACTACGTTAATATCGATGTTTTGCGCCAAACGATTGCGAATCGACTTTTTTGTGTCTCTTTTTCTCTGCTCTGTCATTATATTTCCTTTCTCTTTTTCTATTAATTTTCTATGTCGTTGTCTCTCCATTGGAATTCTCTCCATTGGACTTTCCTCTTAACATTTCTCGTGAAATGCTCCAACAATCCAAAATTCTTAAAGTGATCCGAAAGAATTTGGTCAAGAAGTGTATCGAACTTTTTGATGAAATTGCTGAAGACAAGGACAACTTTAAGAAATTTTATGAACAATTCAGCAAGAATCTTAAGGTTTTTTTAAATGTTTTTTTGAAAATTATTTGTTCTTTAGTTGGGTATTCACGAAGATTCTGTCAACCGTAAAAAGCTTGCCGAATATCTCCGTTACAACGCTTCCTCTTCTGGCGATGAACTTGTTAGCTTGAAGGATTATGTTGGACGAATGAAGGAGAATCAGACTTGCATTTATTATATTACTGGCGAGTCTAAAGAAGTTGTTCAAAACTCAGCTTTTGTTGAACGTGTTAAGAAGCGAGGTTTTGAAGTTATTTATATGGTTGATCCAATTGATGAATATTGCATTCAACAATTGAAAGAATTTGATGGAAAGAAGTTGGTTAGCGTGACTAAAGAAGGTTTGGAGTTGCCAGAAAGTGAAGAGGAAAAGAAGAAGTTTGAAGAAGATAAAGTTAAATTTGAGAAACTTTGCAAAGTTATTAAGGTATTTAAGATTTTGTTTAAAGAATTTTGGAATATTTGTTTTATTCTTAGTGTTAGGATATTTTGGACAAAAAAGTTCAGAAAGTGTCTGTTTCAAATCGATCGACTCCGACCAAGATGACAAAACTGCCAAAGATTTGGTTGTTTTGCTCTATGAGACAGCTTTGTTGACTTCTGGCTTCTCTCTTGAAGATCCACAACAACACGCTTCACGTATTTACCGAATGGTTTTTAATGTAAAAGGTTTTGATGGATTGATCTCCTCGTTGACTTTGTTTTTCTTTAAATTTATTTTGTTTTGTCGTCCTTATAATTATTTACTTTGTTTTTGAATCACGGATACATAAATTAATTTCACAAAAAAGTTTGTCTTGATTTTTAATTTGAGATGTGTTTTAGGGGAGGTGGGGAAACAAACGGCAGGATCAAGGTAAGCAGCACATCTGATGATGGAAAGACTTTCCGGATTTTCAATGAAAATTTCACTCATTTTCCTGTTAAAGGCTTTCAATCCACTTTTGGCTAAAGCTGCTCTGACAAATCATCTCCTCTTACTTCTCCTCTCCATCTAGTAAGAATATATGTGGAAAAATCCCTAAAAATTACAGAAAAGGGACTGAACATTTATAAAAATGGAAAATTGCAAATTCCAAAGGAGAGACTACACGAACGAAAATTAATAGAAAAAGAGAAAGGAAATATAATGACAGAGCAGAGAAAAAGAGACACAAAAAAGTCGTTTCGCAATCGTTTGGCGCAAAACATCGATATTTACGTAGTTCTGGCGTTGTGTGTTTAAAAAAAAGTCGTTCGCGAATAATTGTAGATTTTTTTAAAACGACTTTTTTTCCTTAAGAAAAAGTCGATATGTCGTTCACTAATCGTGACATTCGATATAAGAGACTCGAATAGACCAAGAGCGTACGTTAAATAGAGAGTTTTTATGAGAGAATTTTTTTAGAAAAATTGGTGAGTTCGAGAAGTTAGTTATATCGAGGCCGACTGAGCTTAACCTCTAAATAATTAACTTGAGTGAGTCAATAAAAATGGGCGTACGTTGAATAGAGGGTTTCACAAAAAATAAATTTTTCTGAATATCATTTTCTTTAAAAAAATTTTTAGAAGGCAGAGGAAATTAAAAAATTATTTTAAAAGGAAAGAAAAAACTTTTTAAAATTGTTTTTCCATTTCGCGCAGACCTTGCCATTGGCGATGATTTTAAAATATTTAATAATTTCGATTAAAATAAGCAAATCTCTTTATCTTAAATTTCAACAAAAAGAATTTTTTTTCCATTTTCTAATTTCCAAAAAAAAAAAAAGGAAAGGCGCGATAGGGAGGGTGAAGTGATGAGAAAATAAATAAAAATATTAAATGAGTAAAGTGTGTACTTAAATAAATAATATTTTTTAAAAGGGGGTGAATTGGAGAGGAACCAATATTTTTGCAAAAAAAATTATGAGTGAAAAATAATTTTGTTAATAAAAATTTTAACAAGAAATTATGCTTATACATGTAACATACCCCCAAAATAGCCCAAAAAATTGATCCCCCAAAATAGGTGATATCCGCAAAATTAGGAAGCCGTCCAAGCATACCTCCGAATTAAGATAACTCTTAGTTAAGGCCCGATTCTTGAAGTTCAAAGAGATATAGAGCAGGGCTGTGCGCCAAAATTTTTACGTGACGATGACTCTGTTGAAACAATAAAGATACAATTTTTAAAGAAATTTTACCTTATAGTGAGATCTAACTAAAATTTATAGAGTGAAGATAGTGAGGGTCTAATATAATCCTTAAAATTATGGTCACTCGATTAAAAATAATTTTTATTTTGTTTATATCCTTGTCTAAATATAATTTAAGCAAAGCAATTGATGTCCCATAAATAGTAAAAATAAGTGGGACGAAAAGCTTTTAAACTTAATAGGCGTAAATAATAAAAGGAGAGATTTTCTTGTTTGTTGGACAAAAGAAGAAAGAAGAAGTTTTTTTTAAAAAGACAATAATCATCATCTTTTTAAGAGAGGAACAGACAAAATAAAAATTAGAAAAAAAATTAAAAGAAAAATTGTTTTTAGTTTTTTTTGAAATTTTTTAATGATTATTTATTTAATAATATTTTATTAGCTGTAATTAATATTTAATTTTTTTTAATTGAGACATTGTGTATTTTAGTGGGACGAAAAACCAAAAGTCTAGCAAGAGATATGCCGCACTCTAGTTCGAGTCTCAAAGTCTCTCTCTCTCCTTAGATGTATACAATGGTCAGACCTTCCTCAATTCCCTTTCTATTTCCCTTTGACATATTGAGGCATTAATAAAAGATTTTCCGTTCATGTGGTGCATGTGGGCATTGGACAATTTGGTAATAGATCCCACTCAAAACTTGAGAAACTAGACAACTCCAAAACCGAAAAAAGCCTACAAAAGCCTGGTTTTCAAAACCAAAAGTCTCTACAAGTTGTAGAGACTTTTGGTTTGTAGACTACAACACTCACAAGTCCAACTCACAGAGCAAAACCGTAACTAAATCCACTTCTAGTTCTTTCAGATACTAAAATTATTTTATTCAAAATAAAAAAAATTCTATGTATAATTTAATAAATTTTTATAAATTATTTGAGAAAATTCAGAATAGAGAGGCTTTATTTAATTAATTTTTTAAAATTAATCCTTCAAAAATTTCTCAACATCAAAATAATTACAATCCTTTACGTTCCAAAACTTATCCAAATCAAGTATATTTTTCGTATCTTGTTCAAATTGTCTTGTGGCATATTCACATATTTGGCATATTGGGGAATAATCATAACCAAATTTCCTATTTGTATATGTTTTTGTCCATTCAAAATATCTAAAATATCGGAAATTTTTTTAAAATAGTCCCCAATTAAAATAGCATCTGATGTGTTCTTCCAGTCTCAATAGAAGTCACTGCCCCATTTTTATTACTGTACCAGGGGTATGCCGAAACAGATTTTAAAAAGCGAAATGCGAAACGAAAAACGCTAAAGTCCAAATAGTACGAAAATCCGCGAAAGGCGAAACGCGCAATTTTTTTAGTCTCCGCTATGAGGAAAAATCTCCAGAGATCCTTTGGTCAAATAATTTTAAAGCTTAGATAGACTTCTTAATTATTAAATGGGGGATATAAGTGGATTTATATGATTAAGGAAGGTATCAGAGAATCATGGAGTGGGGAAGGGGTGGGAGGAAATAAGTACCAGAACTTTTACACTCAATCACCAAACCTCTTATTAATCGGCCCTCAGAATTTGTCTGGTCTGAGCGCATAATATTAGTTCCTGGGTTGGCCGAAATTTCGTACCATTTCGTTTCGCCTTTCATGCCCTTTTTTAACTTTCGTTTCGTTTCGGAACGAAATAAAAAAAATTTTTATTTCGGCATCACTGGTCTGAACGCATAATTCTAGTTCATACCAATTCAAACTTAATTTTTTAAAATTTACTTCATATATCCTTCCGTATCATTTTGCAAAGCCTTTAAATGTGCAACGAATTCCTTCACGGATTTAAAATCTTCCAAAGCAATAAATGCACTAGAAGGAACATCCATTCCTTCAAAAACAGATCTAGTAAAAACTACAGGTATGGTAAGTGATCTCAACGCTCTCCAAAATTTTTCTGTAACATAATTGAGGCAAATATTACTCTCAAATGCCAAATAAAACTTGTGGTCTTCTAAAAATTTATTCTGAATTTATAAGTAAATTTTATATAGAGTTCGACACCGGACCGGGTCACGGATCGGGGGGATGCCCGGAAACCGGGTATTTTGATAAAATCCGGTTTTTCGGGGTTTCCGGGTTTTTCGGGGGTTTAGTCCGGAAAACCCGGCCCGGGTCTGGTTGAAAGAGAAAAACCCGGATACCGGGCCCGGCAAATTGAAAATGTCGAACTCTAATGTTATATTCACCCATATTACGATCATAACAGTCATAACTACACCATCCACCAAAACAACCACCAACAATATCAAATCCTGTTATGTTTTTTAGTCTTTTTGAAATGGGATCTCGTCCAGATTCGCTATCACAATGAGATACCGCTTGGAATACAAATTTTGTTTTCTTTTTAACTCTTTCCAGAACCTTAAATTTTAAGCCTCTAAAGCAAGGGGTGGACACAATTGAAAAAAATTTTAAATCCAAAGGCACAATCAGCAAGTCAAGTCCGCAAAAGTCAAATCCGCAATTGCGTCCACCCCTGCTCTATAGACTAACTTGCTATAATTTATTCATCAAGCTCTGCATAACTAGCTCGAAGCGACTCTTAAAGTTCCGTTAAATAGAGTAAGGTATATAACCACTCTCGAATATCCTCATTAGGGGTGCCAGTGTGGACCGACTCGGACTGAAAGATCCAGTTGGACCTCAGATATTTGGCCCAAAAAAACTTGTACGGCCCGATTCTATAGAAACAAGCCCGAAAAAATGCCTCGACATTCGGCTCGGCTCGAGAGCAGCAACCCTAACCCTCATTAAGGGATACGATTTTTCAGTTCAAAATTATCAATTCATAGTGAGGTCACTCTGAATTACTATTCTAAAATAAATTGACCTCTTTCTGATCCCAAATATATTCTTTTGGAGTATATGGAGTAATTCTTGTTAAAGCGTCATAGGGCATAAAAACAGAACTATCTAAACGATAAGTTGCTGAACTATTAAAAAATTTGTCTGTCAATAATTTTCTGTCATAAAATTTAAAAATGGTTTGTATAGGGCATTCAACTGTATACATCATATAATTTTGATCTTCTCTACGATTTTTTGGCCAATCAGTCTCATTACAAAATAAATGAAGGAAAAAAAGTGTTGTCGATGCGTTTGCCTCGCTAAAAGTATATAAAAATATTATATCGGACCTTTCAACCAACTTTCAGCTGCGGGTAGGTTAACCCTGAACCCTGATCCAAAATTCGGGTATGGGTAACCCCGAGCTATGGACTATTTACTTGGGTAATATTAGCAGCTGCGGGTAAAATGTGTACCCTCATTCGATGAGGGTTAAAATCTTACCCGTATTTAAAAAAATTTTTTTAATCCAAATTCACTTAAAAATTATGAATATTCTTAGATAGATTAGAGTGTACTCTATTTTTTGGCCTAGCTCATATTCTTCACTAATGGAAAAATAAAATAACCAGCTGAAATTCTGAATTACAATTAAAATCTTACAATTTTCTATCATAAGTAAAAGTGCAATCGAAGGGACATTTAGTATTTGATTCAATCAAAGGATAGTCTGGATAACCGATTCCTCTTGCATGTTTACATCTATTCCAAATCAAAATTGGGGGCATTTTCTGATTTTTAATTTTTATCTTAATTTTTTAAACTATAACAAGTTTATACGTATAAAATAGGGTAGCACCAAGTCCCCCGAAACCCCATATCCCAACGAATTTCTAGGCATAAACCCCGACCCCTCTAAGCAAACCCCGACCCCTCTAAGCAAACCCCGACCCCTCTAAGCAAAAACCCCAACCCCTGACGAATCTCTAAGCAAAAACCCCGACCCGAACCTCGAAGGCTACCCCAATAAACCTGATCACCGACGCCTATCCCCGTGCGAGCAAAAAACCCGACCCTACCCTTGAAACCCCGACATTTTTTTCCATGAGTCCCGACCCGAACTTCGAAGGCTCTACCTCGGCAAACCCCGATCCCCGCGATCCCGCCCTCTAAGGATCGAGGTGCTACCCTAATATAAAATATACCACTCTAGACGATTTAATTATATAAAATTGATTTTGTTGGTTTAAATAATAAATTGAAATTAATATAAATAATGTAATTAGAATTAAACAACAAATTAATTTTGAGAGATCCATAAATTTCAGCATGAGCGAGAATAAAATTTTTTAGATTGTACCTTTGTAGAGTTCCATTATGGTATAAACTTTTTGTATTTTAACTAAACATTTCTCAGATGAGAGCCCTGACATGAATACATTATGTAGGTAATATATTTACTAATAAATATTTTTAAGTATCGAACAACCCGCGAGACAAAATTATAATAAAAAATCATTCGGGTTAAGAATAAACATAAAGCAAATATTTATAAATAAAAATGTTTTATAGCACAATCAAAAAAAGAAGATACTTGCCAAAAAGAAATTTAAAAATAGACACAAGTAAAACGAAAATTTTTTAAAGTTTAATAAAGCTTTGATCCGTTCACTTGATTAAATAACTAATTTAAAAGCGAATGCTCTTTTATAACTATATGCCTTTTGACCAGTGTTCAGTATCTAATCCGACAGTATCTAATCCCACTAGTTTGAAAAAAATATTTTTAACAAATGACCAAAAAATTTTTATCAAAATCGGTGTAAATACATTATGGAAACGCCCAAGTAGGCGCGCGGCCATGTAGGCGCAAAGCCATAACTACCTTGAAAATTTCTGATCCTTATCAATTTTGGTATCAATCTCTTTAGCTCGTTGAGAGGAATCGTTTAATACTAAATTTTTAAGATTCGGAAATCTTGAAGCAGGTTCAGAATAATAAATATTAAATATTATAGTAATTATTTATATTTCATTAAATAAAATTTTTTGGCAAAATTGTTAGAATGCTAAAATTTAAAAATCATGATAATAATTTAGGTGTATTCGAACGTATTTAATAATCGTTTTAGTACGTAAAAATTATCAGTTGAATTAACAAATAAATTTTCTAAACAAAAATTGAATAGAAGAAAGTTAAGTAATATGTATTAAACTTAACTTGAATGATTGGATTTAATCAATTTAGTTAACTTTGAAGCTTCTCTCTCATCTTTCTTTGAATGAATATTTTATTTCTTAAATAAAATTTTATTTAAAAAACTTAAATTAATCCAAAACAGCTAATTAAACACATAAAAATTTAAATGAAAAAGAAAAATTAATTTTTATTATCATTAAGCTAAAAATGGTTATTTGCCATCATCGGGCATTTTGCAGGTCCCCTTTATTTAAAATTTCCACTCGGGTTAATTATAGGATATTAGCTAAACACAAAAACAATAAAACTGCAAACTCCTTTACTAATAGAACTGCTACATTATGGAATAAAATTGACCACACCCTTCTGCAACCAACTATACCCCTATTAAGTTTAAGCAAAAAATTATTCAATGGGTATTACAGAACTCTTAACTTATTTTTATTAAATCAGATATAAAACAAATTGATTTGAAATTACAATTTGAAATATTTATATAATTTAACAAATTTAATTTAAATATATTTTGTTGACATTTTTTTTTATTTATTCTTGTTGACTTTTTTTATCTGTTCCCAACATGTAAGAGGATTCCCCCTTTGTTGGATGTTTTTTTATATAAATAAATAAATAAAGATATGTCTATAAAATATTTATTCCTTTATTTAAATTATTTATATTTTTAGTAATGAAAGTTGAAGGCATTAATAGAAGGTTAAAAAATATAATCGGAAAAGGATGAAAAATGGGTGAGGACCTCGGCCTCGATTTTAATCACTTCTTTCCAAAAATTTTTTCATAAAATTTGAACATTTAAAGTAATTCATACTCATTGAATAATATTTTTGTTGGTGAGAAAGCATTAACTTCAAAGTATATTCATTTTCAATACTTCGATTAATTAAACGGCAACATTCATCCAATCTCAGAGCCCCTTCAATTAAACCTAATCTTCGTTGATTATATCGAAGTAAAATATTTGTATATTTAACAGATTCGTCATAAAGTAAATCTTTTCCTTCGGGGGACAAGCCTTCAGCATCTTTATATGAAAAAATTAAAGATTATTTAATCTGAAATTTAAAAATAATCGAATAAAATTTTAAAATTTTCGCTACGGCGCTAAAAAGGAGGGAAACTAGCCTCTTATCGTTTAAAAATCCAAAAAGAATTTTATTAATGTTTATTAATGTTTTTTAATATTAGAAAGTTGAATAAATTGTCGGAAGTAAAATATCTTATATCTTGGCGTATTAAATCAAAAAATTTGTTGTGCAGCAGAAAAATCTTGAGATTTTTTGCTTTTTTTCTAAATACGGAAAAGATGAGGTATACGAGAAAGTAAAAGTACCAGGTAAATAATACGAGGTACGTATGCGTACCAGGTAGTGATGTTCGAGAGTTAAAAAAGCCGAGACTCGAGAGTCGAGACCGAGAATCAACCCGAGACCGAGACTCGACTCGAAACCGAGAGTCGAGAGATTAAGATGGTTATCACTTGATGTCATCCTAATCCACAAAGATCTCTTGATATCCCTCATATCCCGAAATTCCTTGAATTTCAAAACACGATATTCTCATACTCCCTCTAAATTAAAAAATTTCCGTTATTAGGGGTGTAAATTTAGTCTCGTTTTCCGAGACCAAAACACCGAGATCGAGACCGAGAGCTCAAAAACCCGAGAAATTTCCCGACTCGAGAGTCGAGACCGAGAGTCTCGAACATCACTAGTACCAGGGATGTCTCGGGTTGAGAAAAAAGTCGGGTCGGGTTTCGGGTCGGGTTTCCAAAATTTTCTTCGGATCGGGGTTTGGGTCGAAAAAAGTCCGGGTTTCGGGTAACCCGAGACATCCCTGATGCGTACAAAGAATGTATCTTGCAGTTCTGAATTTCTAATCACTAGGGAACGGATTTTTAGGTTTTTTATTTATTAAATTTTTTTTATTAAATTTTAACTTTTTTTTTGAATTTTGCTACTAAATAAACAATAATTTATTTAATATTTCACAATTTTTTGACCTTTTTTGACAATATTTTGTCTATTTTTATCAATATTTTATGGCCATATATTGCGATTTTATTTCAATAAAAATCCGGACCCTAATAATAACTCCCTGTAAACAAAAGATTTTTAAGAAATACCAACGGATTTGAGCTCAATTTATCAGGTCTATTTCGCAGACAAAATAGGTTATAACTTAAAATCCTATCCCTACTAATCACTATTCATTAGAAAACCACAACACCGTAATTTAAATTAGTGGTCACCTGATTTCGAAAGGATAAAAGCTATTAACAAAGCAAATTCAACTTTTGTTAATGAAGCACGTTTAAAATGGGCAACAGATTTTGTGAATGTAAAATCTGTCCATTTAATCATTCTAAAAATTGAAAATCAAATAAAAATTTTTTGAAATTTTTATTAAAATTATTAGAAAAATATTTACTTATTATCATGCAAAAATTCCTTCTTAAAACTATGAGCAGGCATAATATTATCTTTACGTGTCATAGTTTCAGAGCCTAATTCCCAAGCTAGGTAGGTGTTTGTAAATGAAGCAAACAAATGACAAATCTGCCTTAGATGTGCAATCTGTTATTTAAAAATAAGCTTTAAAACTTGACAGCAATCGAGGTCTAAACCCAAACTCGTAGGCGAAAGAAATTCATTTTTCTGTCTCGGGGCGAAAAAAAAAACTCAACCAAAATCAAGAATCAAGGCAAGATCAGGGCAAAATTTTTCCTTGATTTCCTTGATTAATCCCCCCACCCTAATATGTAAACAAAATGACATTAAAATCGTGATCTAAATTTCTTGATATCCCCTTATATTCCTCATAATCCAACGCTATCTACTTGTTGATGTCTTGATGTCACGCACAAGTCGTTTGATATTCACTGTATCCCTTCAAATCTTTTTTATTATTTATTAAATTAAAAAAAAAAGCTGGCACGGAAACAACCCTTTTATAACGGTACGGAATCGTGTGCACGGAAAGATACGCCACCGTATTTTGCCATTACAATAAAAATCCGATTCTAAGCTAACTATAGTCAAAAATAAATTTATATAAAACACCTGATCAGATAAAGTCAATTTTTCAAAAACAGGCATAGATTTAGCTATACCAAAACACAAAAGTCTGTCAACTAAAAAATATTTGAGACAACGTTTGTTAAACATTCCTTCATGTTGTACAGATGCTTCCCAGCCTTTTAATTCATCTAGAGGTATTGGACTTGGATTTGGCTTTAAACATGATTGAGTTTTATTTAAAATTAAATTAAAATTTACCGAAAAAGTTTCAGTTAAACGAAAAATATTAAAATCAGATAAAATTATTTCTTCAAACAAAATCGGGCCATTAAGGAATATATCATCCAAATCATTAAATGCATGCATAATACGTTTTTTGGCTTCAATAATTGGTAAAATTGACTTGATTAGTTTTTGTTCTTTGATGGATATGTCGACAGTTGGCGAATTTGGAAGCTAAAATAGAGTTGATCAGACTACGTTTAACGCTCTAAATTTTTTATTTTGCTCATTTACTTTGGTTGGAAACTAAAAATAAGCCCCCCCCCTTACGCAACTATCAGATAATCAATTTACTTTATCTTTTTGAAATACCTTTTCATTCTTCAAATGACTTACAATTAATTATGCTTTAATGAAAGATAAGCTTTAATTAGCTTTAATGTCTCGCTTAGAACGTTTTAACCTCCCTTATTATGAAAATATCAAAATACTCTATTATGAATAGAAAACTTGATAAGATATATTCCATTATACACAGAAATATGTATATTATCTGGAATTTTTGTTATTCTGCTTTTAGTAGGGCTTCATTTAGAGTTTTAATTTAATTTCGGTACTTTGTTCATAAAGCAATTTCCAGAAGCGTTTAGATGCTTGTATTTCAGAAAATGTGTAGAACTTTGAAAATTTTTTATGATTTTCTGGTAAAACATTCATCTGATTGTATTCTTCTGATCACAGACCCTTTCAATATATCTGTTACTTCCCTAAATCCATTCTCAATTACTCATAATCTCTTTATATCAGTCCACCGCTCGGCGGAAATCTTTTGAAATTTTCGAAAACCAAGAAGATATATTTTTTACTTTTTCTGATTTTGAAATTTTGACTTCCAAATCTTGAGAATTTGTAAGTCAAGAAGTTAAATTTCATCCTATTATAGCGCCGCAGGCAAATTTTTTAAGATTTTCAATGGACAAGAAGCCTTTTTTACCTTAAAATATAATATAATTTGAAAAATTTCATCGGCCGGTATCATCGGTATTTTAGTTTTTCCGTACCGTATTACCGATACGGAATACCGAAAAATGTCGATACCGATATACCCGATAAACTTGAAACCGATAAAGTTGAAAATTTTATCGGTCGGTATTCCGTATCGTACTACCGATACGGAATACCGATAAATACCGAAAAATACGGCCGTAGTGCGGTACGGTCCGGGCTCTACTTTTTACGCACCCTGTAAAGTGTTGGAAATGGATGAAATTTTGATTTGTTTAATTTTCAATAATTATTAATGCAAGTTTTTAAGTTTGAAAAAATATTTTAATGCAAAAGAAGACTTGCATTAAAAATGCAAAAGAACAAAGAAGAAAAAATTTAAAATAAAATTTTAAAGATCCCCTTTACAATTAAAAATAAACTTACGTTAACTTCATTATTTTGATCTCTCATTGCTTCCAGGTTTATATCGTGACGTAAATATCGAACTTCTAAAATAACTTTTTTATAAATTATTTTTAAATATTTTAACAAGAGTATTCTGTGTGGTCGAGAATGTCGAGGATGGGGGTATGTCGGGGGTCGGGGATGACACTTTTAGGTCAACCGAACCAATATTTTCAGTTAGCGAAAACGATGTACCGATCGGACTGTGTTTGGGGACTAGGCGTTACTCTTATCTTAACAAACCCAATTTTTTCATTCCAACAGAAAGACATTTTTCAATTCTACATTTTTTACATTTTAACACATCTGGTTGGAATTTTCCGTCGTTATTCTTTAATTGCTTTTGCAAACATTTACATGTATATTTGCATTCTCCTTCATTTTCAAGATAACGCCTTTTGAAAAGAAATTTATCCAAATTAAACAAAATAAAAAATGCCTGAAAAAAGACCCACAAGCATTACATGTACAAACTCCATAATGAAAACGAACATTTTCTTTTGACTCACAAACTTTGCATTGAAAGTTTCTTCGCATTTTTTAAATAAAAAATTTTCTATACAAAATTGTTGATATATTTAATTTAAAAAATTATGTGAATTATTTTGGTTTATCAACTTCCCCAAAAATGTTTTACCAATTTTAGAGGAAATTTATGAATGAGGATTAAATGTATGAAGCAAATTTGCTCGTTATTAACTTTTAAAAGTCGAACTAAATTTAAATTAAAAGAAAATTCTGAAGAAATTAAGTGGAAAAATAAAATGAAAAAATAAAAAAAAGTAAGTAAAGGTAAAATTGTAGTTTATGTGAATATTTCCCGCCACAGAATTAATCAAAGAGGAGTTGGCATCAGCTCTGCATTTCTATGCCAATGTTGAGTGTGTTTGTACCATTACTTCAATTAGCAATAAGAAAATGTTAGTTATCCCATAATATACAGGGTGTTTCAACTAAGAAGCACTATTTGAAAAATTAATAACTTTTTATTATTTTGACAGATTTTAATAATTTTTGGTATTTTATATCTATAATCTATAAGGTTTTTTTTGATATAAAAATTATGTCGAAATTCGAACCCTAACCCGAGATAATTTTGTACTCTACCGTTCTGTTTTTCCCTTTTTCCGCACATGCATTCTTACTCCCCTTTGTTTTTTACAAGGGGCGATAGACAATAGAGTAAACACTAGGCGATAGACACTACATTTTCAATACAGTATCCACTCTTCGCCATACGCAGGAAAATAAATGAAGTAAGATAGCACACAATGAAAAGAGGGAAAAAAGAGAACGGTTGAGTACGGATTTGAAATAAAGGGTTAGGGTTCGAATTTCGACATAATTTTTATATCAAAAAAAACCTTATAAATCAAAGATATAAAATACCAAAAATTATAAAAATCTGTCCACGCACTAAAAAGTTATTAATTTTTCAAATAGTGCTTCTTAGTTGAAACACACTGTATATTAGAATTAAAAAAAACTATCTTATATCTCATTAAAATAAAAGAATTGTTGGCAAAATTGTTGGTATATTAAATTTAAAAAATTTATTTGAATGATTTTATCTAGTTGGGGTTTTTTAAATATTATCAGCTAAATAAACATATTTTCTAGATAAAAATGAAATACCAACAAGTTAAGTTAACTTGAATGGTTGGATTTAATCAATTTAGTTAACTTCGAAACTTCCCCTGTCATCTTTCTGGGAGTAAAAAATTTAAATTAATAAGCGGATTATTTTATTTAAATTAAAAAAATTATTCAAAACAGCTAATTAAACACATAAAAATTTAAATGGAAAAGAAAAATTAATTTTTATTATCATTAATCTAAAAATGGTTATTTGCCATCACCGGGCATTTTGACTAGCGTCATGCCTGCATTCCACACTGAAAAATATTTTAAATAAAAAAAAGTGGTTCTATTTTCGTAAATTTATTTGGAAATTAGAGGGGATTTGGTGAGGTATCCCTCTACATCCCATGTGGAGGGCTACATGACTTTTGACCAGTGTTAGGCACGGTTCGGTATTACAGCAGTACTACCATCAGTATCAAATCCGTCAGTATCCGACAGTATCTAATCCCACAAGTTTGAAAAAATATTTTTAACAAATAAACAAAAAATTTTTTTATCAAAATCGGTGTAAATAAAATAAAATACATACAAATCTGGTTATAATAATGCTCAAAATAAATACAATAGATTTAGGACAGTTCCCGTATGTTTATAATATTCAGAACTGTCCAAGACTTTTCATGAAAGTTTATTGGTTCTAGGAACTAATCTCGGTCTCTTCTCTCATAAAAAATTTTTTGTATTGGACAGTTCTAATAAAAACATTGACTTTGTTACACTTGTGGATATTTGGAAGCAGGCTAAGGTACTTGAAGCCCAAGGTATCGCAGAACTATAACTTTGTCCAAAATTGTTAAATCCGGGACGCCATAGCATGCTCGATGCACCTCGATGAGCTGAATCCGAACCATGTCAAGACATCCCAGTTTGACAATTTTGTGCGAATCTCTGTACCTTTGGCTTGCAGTACCTTAGTTGTACACTTGTGGATATTTACAGTTGACTGTTTTTTTGGGAAAGATGGAAAGGGACTGAGTGAGAGATTGTCGGTATAATCATAACAATGATACAAAAATTGAAATAATTAGGAGAAAATTTGGGGCAATGTGTTTAATAAATTTCTCATTTCTTCAATAAAAATGAGTTAAATATATCCCAATAGAAGCCCCCATTCATGAAATCTCATTCAGTTGACTATTAATATAAATGGGGTTTCTATTGGGATATTTCAAAATAACTTCAAAATATACAAAACATTTTCTTCAAAATTTTTTCCAAAATTCCTCAATGAACACAAAATTTAATAGCCCCCAAAATCATAATAATTCCAAGAACACCTCCAACACTTAAAAAAGTGATAACCGTTATTTTAGTAGCAAGTAATGAAGTATTTAAAATAGCGCCAAATCCAATCATTCTTTTATTTCGCATTCCGACTTGAGCTTTCGAAATTGTTTGTTCATCGAGTGTTGGGTGAAGAAAATCTTTTTTGGTTAAAATTGCCTAAAACAGGATTTTTTAGTCCTAGAATGTTTCTAGAGAGTATTTTCTCGACTATTATTCAAGTTATTATAAGATACAAAGATTTTTCCAGACATGGTTATGGATACGGATATGCATACAAATAATACCAAAATGCCAGCGGATATCCGCTTGTATCCGTCTGTATACCAAAATCCGTATCTATGTCCTAGTCTGGATTTTTCTAAGATTATCCCAACCCAATAAAAAATGGGTTAGGTGGAAATGAATTTTTTAACAAGTATATACCTTCCTTAACCAGAATCCTAATAGTGTAATGCCGACAAAATTTATTTCCAGCCTAGCAAATAAGATGATGGGGAGAAGGTTGAGCAGTTAACAACCCTACATCTAAAGGCTTTGTGATCATGTCCCACTCAATCTTGTACTTTTTCTAGGGGATGCACTGCATATTTACTTAGCTCATCATCTTTTTAACTTAAAAAATCACCTTAATTAAACCCAAAGTTTCATCAGAAATGCCCATAGGTGAATAAACCTTTTTGGCAACCAAAGTTTTCAAAATAAATTTTCCAAATTTATTAACAACTTGAGAATAATTTTTTGGTTTTTCAACTTTATTTACATCAATAGAATTACACTTTTCTTTACTAATATAATTACGTTCACAAATTTGTTTGAAGAATTCAAGTCCTTCTTTACGAAATTTTTCAAATGTTTTCTCACTAGAAAATTTTAGGTAAGTTTAGAGGCCGGACTCTGTGGGTCGTATGAGAACTCTTGATTCTCGATAACTTATGATTAGGGCTAGGATTTTTAGGCACTAAAAAGTCAAAAATAGGCGCCTATATAGGCACTAAAAAACTGCCAAAATAGGCACCTAATTCCAAAAAAAGGCAAAATAGGCAAGCAAAATATACAAAATTTCTTAAAATTTGAACTAGATTTGCAAAAATATCGACTAAAATCTATAAAAATGGTTGAATTCAAGCAAAACTGTTAAATAAATTAATTTTAACGATAAGAATTGCAATTATAAATTAATTTATACTAATTAATTTGCTTCCGAAAATAATTTGAATAAATTTTTAGGATAAAAATTTTTTCAAAAAAAATTTTTTTTAATAAATTTTACCAAAACTAACTTTTAGACAGCAAATTTGTCAAAATATGCCCAAAAATTCGCAAATTTTTATAAAAATATGCAAAATAGGCTGAAAAAAGGCAAAATAGGGCACTTTTTCAGAAAAAGCCAAAATAGGCAATGTTAGGCAACGATAAAATTAGTTAGAAAGCAGATTTCAGTAAAATAACACCTGATATGTACGTTTCAGCATCAGGCCTATCTAGGAAAAAAACAGGCATTTTGCCTAAAATCCTAGCCCTACTTATGATATTTCTCGAGAACTCGTTTTGATACAATCTCTAGTTAAATCGAATTTTTCTAACACGGCTTCCTCTCTCACTTGAGAGAGAGAGAGAGAGAGAGAGAGGTCTTACCTTCTTTTATAGCAGGGTTGTACATATAATAATAATACGGAAGGCGGATGGCGGAAGAAGTGGAAGAAAATTAAAAACCGGCAAACGGAAGACCCAAAAAGAACGGAATTCGGAGGAAGACGGAAGCGGAAGAAAACTTAGCCTTACTTTATAGGTCAGCTAAATTCAGCCCCAAGGATGATATTTTAGAGAAGTTCCATTGTTTTCAGAATTTTTTGAATATTTTTTGAGTATAAGGATATGATATTTTGGGCAATCCTCCTTAAAGGCACATCACTGATTGAATAGAATTTCAAGAATTCGAAACGGAATCTCATTTAAAAATTTTTTGGCATCCAAAAAATCCTTTGATTATCGAGATTAATATTCCAAATGTTCGAGACTTTCTTTGAAAATTTTTTAAATAAAAACACCAACTTGTAATAAAAAGCCTCTGCTTGGGGATCCAACGGCTTCTTCTTATATTCATCCCAAACTTCCTTGGCCAATCTCCAATAAGAGCCGAATTGGATTTTTAACTTTTGCCAACCCTTGCATTGCAGCATCTTTTTATTTTTATAATTAAATATCGGCCCATCCCATTCTCCTTTATTTTCATCAATTTTAGACCTTAACAGACTCCAAGACCTCTTAGGATTTTTGTTTGTTTTTTTCTTTCGATGAATTCCATTTTCATCAAATTTTGGGGTTTCTCCTCCTGTTAGCCACCGAATTAATTTATTTTTGTTATTTATTTTTATACTTTGATCAATCATTTTTTCATTTTCCTTAATCAATTGTTCTGTTCCCTCCTTTAAAACATCCATTCTTCTATTAATTTCCTCATCCTCTAGCTTGTCAAAATCCAAAGGATTTTCAATTCCTTCCAATTCCGCGGTTTTGGGACAAACTGTCACCCAAAGTTTTGAGTCTATGGCACAGGGTCTTTTAAGGAAAGCTTCGGTAAGAGGGCAAAGATGTTCGCAAGAGAGGGGTTTGAACTCTTCATTATGGTTGTTTGAAGTTTCCAGCGAATAACTAAGAGTGTCGGGATGGGAAGAGACAAAAGGGGAGAATGTAGCGATTAAGAGAAGAGTTTGAAGTTTAGGTAAAAATTGGTGTAGAAACATTTATCTGAAAAAATTTTTTAATATAAAGGCATAAGAAAGGCTATAATAAAATTAATATAAAGGCAAAATTTAAAAAAAAATAAAATGTCTAGAGGGCTTTAAAAATTAAAATAAATTCAGCGAGGAGAGTAAAGGGCATTCAAAATCAATTTTTAGAAAGACACGAGGTCTCTATCTTTTATATAAATTTTATACATCTTATGACAGTCTAGACTTTATTAATTGAAAATTAAAATTAAATCTTTTAAATTAAAGGGCAAGCATGTCTAAAGACTCAGGGAAGCTTATAAAACTTTCAATTAGAGAGGGCCTTTCTAATTGAGGGAGTCGCTTTATTTTTGGTTCCAAAATTAAGAAAAAGTTTTTTTCTAAAGTGTTCCTTAGAGCTTCGCTGGAAGTTCCGGTTCTGGTAAGCCGGAAGTTCCGGGATTTTTTTTGGCCCGGGACCAAAAAAATTAGATCCGGTTCCAGTCAAATTTGCGGTCCGGTGTAGCACTATTCTTCCTTGAAAAGGAGGAAAATTTTAAGATAAATTAACTTCGAAAATTTCTTTAACAAACAGACTGATCGGCCAGTGAAATAAAACTATTTACTAATAGACTGTAAGGTTGTAGGATAGTTTGAAATCTTCGGATATCCGGATCTGACATCCGAATCGAAAATTTCCGGATATCCGGTCTTCTTTCGGATCTGGATATCCGGATCCGACAACCTTAATTGATTAATTAAATTAATATTTCCTTCATTTACTTAATTTTAGTTACATGCATTTACATGCCCATTTTTTTTGTTACATGCCCATTTCCTTTATTGATGTTCACAAAAATTGTCGGAAATTTATTTTTAGAAAATTTGCCCTTTTTCCTTTTATCTTTCATCATTTCCCTCATTATTTAATATTTTATGAGGGCGCTGTTAAATAAATCGTTAAATGAAAGTCGACTTAATATAAAAATAATTCTCTAGAGAAAAGCTTCTAGAATCTCAAGGACCTGTACTTGGAAGCTCGTACCAAAAATTATACTCGTACCTGTGTACGAGTACGAGGGAAATCGGGGTCTGTATCTCCAACTACCGTTAAAACCACTACATTTGAATATCAAAACTCAAGAAAGAAAAATGCCATTGAAAGCATAGAGTAAAACGCCCAAAAGTCCAAACATCTCTACCATACAGTCTCGAGTTCGAGAGAATCTCTAAAAATTTTTTTTGATATAACGAGATCATGCTCTCAATTCTCGTAAGACCCCTCTCAGTCCAGTCTATAATCTCTATCATTTTTCGAACAACAAGTTCACAATAATTGTGTGGTTTCTTTTTACGGGATGTTCCCGGAACTGAGGCATTATTTTTTCGAATGCTTAATTCTCCAAAAAATTCTTTTATTGGTTATTTTAGGAAAACCCCCCACTCCTCTAGCCCCTGGTTGGGGTCGTTTTGGCGCCGGGCCTTTTTGGCACGAGAACTAAAAACTGGCACTTAGGCGAGACCTAAATTCTTAAAAATTTTCTCAAATTTCTTTAGCATTTTTGACTACCTCCTTCAGAAATTTCAAAATTTTTCAACAAATATTTCTGAGGTTATAGTCGATAGACTATAAGCCCCCTCCTAACACCCTTTTTTCCAATCTTTCATCATTTAACTTATCAACTGTCTAAATAATTAAAAAACCAAAAGAAATTTTCTTTCAATTTACTTTATTTTTATCTAAAAAATTGACCTTTGTATTTTTTATTAGCTTTAGTTTCTCTCTTTTATTAGCTAATAAAATGTCTAAAATTAAATACACATCACTTTTTATGTCATCAATCATTTAACTTACTTTTATTTAAATTTAACATCATTTATTTTCTGTTTCCCCTCAAATTCCCTCAACTTCCCCTTAAAAATAAATTAAAAAAATTCTCTCATTTTCCCTCCCCAAAATGATTTTAAAAAATAAAAATTTCTTCAAATTTTTATTTTTTTATTTTTATTTAAATTTTGAATGTGCATTTGCACCTGGTGCCCATTTATTTATTGAAGGGAGTAGCTACGAACATTGGGGGAGAAGTCGGGATAGTTATCAACGAAGGCTGAGCACAGCTTTTTTAAATAGTAAGCATTCAATTTTTGGACTAAAAAACTCTGAGTTATACCGATAGAGGCTCTAAGTTATGCCAATCTTATAAGATAACATAGTTCTGAACTCGATGGGATAACTTAGAGATATGTGACTCTAAGGTTTCACAAACCCTAAGGTTTAGCAAATAACTAAAGCTATCAGATATATCGTCTCGGGACCGTTTGGGACCTCTCGAGATACCTCAGATACCATATTGAATAACTTAGACTAAAGAGAACCTACTCACCGGGTTACGATTCTATAGCTAAAAGAATATCGCGTGTACTCTAATTCAATGGCGGACCTTTAGAGGGAATTGAAATATAAAAATCTGCCAGCTTCTCAATAAGATTGGCAAATCCCGATCCGAAAAAGGCCAGATATCCGAAATTTTCGGTTCAGATACCGAATCCGGATATCCGAAGATTTCCAACTATCCGCCAACCTTAATGCTCAATTCTAATTTAAATTTTTTTATAATTTTTAAAAATTTTATGTTCCGACAAGGAAAGAGAAAGATTAGCAAATTGTATGGGTAATTGTTACGATGCAGATTCTAATTGCCACAAATGTTTTGCAAAATGTGTAAATAAATGTGTTCTTAAAAAGCCTCCTTTATCTTCTATGGTTGTAATTGCTGGAAATTAGTTTAATAAATAGTTGGGAGAAGAGAAATGTAATGTTCAAAAATCATAATAATATTTTTTTGTTTCTCAAAAACATTCCTAAAATTTTTTTGTAATTAAATTTTTGTGTAAAATAAATATTTTTCTGACTTGGATGTCACACAGATTTTAGCTTTGGAATTTAAATTTACATAATCGGATCTATTTTTCTTAACACAATCGGATCTCGATTGGGCAAAAAATCTTCGGTTTCGGCTATCGGGTTGGAGCGTTTTACTTTCGGGTCACGGGTTTCAGGATTGCAAAAATATTGGGTTTCTGGGTTTTAAGCGGCAATCCTGATACAATAAAATTTACGTATACTCTCTATTGTACGTACAAATATTTTACAGATGAGTAGTAATTGTGTAAGAGGACCTAACACCTAAATGTTACCTCTAATTTCACCTTCGATTTCACCTCAGTTTTACGTACACTTTTCCCGTTCTTAAAGAGTACGTGCAGTCGAGATCTGTCAGTAGGTAATTCACTTAAGAAGAATTTATTTTTTAAATAAAATTTAAAATTTTAAGTAAAAATCTTTTAAAATTAAAAAAATAATATTCATTGTTTCATTAAATTAAAGAAAAACCAAAACTTGTTTTTGAAAATTAAGTATTTTAAAATTAAAGTTTTCTTTTCATTTAATTAATTAAACAAATTTTGATAAATTTATAATTGATTTTAGTGAAATTCTATATTTTTTAAATTAAAACTTTTTTCTCCAAAATATTAATTTTTTTTCAATATTGTGAGAAATTTTTTCGGCTGTCGTAATCTAGACAAATACCTCTATATAAACGACAGCTCAATATAAACGACTTTTTTTCAAGTCTCTACTAGAGAGAGTTAATTTTATATAAACGACACCTCAATATAAGCGACCTTCTTCGTGTCTTCAGACAAATACCTCCATACAAACGACAGCTCAATATAAGCGACTTTTTTTCAAGTCTCTACTAGAGAGAGTCCTTTGTTTATTTAAATTATGTACTCTCCCTTAATTTTTCTTTTAATTATTTTAACTACCAAATTAATTTCTGGTCAAGGACCACCCCCCAAAAATGGAATAAAAATACCCGAAAATGAAGAAAATAAAGAAGATGATCTAGAAAATCTTGGAAAGGTTGGTTAATTAAGGCTATTTTTAGGTTTAAAAAATAATTTTATTTAGAAAATATTGAATGCTGCAGCCAAAAAACTTTCAACAATAAATACAGAAGATATAGAGAAAAAAATTACAAAAGCTTTGGGATTGGAAAGTAATGAAGGGAATTGATGGGAATTCTTTTTTAAATCTTGTCAGGATTTTTTGAAAATTTTTTTGAAATTTTTCTTCGATAATTTTTTAATTATAAATTTTTGGTTTTTGTTGTTTATTTAATCCTATAATAATAACTGATATTATAGGTTACTCCCTTTTTTCCACGTTTTACTGAGAAAAAAAAATAACTGACCATTTGTACATCAAGAAGAAAACTGATGGGGGGGGGGGGGCGACATTAGTTTATTTTTAATTATAAAAATTTTTTGCCACTTTTTTCTCCTCTTACGTCCGCGCCATAACGAAAAATAAATACTGTCTCATAATTCAAATAAAAACAACAAAATTGTAAAATTTTTTAAAGTTTACCCAAATGTTAAAAAAATAAATGCATAGAAAGGCTACAGCTCAATTTTAAAATAATTTAATAAAAAAACTTCATGGAATTTCTTTTTTTCTCTCGAATAAATCCCCCCAATCAAAATTCTTTATCTCCTATTTTTTACTTTCCATCAGAAACACAAGAATCATCCTCGTATAAATTAACTTTTGGATCTGTCCATGTAGACAACCTTTTCCCAGTGTGCTTGGAATAATAATTATTATTAAAAAATCTCAAAAAATATATGTCGAAGTTTTGGCTCATTTTAAAGAAGATAAATATGGCTAGAAAATGAGCCCAAAAAAATTTTCACTAAGCCTGAAACAAACGAGGGTAAGGGTTTTTATTAGAGAACGAACTTTTTGAAAAATCTGGGCCTGTTCCTGGGCTTCGGGTTTGATTTATTGACCTGAGCCGGATCCTGAGCCTGTAGTCCAGGAAAAACCCCAGGAAGGTTAAAAAATGCCTGGGCCTGGACTCTGGGTAAAGGAAAACACAGGCCTTGGTTAGACCAGGCTCGATCTGTAATTAAAATTAAGTGAAAATACCACATATGAAGGATCTTCCTTCTCTTCTGATTTTGTTTTATGTTTTGTTGAACGTCTGGACCCATTTTTAGAACTTTCTTAATTAAAATTTAAAATTTTAATCTTCTAGAGTATTATCTTCCAGAGCTACTTCGAATCCTGTCCGGATTCGAAGTAGCCGACATAAAAATTTAATTGCCGCTTTTCGGAAATTGGAAATTGGGTCGACTAAAACCCTGATAGATACTTGTTATTAATTTTATCTTTTTTAATTAAAATAAAATTTTTAAAATTTATTTTACAAACCAGCAGCTTTATTGTGTAATGTTGATTGAGGGTGTGCTTGTTTTCTTTTACGACCAACACAACATTCAACAAAAACAATTGTGAATATCACAAGGACAATAAATGTTTTTGACATTTTTTAGAGTATAGGGAGTTTTTGTTTAGGGTCTAAGGATTAAGTTTTTAAATTTGAATGTTTAAAATCTTCTTTTTCAATCCCACTTTTAAATTTAAATTATAAAATATGGGCGGGTTATAGGGGAATTTTTATTAATCAATGAATTTCGCAAAAGTAAGTGGGATAGCTAAATTTTTTAAATAAAAATTTTTAATTAAAAAAATTTTTTATCGACTTTTCTTAGAAAAAAAAATTTTTTTCTATTGTCTATATTCTTGTAGAGAAAATAAATTTTTTTGCTTAATTGAGTAGTAAGAAGGAGAAAAAAATTTAATAAAAATAAATTAAAGATTAAAATTTAAAATTTAACTTTGTAGCCAAAGTTAAATTTTTTTGGAGGGATTGAGGGGATTCTCGACTCTAGACGCCTACGGCCCAAAAAATGGCAAAAAAATTTAAATTTAATAAGATTAAAAAGGATTAAGATGGATACTGGGGATTCTGAAGGATTAAATTTAATATCGAAGGACTTGTGCGTAGCATTGAGGGATCAAGAAGATATCGTAGGGTCTGTAGGTCTTCTGAGGGTGAATTCCTGTGTATTCTCAAAATTTTCGACTATGCCGCCAAAAAAAGGTTTTTGAAATTTTTTTGTAGCGTGCTTATAATTGGAAAATTTTCCCACTATGTTTATGTATTTAACTTTATTTACTTCAATTTTATATTTTCACGAAAGAAGTCATGATCAAGATTATTTAATTAATTAAAAGGATAAAAAATGAAGTTACAGCTTGAATAAGGTTACAGCTCGGCGGTACCTTGTCTTAGTGGTACCTTTGGTTGTACCCATAATTCGAATAAAATCAAAATCGAATAAAACCATTTTTAAAGTTTACCCAAATGTTAAAAAAATATGCATATCAAGGCAACGACTCAATTTTAAAATAATTTAAATAAATATGTGTACATTTCTTTTTGTTTCTTTTAAATAAATCCCCAATCAAAATGCTTTATCTTGTTGTTTTACTTTCCATCAGAAACACAAAAATTACCCTCGTTTCTCTGCGAACTTGCTTTTCCCAGTGTGCTTAAAAAATAATTATTTTTTAATTTGAAATAAACTTCAAATGAAAATACCACAACTGTAGGATCTTTCTTCTTTTCTTCTAAAGTTGTTGCATCATTTCCTACATGGTTGGGTGGATTTCCGGCTTGTCCGATAGTTCCTTAATCGCAAATTTAAATTAAAAATTTAACATTATGTAAAACTCCAATTTTTCAGAATGTTTTTAATGAAGTAAAAGGAATACCTAATAAACTTTATTATTTCAAAGTTTAGATTCTAAATTTTCCCAAACTTTTAATAATTTGAATTTCAAAATATTCCATATTTTTTAAAAAATTGCTACCATATTTTCTCGACTAATTCCCCCGGGGAATTAATATTTCAACACATCCGTGGGATGGGGAATTATTCGAGGGAGGGGAATTAATCGAGAAAATACGGTATATTCACGCTGTGGAATAATTCATTGGATTGGAGATGGAATAGAACATCACGGAACTGAAGACACAACCCAGCCCTATGAAGGGTTATTCGAATTGTTTCGGGTCGGGGAACGGGGTCGGGGTGCAACACTAGAAGGCTTTGCAGTAGGTATCGTGGTGTAATGGCTAACACATCAGTCCGGTTTACTGAAGATGCTGGTTCGCTCCCAGCCGCCGATTAACCTTTTGCACTAGCTAAAGGAGAGAGCCCAGCTGCTTTACTTTGTTTTTTATTACTTTTTGCCTTTTTGTCTTTAACTTTTAAAGTGTTGCGTTTTTGTTTTGAAAAATTGCGTAAAAAGGCAATTAGATCAAATAGATAAGGAATAATAGGAAAGAGGTATTTAATTAAAATAGAACTTTTAAATTTTATTTTACAAACCACCAGGAAGTCCATTGCTATATGTTGATTTAGGGTGTGCTTGTTTTTCGCGAACTCCAACACAACACTCAACAAAAACAATTGTGAATATCACAAGAACAATAAATTTTTTTGACATTTTTTAGAGAGTATGGGGAGTTTTTGTTTAAAAGTTTTTTTTTTAATTTGAATGTTTAAATCTTCTTTTTTCAATCCCCCTTTTAAATTAAATTTTTAAATTATAAAATATGGGCGGGTTATAGGGGAATTTTTATTGAATAATGGAGATAGCAAGGAGACAATAGATTTTAAAGACAATAGAAAAATTTAAATAAAATTTTAAATAAAAATTTTTTCTATTGTCTAAGTGCCTGTCGAGGTAAAAAAAATTTTTCCCTCCTCATGTGAGGGCCTTTAATTAATGAGAGAGAGAGAGCCCTTATGATAAAATTTAAAATATATTTTTATATATTTTTATATATTTTTTTATTTTTCTGTATATTTTTATAATTTTTTATATTTTTGTATATTTTCTATGCTTTTTGGCCAATAGAAATTATTTGAAGGAAAAATTTAAAAAAAAATAATTTTTTATAAAATTAACTCTTACTTTAAAATTTTTTTAATATTCGTCATTCTCAAACACTGTTTTTCCTGAGAAATTTGCTCATGCTTTTCAGGTTCCTGAAATTTCAGATCGGTTCTGGATGACCAAACTCTTCGGTTCGTTTCCTAAAAAGGAGTAAATCGGACCTCTTGGCTCACCCCTTCCCCCCCCCCCCCGCCACCCAAATCGGCCCTTCCAATATTCTCAAAATTTCCTGAAAAGGAAGAGATCTGTATCTAAAACTTAAATAGAATGTTGATTGATTTGGTTGTGATATCGAGTGAATCAGAATTTTCGATGGTAATAGGGCGTTTTCTCCATGTTCGCTCCGCAATTTGTAAAGATATAAACGGATTCAGGTAGATATGTCATGACGCTCACCCCTAATCCTTACACAAACATTTCTAAAATTAATTTTATTTTAATTAAAAACTAAATTTTAACTACATTATAACTATAATTACAATATTATTGCACATAAAAATAAATATATTTTATTTTCTTTTAAAAAAAGTTTTTAAGCACTCAAAGCAACTGCTTGGCACCAAACATTATTTTTAACAACATTGCAATATCCATCCCCGCTGCTGCTAAAATGTACTTTATTTGCTGTAGCATCCCCAGTTTTGGCCTCATTTGCTGTTGCACAGACTACGAGGAATCTTTGGTCATCATAACGGCGGAAGAGGCCTGTTTGGATTGAATTGACTGAAGCTATTGCATCATTGTCTGTGATGCTCTATAAATATTTTTAATAAATATTAGGAAATTTATGCAATCGGAACCAGGGCTGACTGCAATTGGAAAAAAATTTTGCTGCCGAATCCGCAAGTCCAAAAAATCACGCAATTTACACAACCCGTAATTGCGGGCAGTCCTGATCAGCAACATTATAAGGTACACTTGGGCCGAAATAATGTTTCTTATAGTGAGGTATATTCTAAACAGGCTTATCAAAATTTAAAAAACTTATCTTAACTTGAGATGTATATACTATTGGGGGTGTCTTATACTGAGGGTAGACTTCACAAAGTTGAGAAATTTTAATTTATCACTAGTTAAGTTAGAGCTTATTTGTTTCTCTTTAAAATTGTATTCGAACGAAGGTTGCTTCCTAACAATAAGACTATTTTTTAAAATCAAATATAACTCAAAACGGATATATTTAGTAAAAAGCGTTCCCTTTCCGTAACAATAGTATAAAGACTTCCCTTACTTCCAGTAAAATGACCGGATAAACCCTAAATTTCTACCTCTTCTATAACTTGTTTCCATGCAGCTTGTGGGCATGGTGTGTCATCTGTCTTGTAATGAGGCTGGACAGCTGCCTAAAAATATTTTTAGTTTGTTCATTTGGACAGTTTCTGACGGTTTTAAACTTAACCTCACGCTTCTTACGTCCACAACATCCACCCCCTCCGCCACAACCACCCCCACCGCCCCCGCAACCGCCTCCTCCACCGCCACAGCTACATCCACCTCCTCCACCCCCACCACTTGGAAAACCGCATCCCTCAACGAGACTGATTAAGGAAATAATGAAAGTAAATAGAAGAATATATTGAAGAAGTTTTGACGGCATTTTACCGACTAAATGTTTATAAAAACGTATTGGGTAGAGGGAGAATGAAACAAAATTAATTTTAAAGTGAAAATATAGTAAGGTCCGACTGCGAAAGTGTGTTATTTTGTGTTATCTAACTACCAGAAAAAGTTCAGAATTTTCTATAAATTATTTCAGAATGTTTCTTCTATGTGAATTGAATATTCTTAAGGAGCCGATTGCTTCCACATTTTCTCCCATAACTTTTGAAATAATTCAGATAAAATTCTGAAATTTTCAGAATAGATAGTCAACACTCTTAAGCGTGTAAAAACAGAATTTCACATTTTTAGGCCTTCTTACGGCAATTTTATAGACCCTGGCGCCAAAAAAATTTCGCGCCGAATTGTCTCAGAGAACAAAACTATAAATTATATTTAGTCAAACTAGAAAAATTAAAGAATAATAAAGTCTTTAAATAATGCATAAATAATAAAGACTTTTTGTAAAAAAAGTCTAAAAAAACTTTTACCGCCAAAGAAATCTCGTTATTTTTCTCTTAATTTTTTCCTCTAATTTTTTACAAAATAAACTAGTCAACAATAAATTTTTTGATTGATGGTAAATAAAAAGGGCATTCTCTGGAATGTATTGACAATACAAGTCAGTCATATGAGAGTCTTCTTCTTCTTCCTTTTAATTCATCATTTAAATACTTGACAGTCTTTTCTTCTTCTCTTAATCCCTTCTTAAACCGCCAAATCGCCGAATCCCTACAGGCACTTTAAACGATATGTGAACGAAAAAATAATAGCTTGAGGTAGCTAAAAAATATTTTTTTGTTCTTTTATTTTTTCTAATCACTGATCGGAAATATGTATGCTCATCATTGAAAGATTAAATAGAGTGGAAGAGGACTTTGGGCGCTAAGAAAAAATAATTTTTTTGATAAACATTAACACGCGTTATTTAGTCGACTGCTTCGACATTTCCGCCTGTAACTTTCGAAATAAAAAAGATAAAATTCTGAAATTTTCAGAATATATAGTCAACACTTTCGAGCTTGTATCTACAAAATTTCACGTTTCTAGGATTTTTTAAGGCAATGTTATGAGCTTTTGCGCCAAAATACGTTCGCGCCGAATTGTCCCAAAAACATTTTCACGCATTATTTAGAAAGAGGAGGAGCTGGTTAATTATTTGAAAGAAACATATTCTCGTTCTGCAGCTTTGTAGAAGTTTTGTTTCTGATAGATCCTTAAATGCACAATATAAAATGATGTAGGGAAGGTTTTTATTGCTCATTTTAATAAAAACTAATGAAGAATTTTTATTTTTTTTAATCCTAATTTTATCAATCTTCTTCTTTTTCTTCTAATTAAATTAAAATTAGCTACGTATTTAATTTTTTTGTTTAAAATTGTGTTAGGAACTAGATAATTTAACCCAATTTTTTTAAACCATATTTTAAACAAATATGCACTAATATTCTTTTAAAATTCCAAAATCATGTAATTACACAGACCTGTGTATTCCTGTATTTTTTATAAAATCACTAAAGAGAGAGAGATTAAAAGAGAGAGAGATTTAAATAATGGGGAGCAGGCCAATTTACTGCCAGCCCAATTTACCGCTGAGCTATAACTTCGTTCATAATTGTCGAATTCGGCCCGCCATGGTATGGGTCGAAGCACCTCGACGAGCTGAATCGAACGATACCATGGTGTAACTGCTTCGACAATTATTAACGAAGTTAAGCTCGGCGGTAAATTGGGGGTGTAAGCAAATTAAGTGTCTAGACAGATTTTTGAAAATTTCGAAATTTAATGAGTCAAGCTTGAAGAAATCTCCTTTGTTTGGAAATTTATTAATAAATATTGGAAGGAAAAAAATTTTTTTACCCAGAAAATAAAATTAACTAAAAATGACATCGAGAGTTGTCTTTTGTTTGGTTTCTCTTGGAATGTTAATTTGCCTGGCTAGCCTTATTGAAGGAATCGGATTCCCAGGAGGCGGAGGAGGAGGTGGCGGTTGTGGTGGTGGAGGTGGTGGATGTTCATCATGTGGAGGAGGCGGAGGTGGATGTGGGGGAGGTGGTGGTGGTGGATGTTGTGGACGTAGAAAGCGTGAGGTTTGATGAATTTTTATTTAAGTTCAGACAGACTTCGTAAAATATTCAGTAAATACGTCAGAAACGATTCGGAAGCTAGCCTGACCGAACAGAAGAAAAGTTCGGTTTTTCGGTTCGGTTCCAGATAACCAAAAAGTTTTCCTGAACTGACAGCCCTACATGAGAATCAAACCATTTTCATCCTAAAGTGATTCATCCAGAAATCTGCCTCTTTCTCATGGATGCCCCTCTCTCTTAAGTTTTCTTTTCTAGAGAGTAAATGTCATCCAGCAGCTCCCGTACAGAACGCGCGAAGCGTCCCCTTGAATAAGGCAGATAAGGCTGCCATTTATATATTGTCCGCTTAATTGAGAGTATCCTTCAATTAAAAAGCGTCTATTAAACAGTGTTATTTTGGATAGATATTAGCTCGATATAGGAGCTTTAGGAGCCTTTGGAGCTTAAATGAAGTAGCAAACCCACTTCTGGGATGGGATAACTCAAGAAAATTTTTAGATGATACCTCTCTTTATAGGCGACATATTCTTAACTTCCTTCTAGTCGCTAATATAATGATTTTTAATATTATAGACAGCCGTCCAGCCCCACTACAAAGCTGACGATACCCCTTGCCCACAAGTTGCATGGAAACAATTGCTTGAGGATGTGAGACAAATTTTTCAGAAAATTTCAAAAATTAAAAAAAAATTTTTTCAGGGAATAAACGAGAACGACGCTATCGCCTCCGTCAATTCAATCCAGACAGCCCTCTTCCGGCGTTACGAAACTGAACAAAAATTCCTCGTAGTCTGTGCAACAGCAGATGAAGCTAAAGCTGGGGATGCTACAGCAAACAAGGTGCATTTTAGCAGCAGCGGGGATGGATATTGCAATGTTGTCAAGAAAAATATTTGGTGCCAAGCAGTTGCTTTGAGTGCTTAGAAAGAAAATTTGGGAAAAGAATAAAAAGAAATCTTAGAATTATAGCCAAGAATTAACTTAAAAATTAGTATGTACCTCATTTTAGCTTATTAGTTGTGCAATAATTTGATTGTATTTATTTAGATTTTTAGAGGAAATAAAATTGGTAGCTTAATTAATTGGTAGCCTCATCATAATATACAAACAAAACACTTGTATTTAAGAAACATTTCTTAAATTTGGTTGTTGAGGCTGTTTAAGATAGGAATGCCGGTCCTCGATTTCCTAGTTACGATTTCAAGCTGACAGACTTGGTTTAGTGACATCTCAGATTTAAAAATTGGGTACGGCCCAGAGCTATTTAGGCGCAAAGCCATAACTTACTTAAGATTTCCGAATCTTTTTAAATTTAGTATTAACCGATTCATCTCATCGAGCTAAGAAGATCGGTACCAAAATTGTCAAGGTCCAGAAAACTAATTATGGCTTTGCGCCTACCCGACCTTGAGCCTAATTGGCGTGTTCCTCCTAAATTAAGTATTCCACACGATCCCTCATTTTTTAATTTGATAGAAAGATTTTGTAGGTACAATCTTAGGGGTCGTGTTCGATTTTATTTTTCATCAAATTGCTGATAATTTAATATATGTATATTTTTTTATTTTTGCTGTTATCAGCTAATAGTAAAATTTTATAAAAGTGCCCAAACACATGATGTCTCTAAAATTACTTTTCCTTATCATTAGAATTAATCTATTAAACCATAAAAATAATAAAACTAAGGGGGAATGGAAAAAATGTTTGTTTAAATGGCAAAAATATTCACCTATATTTAATTTATTTTATTTCTCAATAAAAATGTGTACGAGCTTAGGTTTTAAAATCCTCAAACTATATACCAGAGACAGGACCGAGACGAGATCTCTATTCACGTACGACACTCCCAGTCATGTCCTAGTGCTTACTATTCGGTTTCGGTTAACCGCAAAATGTGGTGAAACTGATAACTTTACTCGCAACTCGTGACATTTTGAAAACAGAGGTGTCAGGAGTTGCGACATCTTCCTAACAAAAATGTCAGGAAGTTGTCAGGAGAAAAGACCGGACTGGGAGGGTCATACGGGAATCGAGATCTGGAAAATCTCGATTCTCGATAACCGACATTTTTTTCGAGATCTCTTTAAAAGATCTTTTTTCGAGATTTTTTCGCGTCTTGGTCCGATCTCTAGTCAGGAATTCTTGTTTAAAAAATAAAAAAATTTAAATTTCCCCGTCAACCTTTCTTTTTAAACGAAAAATTGCTTCAAGAAATTAATATTTTTAAATTTATGAGCATTAAATAAGATTAATTATTGGTCTTTTTCTCAGACTAATAACCTTCAACGACATTTATAAATAACCTTCCTTTTTCAAAAATATTTTCATTTCCAGTTTTTAATTTTTATTTTTAAATTTTTAGCTCTAAAAATGGAGACATTAATGCTGATTAAATTATTTTTTATTTTACTTTTTATTGTTTTAATTAATTCTCATTTTGTCCACGAGCACCTTTCCCGAAGTGAAAATAATAATAATTGGCCAGAAAAGAGTTCTTATGCTGTAGGGCCGCATCTTAGAGGTTGTTATAGACCTGCACCGGAAGAAATGCGGAAAGAAATTAAGTGAGGAGTAATTTTAAATTTTTTTATGAAAATGAAAAAAATTTTAAAAATTTGTTGAAATTATTACAGAAATCCTCTTCCCGTAAGCTAGCTGAAGACTTGTTTTTGTTTTTAAATGAATTAAGAGTTGATCTTTTTAGGTAACAAACTTGATTTATTCATTGTTAAATCCGGAGGAGCAGGGATGGTATTTATTACCCTAGGTATTTACTAGGACTTTACCTAGTAAATAAAATCGGACTGAATTACTGCCTTAGAAGTATCAAGCTATAAAGCTTAGATTAGTTGGAGTTGGCGGATTTATTTTTATTTTTTTCGGATTTTTTTCCTGAGTTGGCGGACTTTGGGAAATCCCAGGATATCCGGAACCTTATCTGAGCAATAAATTTCCGGATATCAGGCTTCTTTCGGATCAGGATTCACCAACTCCAGACTTGCTTGTCTCCACATCGAAATGATTTAATTAATTAGAAAAAGAGATATCTTCTCTTAAATACCTTCCTTAATCATCCATGAATTAAAAAAAAAGTTTTTAATTAAAATTGCAAAAAGAAATTTAAATAAAACCAAAATTTACATAAAATTAAAAAAAATTTTTTTTTTATCTTTTAAAAGAGAGAAACCATTTTGGCTTATTTTGTTCATTTCTTTTTAATTCCTTCTTTAAATCTTTATTAAATTCATTATTTTTATTTAATTCTTCTTTATTTTCTTTATTTTTAACTTTCCAAGGCTTTGAATTACTCAAAGTTTTAATTATTAAATTATTTTGTCTTTCTTCTATTTCTTTTTTCCCAATATTTAATTTTTTTGAATTTAATGTTGTTTGTTTCTGTAAATTAAGAAAAAATGTAAACTCTCATTATAAGAGGCAAATATAGAGAAAGACCGAGAATGACCAAATTAGTATTTCTTCAAAAAAGGACCTCAAAACTAAATTGTTAGCAGAGTCCATTATAAGTAGAGCAAGGGCTCAATAATATAGAGAGTGTCCACTATATAGAGAGTAAGTGTCAACTAAATAGAGGTAGGTAATAGTTTGAAAGTCATACCCCTTTTTCCTCCGTTTCCCTGATCATTATCAGCTTTCTTCATTTATGATTTATATATAATTCAAATACCCAGGTCAACTAGATCTGATCATTCTTACCAAAATTATGAAGCTAAATCCTCATTGGGAAAATTTTTTGTGCCGATGCAAGCGAATAAAATAAACTATCATAACTCTGTTCACTTAAATCAGATTTCGTTGATCTTAATGCCATTCGACTGTCTCGAATGGTTCTTTCGAACGATATGTAATTTGTCATACAATGACAAAAAATTAGAAAAAAATACATAGAAAGGAAAAAAGGGCCGACTTCCAAGCTATTACCTAGAGGCTTTCATAAATTAACCGAAATTTCGTTTTTGTTGACCAAAATAAAAATTATTGAGAGAGGAGACAGAAGGATTGGAGGAAGTCTTTAAGAAGCTAAGGGGGAAAAGAAAAACTTACTCAATAATTTCCGTCTGATTTAGTTCCTTTTGAAGGTTTAATAATTCTGTTGATTTATTCTCTCCATAATTAATTTTATTTTCTTCTTTATTAATTTCTTTATTTTTCTCTTCATTTAACCCTTCATTTAAAGGCAAAATATAATGCGGGGGAAATACTCGATTATTTCTTTCATTCAAAATTTTTTTCCTATTCGGATCCCCCCAAAATCCTTTTTGTCTATTAAATTCTCTTTTCCTTCCCGAAAATGTTGAGAAAGGCGATTGACGTTCTTCGACGTATTTTGAAGTGCATTCGCGTTGGCATTGAGGGCGACAGAGTGGGGCACATGGACGGGAACGGATAAGGCCGTCATTTAACTTGAAAAAAAATTTTTTGTTGGGAGATCATGAGATTTTACCTCTTACATACATATTCCAACCTACCACATATCCCGAAGCTCTTATTTCTCATCTTTTAGTCGACACATACTAAGGCTCTTATTCCTTTACTTATCCCACCTTCTCAGTTGGATATCCCACATTTTCTCATATTCGACTCGGCCCAATCTATCGACTAACAACCGAACCCTGACTGCCACTATTAGGATGGCGTTAGAACAGTGGCTCACACTTCTTATCTTTAACTTATCCCACTTCCCCGCTCATACCGACTCTTATTTCTAATCTTAAACATCCCACCCTGCCATATAACCCGAGGCGCTTATCTCTCATTACTTTTGTGGAGCAGTGTATCATGTCAAGAAGCTCTTTTCGTCTTTACTTATCCCATCCTCCTATATATCCCGGGGTTCTCATTTTTCATTATTAACTTATCTTCCTCCCAGATATCTCCAGGCTTCCATTTATCTTTAACTAACCCCTACATATCCCAAGTTGTGGACTAACTTCTCTATCAACATCATTCAAAAACATTGATGGCTGTGTCACCAACATTTGTTTCTTTTCATTTTCTGATTGGACAGTAACATTAGAATACGAAGTTCCATTCTCTAGACCTTCATTCCGATGCCCTTGTAATAAAATTTGTTGTATTTGTTGTTGAATTTGGGATTCTGATTTGATTAATTCCCCCTTGTTTTGTTGTGGAAGAGAATCGAAATGTTGAAGACCTCGAGAACAAGACTTTAATTTAATTGAGGGGTTTTACAAGTTCTCAAACAATATAAACTTGTGCACAAACAGCAACACATGCCGGAACACAAATTGTTGGATCCTCGTTTGTTTGAGTGCTTAGACAACTGACAACACAAGACTTTGGACACCGGGCCACACAATTTGTTGCTGGTCCGTTAATTACTGTTTCTTTAAGAGAAAGGAAATGTTTATGTTATTTTAAGCTTGAGTAGGGATTGGTTCACGGTCCAAAAAATGTCAACGGATCTAACTGATTGAGGAACAAATAGGCCTTATTTTTGAGAGGTTTCTGCATTAACGAGAAATCTCTTACTTATATAATCGAGCAAAATATAATTCTTCGAGGTGGAAGGCTGCCCAAGTGATACCTCAAATTGGAAGGCCTAAGTGATACCCCCAATTTTACATATCTCATTATAAGAGACAATTTCCCCATCCAAATTCTATTCCATAGCGAGGTCCCACTGTATTTAGGGTTGGGATTTTCGAGTCAGGCTGACGTTCGAGTCAATTTTCGGGCCTCATTTTTATCAGGCCGGCCCGACCGAGTCTTTTTCGGGCCAAAATTTGATGCCCGACTCGATCTTTCGGACCGGACCGGGCTCCCAACCCTAACTGTATTTATTTTTACTAACGTTGTTGTAAATTATTGTTCAAATCATTATTATTCTCTGTAACTGCTATAGAAGTCAATGTTGGAGGAGGAGGAGAACTTGTTCCAGCTGAAAATATTTCTGTTCCTCCCAATCTTCTTCTAGCTTGTTTTTGTTGTTGTTTTTCAGCACAATTTCTTTGACAATCGAAATGGCATGTTTGGGCACACAATCGTTTTTGATTGTTATTTTGAGTTTTAAGTTGTTGTTTGTCACAATTTGCTTCACAAGAGTCAAAACACACGGGGAAACAATTTCTGATAGAGATTAAATTAGAAAATCACATCAATGTCTATTCCTCACACATCTCTATCTTATCCCACTTGTCAAACTCATTTATGAATCTTATCAATCAATTAGGTCTGAGAATTTCTTGGATCGGTTCTAAGGATTTATCAGAAGTGACAATCCTAGTTAAATCCTCACATATCCTATCTAATATATCTAAAACTTGTACATAATACAAGCTCTCCCAGATATCTCCCAGATATCCCGTAGTAGTATATTCCTAAGGGTGTGATAAGACAGGGAATCTAAAATAAAATATTCAAAAAAATCTTTACTCGGGGCATTCGCAAATAGCATCAGGCGAGCATTGACAACTTGACAGAGCAGACGTTCCATAGTCTGTCTGTAGCGGAGGAAGTCTAGTTACGTAAATAGGTCTGTCAACAGGACGAACTTCGTAGTGCGAAGGTGTTGGAGGTTCTGTTTCTTGATAGGGTACTTAAAAAGAAAAATTCTTTGAATTTTAAGAATTTTAGAAGCCTCTATGAGCATCCAAAATCCTTGAACAAGCCTTTAAACAATTTGTTCTGCAGTGAGATACTTGACATCCAGTAGGGGAATAATCAGCAGCTAATAAAGAATTTTCTGGTTGAGGGTCCTGATCGTTAGCATATCCGCTGCTATAACGCTCTCTTTCTCGATAAGGATCAACCTCGCGAGTATAAGGACGAGTACATGTTGTTAAACATGATTGGTGGCAAATCTAGAATTATTCTTTATATGATTATTCAAGAATTTTCTTAAAATTCCCCAACTTTGGAACAAAAATCTCGTTTCTTGCAATAGAAATATTGACACTTTTGAGATCATAATCTGAGTCTTACCAACGATCCTACAGTCTTACAAAGGATCATTGAAGATACTTTCCAAACCTCAGAGACTTCCCAAACCTCAAGACCGAGAGACCTATTCCAGTTAAATGAAGGTAAATTATAAGGAGGGGTGAGGGAAGGAAGAAGCGAGAAGTGAAGTTGCATGGGGATGGGTCTAAGAGATCTTGATCTTGTTGAGTCCAGGATCTGATCTCACGATTCCTTAATGATAAGAACATAAAACCTCTAGGAAGAATATTTCTTTTACAAAATATTAATCAAAAATTCAAGAAAATTAACCGGATGGCAAGCAGAATGAATAACAGATGGGCTGAGTGCTCTAGGATACAAATCTGAACTTCTTTCTTCTCCACGATAGACAGGGAAATATCCTCCCTCAGATTCTCCCCAACCATTTCCTTTATTACGGCAAGGGCACTGTTGTTTATTTTCTTCTTCCCTAGCCAAACTTGCGCGATCGCAACGACATAAAAGTTCATCGCTAATTGATGGCATTCCTGTACATTTACAATTAACTGGGGTATATTTTGAAAGACAATTGCAGGAAGATGTTGATTGGGGAATGGCATTAGTAATATATTGACGTTTTGAACGTGAAGCCTTTAAAAGAATAAAGAGTTTTAAACAAGAAAATCCAAAATCTTTATGTTATCTCAGCCTTTCATACGTCTAAAATAAGTCAGAGATGGATGTCTTCCGCCTTCCGTAGAATCCCACCTTTTTAGACCTTTCCGCTTTGTCGATGCCATGTCGATCCTATGACGATTCCAAATTTACCCTATTTACTAGGAGATAGCTAAGCCACTCATTTATCCCGTCCTTTGTTTTCGCACTAGCTTCTCACTTGTATCTCATTTCTGAGGTTCTTTTCCAGCTACTCCGGCTAGAAATATTCCCAGGTCCAACTAAACGGATGTCGCAGGTTGATTTATAATTTAAGGGGAGAAGCTAAATATTTCTATTAGGCCTTTTATTATTCCCCTACCTCATCCATTTCTCTCAATTCTCCTCTACATTGTTTAAAACATGTAATAATTAATATTAAAATAGTTAATGTTTGCAATATCATTTTCACCATTAAAATAAATTTTTTTTGCAAAATAAGGAAAATGAAAATAAAATATTTAAATAAATCAAGAAATTCTTTTTCCCATTTTTTAACCTTTCCTTCCCGATTTCCCTACCGATTCCTCTTGAAAACCCCATAAATGGGGCTTGTCAAGTGCCTTTCTTTATTTTCCTAGCTAGAAGCATATCCTTAAAAATGGGCTCAATTTTTGGACATTTTATTTTTTGGAAAGACAAAATTCCCAAAAACTGGTATTTTAAAGCAGACATTTTTAAAAGAATTTTGAGGAAAATAAAAATATTTTTTGAGGAGAATTTTGAAGAAACAAGTTCTCTTTTAAGATTTTTAAAAATATTTCCCCTTTCTTTCAGAATTACACCTCGACTTTATGAGTTGGGATACTTTGATCCTCTAGATTTGCCTGAGACTTGGGACTGGCGAAATGTCAATGGTGTAAATTATGTTTCTGCGGACCGGAACCAGCATATACCTCAATGTTAGTTGAAAAATGAGGAAAATAATTAAAAAAAGAAATTTAAGGGGAAAATTGAATTAATGTTTAAAATAGTGAATTTTGGGTTGACTATTAACTGGAAACTGGAAGTCCCTTTTCGATCAAATTCTGGTGTTGTCTATTCATAACAAGGTCCGCTTCTATTAGGAATATTTTATTAGGAAATTCAATTTCTATTAAGAACTTAAAGCCTATGTATTACATGATCGGTCCGGTCCCTATTAGTAACTTTCACTGAGAAGAGGTATTAGGTAACCTCTTAATTTGATTTTTGACTACGGTAATTTGATTGGGATTGAAATATGTAAAAGGATAAAAGAATTAACAAAATAATTTAACAACCTTAAAGATTAAAATAAAATTTTAAAAATAATATTAAGATTGCGGATCTTGCTGGGCAATGGGTTCAACCTCAGCCTTAGCCGACCGCATAAACATTAAAAGAAAAAATGCCTGGCCACCAGCATATTTGTCAGTTCAAGAAGTTATAGACTGTGCAAATGCTGGAAGTTGTGAAGGTGGAGATGTTGGGCCAGTTTATGAATATGCACATAAACATGGAATTCCACATGAGACTTGCAATAATTATCAAGCAAAGGATGGACGTGAGTTTAATTTTTACAGCTGGAACTCACTAAGATACTTCCAATATTAGATACGAGACTTCCAAGACCGAAAATTTTCCAATACCTCCATTTAAGAGACACCCCGAGTTAAGATACTCTCGATATAAGAGACAATCTTCTTCAGCCCCACGGGGCATCTTATAGAAAGTCTTACGTATTTAAATTTTAAAGAATGCGATCCTTATAATCGTTGTGGAAGTTGTTGGCCAGATAGATGTTTTGATATCAAAAATTATACTCTCTACAAAGTGAAAGAATTTGGGCCAGTTTCTGGAATTATTAAAATGAAGTAATATATTTTTTAAATTACGAAAGGCAATTTCCTTGATAAGGTAAAGAACCTGAAAAGCCCTGAAAACATAACTTGTTTTTGTGGAAGTTGTTGGGATTCGTTCTGTTAAAGAATGACATTCTTCAAGTATAGAGCATACTAGGACATGGATACGGATACAGATATTATAAAAATGCCTGCGGATATCCGTCTGTATCCGCCGTAAATATCCGGATACGGATACCAAAATCAGTATCCGTGTCCTTGTCTGGTATAGAGTGCCATTCAGTTAAAAACTGAGGTGCTCCTTCTTGAAAGAACTACTTTTTTACCCATTAGAGCCTTTTCATTAAATTAATGAGAAAATTCATCCCCCTCCCCAAAAAATCAAATTTAATTTTTAGAGCAGAAATATACAAAGGGGGACCAATTGCTTGTGGAATTGCTGCTACCAAAAAGTTTGATGATTATGCTGGCGGTATTTATAAAGAAAAGACTAATGAAGTCAGAATTTTTTTATTCAAAATTAAAAAATATTTTTACAGGAAATCAACCACATTATAAGTGTAAGTTGAAAAAATTTTTTCAAAATTTTAATTCAATTTTAAAAAGGTTGTCGGATGGGGAAAAGACGAAAACTCTGGAATTTCCTATTGGATTGGCAGAAATAGTTGGGGCACTGCTTGGGGTGAAAATGGTAAGGAACACATAATCTTTTAAACTAAAAAATTATTTTTAAGGCTGGTTCCGTATAGTAACCTCAGAATATCGAAATGGAGGGAATAAATATAATTTAAAAATCGAAGAGGATTGTTATTGGGCTGATCCCGAAATTTAATTTGAGAGAAATAAAAAAAAGGAAAATTTTAAAATTGAACGAGATTCGTTGAAGTCTTATTTTTCTCTTAAAAAACAAGTAAAATAAAATTTTTGACATATTGCTGTATTTCAAATTTTATAAATAAATTTTTTGATGGTTTAGAAAAATTTCAATTTTTGAGGTATTTCCAATTTTATTTTAAAACTCAATTTTTATAAAACAATTTTAAATTTAATTCATTTTTAAAGATCACCGATCGAGAATAAATAGCACAGGGGAAAATTTTAATTGATAGTAAATAAATTATACAGTCAAACTTAATGTCGAACCTCATATAGAATAAACCCTTGGAGACGAAAAAATTATTTTAAATTGGGGAGGGGATATTAATTAGATAGATTTCTTCACCCAGGGGCCAAACAAAGTTTAAAAGTTATTTAAAAATATTTTTCCAATTAAAAATGTCCCGGAAAAAGTTTTATTCGAATCAAAATTTAAAAATTTTGATTTTATTTTTCCCCAAAATTATAAATGTTTTGTTAAAAAAGAAAAAAATCCGTGATTTGATTTGATTTTAAAAGGACTTTGACTGTATAAATTTAATTTAAAAAAGGGAAAAAAAATTTTAAGTGAAATATTTAAACTGAAATACCCTTCAAAGAAAATCAAACCTTCCTTCCTTTCAAAAAAAATTTTTCTAGAACCATCGTTGAGTAAACATGTAGACGTGAACAAAGAGAACGACGATTAAAGTGTTGAATCCCAAAAACTGAAAAAATTAAAAATTTTAAAAATTCAATTTTGATTTTTATAAGACTCTTGTGCCTTTTCCCCTTATTTGTCTTCTCCCTAATTTTTCTTTTTAATTTTCCTCCTAACAAACCAATAAAAAATGGTAGGGAGGCAATGAGGGAAGGAGAGAACCTTGGAGAAAGCGCTCTTTTTAGTTACAAATTGAAAAATTCAAATTTTTAGGGGAACTTTCTGAGTAAATTTAATGCCAAATACAACTGGAAATTGACGGAAAAAATTCAAAATTTATCAAAAAATAGACAGAAAATTCGTCCGAATTTCCCAAATTTTTGGTTTTTAGATTTCTAAAGGGAATACCCCACCAAAGTTAAACTATGTTTATTTAAGGACCCAAAACCCCGAAAAAATTTAAAAATATACCCAAGTAGCAGTAACAACAGATTCACGGCTAAACAAACGGCTAAAAAATCCTCCTTGTTTAGTTTTGGTCTCCAAAGGACAACTAGTTGCACTCTCAACAAAATAATCTTTCGAAGTTGTTGGAATAAAAGAATGTCTAAATTTAACAAAAAAATCTTTGTTAAATTATGAATTCGTTTAGTCAGTCGTAGGGATCTTTATAGGGTTTCTGGTCAAGAATTTTCTTAAAGGAAACATCACCCAGCTGTATGTAAAAATTCCGAAAAAAATATTTTTTCACCATCGTGTAGAGCAGGGTCGCTAACCTATTGCCAATTTTTGGCTTTCCCCCTGACCCCCAAATCGAAAAGTCATAGCTGATCGAAGCACAGGACCTAAGGTTCAGGATCACAAATTTAAATCCTCTAATTTCTAGAAACCCTTAAAAATAGAAAAAAATTCAAACGTCATGTTCTGCTGCAAGAAAGCACCATTTGGTTGACAATAACCTTCATATGGAATCAATTTGCGAAGCTACAAAAACATAGATTTAATGAACACACACAAAAGACAAAATTTCCAAACCTTTTCAATTTCTCGATCTTTCAGTTCAATCTTCGATAAAAGCTGTTTAATCGTCTCCGCCTGTTTAGCCTCACGTTTGTCAGCATCCATCTTATTCTCAGCAAAAGTTGCCATAACTTGATTATAATCTGTAGTGCAGTGCTCCACGTCTTCTTCCAAACTCTTTTTGTTCTTCAACAACTTTTTTTAAAGAAAATTCAAAGTCAAATTTAAGGTAAAATTGTCATTTAGATTGTCATTTAAAATTGTCCTTTTTTCCTCCCAGGATTTTCCCTCCTTTCCTCCACCAAAAAAGAATAAAAATTAATACTTATTGTTAGGAGGGGTCAACTTGAAGACCCTCAACCTGAAGAACTTTTGGCCCGAAGACATTTGAAAGGAAATATCGAGGGTTTTCAATGGTAGAAAATACAAAAACGCTAATTGGGTGAGAGAAAAGTCGACCATTATATAAATTCCTAAGAAAGACCACGTCGGGCTAAACAAGGAACAGACAAGTCAAAGGAAAGACAAGTCAAGGAACGACCAACTTATGGAATGACCAAATCATGGAATATTTTAAAAATAGGAATTTTTTGAAAAATCTGAATATTTAAAAAATTCTGAAAAATCTTGAATTCCATGATTTGGTCTTCCTTGACTGGTCTATTCCCTTGACTTGTATGTTCCCTGAGTTAGTCCTCACCCGAAAAAATTTAACATAAGGAGGAAAAAAGGGGACCATAAACGACAATTTTACTTCAAATTTAAATATTCAAAACCTCCTCGATTTCCTGACACTTTTCTTTAATCAATTCAGCACATTCCTTCCCATGAGACTTCTTCAAAGAATTTTGCAAAGTAATAATTTGCCTAAGATAATCCTGAACAGTACTTTCATATTCACGATTTGCTCTCTCAAGTTCTCGAATTCTGTCCTCATTCTTTTTTGAATCGTCGTCCGTTAATGGATCTAAAAAAATTTTTTCGTCTTAATTCATAGTAAAAAGGACATACCATCATCCACAGAAGTATTGTCTGAATATGGCCCAGATTTGCGAGACGACATTTGGCAATTTGAATAATCTGATGAATAAGACAAGAAATTTATTTGAATTTTTACTGAAAATTTAATTTTTAAAATAGAAAATTTTTAATTCTCGCATGAGATGACATTTTTTGATCGAAAGTAAGACAAACAGACAGCAATTATAAATCACGGAACGATTTGTACAGCTTTTAAACGAATAAATCGAGGAAAAGTTCCTTGCTTTGTTGATCGCACGCGTTGAGGGACTCAAATGGCCTGTTCAGCGCTATTTTCTATTTCAAAATTTGGCGTTATGAAATTTTAAATTTTTCTATAAAAGGGGGAACTTTAAGCAAAAGTGTTCATTATTAAAATTTGTTGACTTGTTTATTTATTCGAAGTCTATTGATTTCTGTCCCTTTTTATTTTCCCTAATTTAGTACACTTTTTAGAAATGGATGAGATTTCTCCTTCTTGATTAGTACATACCAACCTTTTTAGAATTTTTGTTTTCATTTATGTGAATTTTATTATTCTTCCATTTCTTCTCAAAGTATTTAAGCTCATTCATAGACCTTGCTTTCTTAAGGTATCCTCCCGCATCCCTCGTATATGTTCGGTTGTCTTCAAGAAGTTATTCCCGAATTCTGAGGATTGTACTAGTCTTTGTTTGGGAGTTTGTCCAAAATTTTAAGTATCTTTTTCATTTTTTGAAAAGTTTATTTCTTTGTTTTGGTTTATATTGTTTATCTGCCCTATGTAGATTTTCATTTTTTTCATTTAATCTTTTTTTAGAAACGATAATTCATATCATTCTTGCTTTTTTATTTGACTGTTAATCTCAAATGGCTACTGCGGTCAGTCTAATGTTTTAAATTTTATATAAAACAAACGGGTTTTTGTTTGATTCAAAAATGTCAAAATGGGATTTCAATTGAGATATACCATTTAGCAACGAGACCAGTTTGTCGTGGGCGAGGCCGAACAATTCCTTTTGCATTAGAGTCATCTCGCATTAGTAGCTAAGAAATTAGACTCTAACGTCATGTCATCGGCTATTCCTTTCTATGATGGGCATATATACTTTTGGCCCTATTTTTTGGCTTACATTTTTGGAATCCACATGTGAAAATTTTCTCAATGAAAATTATGTTGGAATTACTATCAGAAATAATTAAATTCCTCCCTCTAAATTTAAAGTGGGATGTTATTAGAATATCAAAATATTTTGACATTTTTGTTCTCAAACTTCAGAGAAATTGGATAGTCAATATTAAATTTGTATTTATCATAATTATATTTACATTTAAATTGATTTTTCAGGTGAAGGACAAAGTATTGAAACGCTTTCATGGAGTTACAGCTTCGCTCACTCAATTGGATGCTTTTGACAACTTAACTGATGTTGAGAAGCGTGCTTTTGACAAAGGATTTAACGGTTTACTTTTTCTTTTATATAATTAAAATCTTATTTCTGAAGAGCTTTTTGTTGTTTTCAAATTGAATGCCAACGTCAACGAGGCCTTTAAGGAGGTTTTAGAAATTATCTTTTATATTTGGTTATTTTTTAGTTAATTTCTGATGTTACCTGGCACGAAGGAGAGGTTTGGTTAACTTTATTTTTAAATATTTTCAAATTTCTGAATTTGGGTTCTGACTTTGTCACATCTAAAAATTAAGCTTTTCTACTAAAAATATAGCTTTCAATTTTTAGGAGCATATTGATTTCTCCAATAAGAAGGATAAGCTCAAATTGCTTCTGGAACGTTGCATCAACAAAGTTTTGGTTGCTGACGTGTCGGCCATTAACAGCATTTGGATGCATTTCTCTGACGGTTTTTTTATCAGATTTAAATGTAAAAAATTGTTTTAGTTGCCGCCGAACATATGGGGCTTCTCGTTAATCGCTTCAAAGCCGGGCGTGGTCTTTTTGCACCAGCAAAGTAAGTTTATTTTGACTTAATCTAATATTTTTGAGATTGGACTTACCTAATTTAGTACCCATTAAAATTTTGGCTGTAGTTTAGTCGAGGGCCCGCTCCAAACCGGGTCGAAACATATGTCATTCGATTCGTCTCGGCGAGCTGAGTCGAATGGTACCACTCCCTAAGTGCGGAAATGCCTGTGGACCGAGATATAGGTCCCTGAAATTTAAAAACCATAGGGGGGAGTAAGCTGAATTTTGGGGTGAAAAATTCGATTTTTTGTATGATAGCTCATTTGAAAGAGCTCCTCGAGCTGAGTCGAATGACACCAGAATCAGCTCTAGTTCTAAATTTTGAACCGAGATAAAGAGGCCCAAAATGGTCAAAATACATAGGGCGATTTTAGGGGTCAAAAATTTGAATATACAAATGATAGCTCATTCGAAAGAGCTCGACGAGCTGAGATAAATGACACCAAAATCAGCTCGATCCGATGATTCTGAACAAAATTATGAACAACTTAACTTTCGCGCGAATAACTATTTGTGCTGCTGCGGAGGGTAGGTCGGCATTCAAGGCTGAGAATCGGTAAAAGGAATAGGATTAAGTTACGAGCCCAGACCCAGCGCCCGTAGACTCCTCGCGAGGCGCGTGCCGCAAAACCCCGCGCGAAGCGCGGGGTTTTGCACAAGCGCCTCGCCGACGCTCCATAGGTTTAAGTTGATCATTTCGAGCCCTATATCTCGGCCCAAACTTGTCCAATCACAGTGATTTTGGCGTCATTCGACTCAGCTCGAGGAGCTCTTTCGAATGAGCTATCATACAAAAAATCGAATTTTTCACCCCAAAATTCAGCTTACTCCCCCCTATGGTTTTTCAAATTTCAGGGACTTATATCTCGGTCCACAGGCATTTCCGCACTTAGGGAGTGGTACCATTCGACTCAGCTCGCCGAGACAAATCGAATGACATATGTTTCGACCCGGTTTGGAGCGGGCCCTCGACTAAACTATATCCAAAATTTTTAGCCTACAATTTCGGGATAGGAATGATTAGAAATTTATATTCTACTAAATTTAATTTTTTAATTTCAGTGTCTGAGAGGATGTGAGGACTTGGAAGAATGTGGGCAGAGGCACAATTACTGGATTTTAAATAAAGTTGAATTGTTTCAAAAATTTAAGTTTTTTTTTATTTTGATTTCTAAAAATTGTTGGAATTTTGTTGTCTCATTAAAATACTGCCCAATAAATATTTGAATAAAAATATTTTTGGTTTTTTTTTGTTCTGAAGTTTTTCTAGAATTTTTGATTTATTTGATCGTTAGGAACTAGTATCAGTTTACACTCTAATCTCTATTCTGAAAAATTCAATTCCTTTCCCTAATTTTGAATGCTTGATTTAATTCTAAATATTTTTTTCAATCTTGTTTTAGAGTTAGAATTTATTTTCTTCATTTTGTCCTTTCAAAGAAGATGAATTCTTTTGTTCTAATTTTATTTTTGATGCTTCTAAACATTGAAATTTCACATTCTAAAGGTATTTTTAAAGAAATATTAAAGAAAAAAATTTATTTTTAAGCTTTAACACCTGAAAAGACAGACTTAAAACAAAAAGAAGAAAAATTGGAAATTGACCAAAAGGATTATGAAACAATTGACATTGATACAGAACCAATAACTGAAAATTTTGGTGTAATTGCTTATGAAGAATTTCCTTTTCCAACAGACAATCTCTTCATTTCTTTTAAAAATTTAAAAATTAATTACACAATTATATTGCCTACACCAAATGGAATATGCCCTTTAAAGACCAAAATGTTTGTTTTTGTTCCGAGTAGAGCTGATGGATTTTATACACGGCATATGATTAGAAATTCTTGGGGAGCGAATTTGGTTTGGAAATTTTTTTTTGAAATTTTTTGAAAAATTTTATTTTTGTTTTTTAGGCAGAGAGGAGGTATTTTTAATTGAATTTTTATGGATTTGAACTTATTTTTAGTATTGTGTTGAAATTTATTGTTGGATGGCCGCAGGAACAAAAAGTATTTGAATTAATGCAAGAGGAATTGATCAAATATGACGATTTGGTCGTTTATGATATTGATGATTCTTACAGGAATTTGTATTTGAAGGTTTGCTTTTTTATGATTTTCTGGTGGGTAATTAACCGAGGTAGGCATAGGGAACTGCAAATCGACTTTTTCTTAAGGAAAAAAAGTCGTTTCAAAAAAATCTACAATTATTCGCGAACGACTTTTTTTTAAATACAAAACGCCAGAAGTTCTGGCGTTTTGTATTTAAAAAAAAGTCGTTCGCCATATCCGTATCCGTGTGCAAGTCTGGTTTAAAATCGAATAATTAAGAAAATAAAACCGTTTTTATTAGATTTTTTGAAAATTAAAATGTTTCGTTTTGTTTCGTTTCGTTTCGCTAAATTTTTACTGTTTCGTCTCGTTTCGTTAACGAAACGATTTTTAAAAAATTTTGTTTCGTTTCGTTTCGTCTGAAAAAATTTTGGAGTTTCGTGCATGTCTGGCCAGAACTACGTAAATATCGATGTTTTACGCCAAACGATTGCGAATCGACTTTTTTGTATCTCTTTTTCTCTAAATTCCCATTATATTTCCTTTCTCTTTTTCTATTACTTTTCGTTCGTCGTGTCTCTCCATTGGAATTTTTGTTAGGTAATCGTTTTCTAAAGTTAAAAAAATAAAATAACAAAATTTTATTCATCTTTAAACAATGATTGTAATGAAATAAGTGTAGAAATAGTATGTGGGTCAAAACGATTTCGTTTATAATCATATACTAAAGGAGAAAAACGGGAAAATATACGTTCACAAGAAGTAGAAGAAGAAGGAATTGCTAAAAAATGCTTAGAAATTGCTGCAAGGTGTGGAATTTTGTTTGAATTTTCTTTCCAAAATTTAAGCAAATCTAGCTTATGTCCTCCCAAATTCTTACATCCAGTTTCATACTGTTCCATCTCAAAATCTATCTCAGTCCTCATTGCATTTTGGCCAAAGTTAACTAGACTTGGTGAAACTAAATTTTCTATTAAACTTATTCAGGACAAAATAAAAACCGTTTTCCACATGTGGGCGTAAACATTCCGGAAAGTTTTGTTTTGCAACATTTCTAACGGCTTTTTGTATCTAAAATTTAATAAGTCAATATTAAAATCTAAATAAAAACCGTTTCATAGTCACCCCAATGACAGTTCGTTTGACATACTTTCTTAAGAATTCCACAAACGGCAGGATCAAGGTAAGCAGCACATCTGATGATAGAAAGGCTTTCCGTATTTTCAATGAAAATTTCACTCATCTTCCTGTTAAAGGCTTTCAATCCACTTTTGGCTAAAGCTGCTCTGACTAAATCATCTCCTCTTACTTCTCCTCTCCAAGCATTTTCCAATTTTATCATTTCTATCATTAATCTGTTGATTGTACATTTATTTTCGGCCTAAAATTTAAATTTGCTAAATTTCAATATTATTTTTTACCTCAAGTATTTTCAATCAGTACCCAATTTCTGAGAAAAATCGAGCGAAATAGAAAACCCAGATTCGCTCATTTCATCAACCATAGAATTGAGTTCAGGTTGTTTGGATTTTAACACGTCGAACACCTTCCGACTTATAGTTGTTTCATTAGGTAAGATTAGGCTGGATGTTGTGGTTTGGTTTTTTAAGTGCCTATCGATTCTATAAATTAAACTAATAATATTCATTTCGGGAAACTTACATCAATTCCGAATAAGCATCTAGGAAACTAATAAACCCTTTTCCGTTAATTAAAGAGAACGGCCTTGCATCTGTAACGCAGAATTCAACAAGGGCATCCTCCATCATCTTTTGTTTTTCCTTAGCTGGTAACTGAACTCCGTGTTTTGATTCGATATGATTTCTTAAAAAAATAAAATTAATAAAATAGAATTTAGATCTAATATAAAAAAACCTCAGATTATGTGTACCCGTGTAATTGAATGTCGCATAACACTGTTTACAAACTACAAGATTGGTCAGATTTTCTTTATCGTCTATGACGCAATCGAAATGACTTAAAAATAATAAATACAATTTATTGAAATTTTTTACGTATACCTTCCAAATATTTTACTTTCATTCCATGATCGCCTACTCTTCGGACTTCCTAGATCTAATCCCTTAAGGATATCGGATTTTCGACGTTTCGATGACGGTGTCAGAGGTTCTTCGAGATCGCCGCTTTCGAATGCGACTCTTAATTCATTTTCAAATTCATCCATCTAGTAAGAATATATGTGGAAAAATCCCTAAAAATTACAGAAAAGGGACTGAACATTTATACAAATGGAAAATTGCAAATTCCAAAGGAGAGACTACACGAACGAAAATTAATAGAAAAAGAGAAAGGAAATATAATGGGAATTTAGAGAAAAAGAGATACAAAAAAGTCTTTTCGCAATCGTTTGGCGTAAAACATCGATATTTACGTAGTTCTGGCATTGTGTATTAAAAAAAAGTCGTTCGCGAATAAAAGTAGTTATTCGCCGCGAATCGACGAAAAAGTCGATTTGCAGTTCACTAGGTAGGCATTAATGGACTCTTCTCACTTTAGTGAGCCATTTATCGAGAAACTAACTAACGTAAATGCTCTAATTAAAGCCCTGCTCTATTAGAAGCCCATATCTAATATTTATGAGTTCATTCAAATTGACCCTTTGAAAAATAGCGCCCAGGGCTTTAATTAGAGCATTTACGGTGTTCATAGAGAAAAGCCGCGAAAAATTGTTTTGTTGTTTGTTAGAAAATTGTTTGTTAGAATTGTTTAGTATTTTTCTGGGTGTTATTTCTCAAAGTTCCTCAAGCCTTTAAAGTCAACTAAATATTTATTTTAGGTTTATGTAGCTCTCCAATGGCAACAAATTTTCTGTTCAAATGCTCAATATATTCTAAAAACAGATGATGACACAATTGTTGATTTTGACAGACTTTTTTGGTGGATAAACAATGATTTTGGTTACAGAGTGTCTAAATACCCTGCTGCTGTTTTTGGTGGAATGATTAAAAGATCGTCTCCAATTCGTAATGCAAATCATAGATGGTATAATCTTTATTGGGGTTTTTTTAAAATTTCCTCAGTATTGGGCAATTTTTACTTCATAAAAGTACAAAATTTAGGGTTTTTTTAAATTTTAACAAGGAGAGGTTGCGACTGGGCTCATTCGATAGGGAATGTGCCCTTTCTAGCAAGGATTTTGAGCCGTTTTTGCCCATTTTTCGATCTGACCAAGATATGGCCTTCCAAAGTCCCAAAATTAGGCATAATTTTCCCCCTCCAAATATAAACTTTAAATAATCGTTGATTTTGTGGCGTTATGGGACCTCGCAACCTCTTCTTGTAAATGTTGGAACCCGATTTCACTTAGGATTTGGCCCAAAAAATTCCGTCCTTTGATAGGACTCTCCTTATGTTGTCTGTAAATTTTAATCTTTTTTTACTTTTTGAGACACCTTTTTCTTCCAACCTTTAAAAATTTTTTTATTTTTCAAAGGTATGTCTCTCCCATAGACTTTCCCCATCCAATATTTCCACATTACACCAACGGCCCAACATATTTACTTACATCAAAAGCAGTTCAAGCAATAATGAATCTTACAGAGAGTGTTCACGCTTTTCCAATTGAGGATGTTCTTTATACTGGAATTTTGGCTAATTTGGCAAATGTTAAAAAATTTAGTATTTGGGAACACTTTAGATTTGGAAAACATGTATGCAGATTTTTTAAATAAATTTTATTTTTAAATATACCCAATACTTGGCCAGTTTAGGTACACCTTACATTCAGTTTAAGATAATTTCCTAAAATTATGTTAGCGATCAGGTCGCCTAATCGGATAATCGTCGCCTAATCCTAACCCCTAGTTGCCTAAGGGATACCCTCTATTTCAAGTACACTTAATTATAAAGTCGATTTTTTGTCCCAATTTTTATCTAAAGTTTATAAGGGTTTGACTCTATTTTTAGATAAAATATTTATTTATTTTAAAGCTCAATCTTCATGAAAAATGCAAAGTAGAAAAGAAGACGGGAAAAAGAATTCCCTATGTTACTGCTATTAATGGAATTTCTGATGCAAGTGGAATTAAAATTGCCTATGAAAGACTTCACTCTGTTGAATGTACTCCTTGGTCGTCTTCCAAACAAATGAAAAGGTTTTGAAAATATTTTTGACTAAAATTTAATTTTTGTAACTTTCCTTTAAATATCCCCCAGACTTTTTACAAATTATGTTTAATTTTTGTTGTTTTCCCAAAATCCGCAAATTTAGTCCGCAATTTTCTCTTTATTGCATAATTAATTTTGAGTGAGTTTTTTTTCGTTTTTTTGTAAAGTTTCGTCTTCCAGTCCTTGTATTTTGACGGTTATTAACGATTTTGTATACGGAATGGGATTTTTATTGAGGGAATAATTTTAATAGAAAATTTGCGGATTTTAGAGAAAGAAATAGACTAATTCCAATTTTTTCTAAAGCTTTAACAAATTTTAAAAATCAAAAAAAATTTTTTTTCAATTTCTATAAAAAGTACTTGATTTAATTAAAACTAAATTTTCCAAAAAAATTTTTTAAGTCATGAAAATCTTATTCAAAACCAAGTACTTTTTTTTCGCTTAATTTATTTTTACTGAAGACTGATCCTCAACTAATTTTAATTAAAATTAATAAAATTTTAATTTATATTTAAATTGTTTTAGAATCAAATTCTAATAAGGCTTAAAAATTAAAGGGATTTTTAAAAATTAGTTCCAAGCAGAAGAATGGAAGGGATTTTGCGGGTTCTTTATTTTTCTCGTTCTGATTTTGCACTCACTTTTTTGTATAAAAACAAGGGAAAAAATCCGCAAAAATTAAGTTAATATGTATGAATAAAAAATAAATAATTTTTCAACCTTTATCTTCATGAAAGTTTGTGGGGGGTTTTTGCAGTAAGGTTGTCGGATAGTTGGAAATCTTCGGATATCCGGATCCGGTATCCGAACCGAAAATTTCCTGATATCCGGTCTTTTTTCGGATCCACAACCTTATTTTGCAGTTTTTTCTTCAATTATTCTCCATTTAAACTACCACTATTTTAACATTTTATTCTAAAAAAATTTTTATTTTTAAACAAAAAGATGTTGAAAAGAAAAAACTCTTTGAACAACAGGTTCTCCTCCATTTAACCCCCCACCACCACCACTTAACATCATTCCACTCAAATCTTTTGATGCTCTAGATGACCGTCTTCTATTTGCAAACCTTCCACTACTTCCTCCCCCATTATTACTACCTTGGAGGGCAAAGCCTCCAAGCCTTCCTAAACGATGGGTTCTCATTCTAATTATTGTAACTTGATTGACTTGAGAAGAAAAAATTTTTTTCGCATTTTAATTTAAAATTTGTTACGTAATTCATGTAAACCCGGCACAACGCGACTTTTGTCTGTCGGTGTTTGATGTCGTAAAAAGAAGGCGGTAACCTTTAAAAGTTAAGATTCCTTTTAGCGAGTTAAATGAAGATTTATTCAAATTGACTTTACTTGAGAAAATATAATACGTATCAGGGTTCTAGCCGTCACCATTTGCTAAAAGCAGGAATTCTGGCGTTTTTTTTGGCTGGGAATCCTGATTCCCAAATTTGGGAATTTATTTTTCATGTCGGCTAGATCTATATATCGGTATTTATAAATGCCTGGGCCTGTTCCTGGGTTTGATTTATTGACCTGGGCCGGATCTTGGGCCTGTAATCTAGGAAAAACCCAGGCCAGGAAAACCCCAGGAAGGTCAAAGAATGCCTAGGCCTCGACCCAAGCCATGGTCCAGACCCAGGCCGATCTCTAGCTAGATCAAAGATACTTAAACTTGTTCGATGATTATTATCTAAGCAGAGCTGGTTATCCTTTGAAATTTTTGGATTCGTTATTCTAATTAAATTTCCGACTTTTTTTAAATCCCAGTCCTAATCTACTAATTCTAAATTTTGGCCTATTTTAATTTTAAAATTCCCCACTTCAAGCCAAACACAAAGTTGCACAGGTAGAAAACTAAGTGCTGCAGCCATAAAAGAAAAACCTTTAAAAAATTGAAAAATTCGAAAAAAATTCAAAGAAATTCTTAAAAAACTAGCCATATCTAAAAGTAAAGACAGAAGGTTCTCCAGCAGCATTAGGCTTCATTCTAGGTGCCATTTCATCATCCACAATACAAATAACTTGTAAAACCCCAATTAGAACGATTAAACCTCCACAAATATACAAAATTGCGGAACATATAGTTTTCCAATTATGCCCAAAATGTCCAAGAAATGAAAATAATAAAGCAAAAGCTGTTAATAAAGCACCAGAACAATGCATAATTGTTGGGATTAAAAGGCGGACTAAATTTAAAAAATAAAAAGGAGGATAGATATTAATGGAGGAAGGAATAGGAAATCGGTAAGAATAGTTCAGTTAGGCAATTTTATTTGGCAAATTTACAGTTCCGATTAAGGTTGATTCGCTAGAATCGGATCCGGATATCGTGTCGGATCCGAAAAAAGACCGGATATCCGGAAATTTTCGGTTCGGATACCAGATCCGGATATCCGAAGATTTCCAACTATCCGACAACCTTAGTTCCGATACCTTTGACTGATTTAATCCACTCCTTTAATCTCAATATAATCACTAAATTCCGGTTGCTGGCGGTTCTAAAATTTTTACAGTTCCACATCTTCAGTTCTGGGAGCTGTTCTGAAACCGTGCTTCTGGGATCGGTTCTAAGGCCAGTAAAATATAACAATCTGACCTTGGTCTTAGGATGTCTTTAAAGCCAGGAGGTATTCAAACCCGAGATTCGACTGTATTTTATCAACTCACCCAAAATTGCACTAGTAGCAAAACTAAATTCACTGAGATCTTCACCAGAATAAGCCGAATTCCAAACACAAGTATCAGGGGCTAAAGAAGGCATAATTTTCTCCAATTCTTTTAGTGGAGGCAAATTTTCTATAGGATTATTTCCGCTATTTAAACTTTGATTTGATGCTATCCATCTTCTACACATTCCGAAATAACCAGCATTATATTCAAATGGAATTTCCTTTTAGGGGGAAAAATTTTGAAAAATTTTTTTGAAAAATTTTTTGAAAAATTTTTTGAAATTTTTTAGAAATATTTTTAAAAAATTTTTCGGAAATTTTTTGAAAAATTTTGGAAATTTTTGAAATTTTTTGGAAAAATTTTTCGGAAATTTTTTTTGAAAATTTTTTTTTTGAAATTTGTTTTTAAAATACCAAAGGCCCCTTGTCATCGCTCGTCAATGTTGGAGGCTCTCCTATGGGCGGAATATTTAGCGGCCGAGGTTCTCTGATGTGAACCCAATCGAGCTTAAAATTTATTAAAAATTGTTTTTAATTGTTAAAATAGCTAAAAACCAAGAAGATAGGTGCTGTCTGTGCACACAGAACGAAAATTCCGCATAAAGTGCTTATAGCCCAAATAGATTGTTCTGTACATCTCATGTTGATAAGGGGCTGAATTTAAAAAATAAATTTACTTTAGGCCGATACTTCAAAATGAAGCGATTCCTTTTGTATTAGAGATGATACATAATAAACCGATTTATAAAAAATTAGAGAATTTCCTCTCTAAAGGGAGGAAAGGAGTGAATTTACCCCTTTAAAGAGGGTACATGCTTAAGAAGGAAATTCAGAAAATTTTTAAAGATCAAAAATTGAGTGTTTAGATTTAAACAGAAAATCTAGTTTGAGTTTTTAGGGAAAATTGACTGTCAAATAGGCTGCTTCAAGTTCCTTAAGGGTCAACACAAAAATACAAAAATATTCTAAAGCAAATTTAACTGAGCTTACATAAAACAAAAATTGAAAGCATCTCCCTCGCCTACTTATTTCAATAATGGGTCTGTCAGGCACTCGAAGTGAAGAACTAGTGCATGGCACTTCTAATTGGCTAAGTTGGCTAGTTGAGGGGATACTTTAATTTAATTTATTAAAATCAGAATAAAAAGGACTCACATGTCAAAATTAATCATTTTTAACGGAAAAAGGGAGAAAAAAATTTTTTTTCAGAAAAAAAAATTCAAAAAATTTTTAAAAAATATTTTCAAAAATATTTTTAACAACAAAAATATACATAAAATTCTCCAAATTCCAAAAAATATTTTGTCCTCTCCCTTTATTTTTTAAATGTTTTTTCAAAGAGAATTAAGCATTGGGGAATTGTCCCTATAATGTCTAGTTCAATTTACGTCCACTTTTTGGTGAAATAAAATTGCGGGGGGTAAAGAATAGTTAAAGGAAAGTAATAAAAATATGTGGTAATTTTATTTATTTTTATTAAACAAAAAATATTTTTATTAAAAATTATTTTTCTATAAAAACAAAAAATAATTTTACAATAAAAATACTATTAAAAAATAAATTCCCTAGATGGAAGGCCCAATTAATTAGTTAATTTTCAGTAAAATTCAGAAAAAAGGAATATTATTCCCCAGCTTCAGTATGCATTTGAGAGATATTTTCGATCCAATAATAAAAATTAGAATTGTACTTTAATCAGTCCGAGAGAATTTGGAGCCCGAGAGGATGTTGGAGAAAGGGAGTGTCGATCGGAGGATGGCCTAAGAATCATCGTAGGTTGGAATGTTGAATGGTGGAATCCTTCATATTAAAAAATATGTGAGCGAGGCTTTAGTATCGAGTTAATAAGCAAACCCAGATTGAGTAGGGTTGTCGGTTTCTGACCGAACCGACCCGAACTGAGGATTTTTCGGTTCGGTTTTGGATATCCGAAGAATCAAACAAATAATTTCCTAAAAAATCTTTTTTTCAAAAAAAATTTTTAAATTCTAGCTTTCATCAAAACATTAGTTTTTCGATCAATTTTAAACTTTTCCATATCAAAATCAACATTTTTGCCATTAATCCAATTACTAATAATCTTTCCAATAGTTAAAGCATGTTTAAATCCGGTGCCGGAAAAGCCTCCCGCAATAAATAAATTTGGAATTTGTGGGTGTCTGTCGACAATAAAATTTTCGTCTTCGGTTAGCTTAAATCGAAAATTTGTCTAAAAAAATTTTTTTTGAGCAATTACATTATAAACACAGGCACACTTAACCATGGGAGAAGAAGAATCCAAATCTGGAAAGTGTTTGGAAATATATTGACTAATTCCTGTCCAGTCGGAAATCTTTGTTTTATCTCCAAAGACGTGTTCATCCATTTTGGCAATGGGTAAATCCCATCCATGCAGAGCTAACTTTAATTAAAATTAAAAATAAATTTGTCTGTTGAAGTTAAAAACTAAGAATAAATTTAAAAATTCCAATAGAGATTTTTTAAGTCACAAGCCCAGTGACCACAATTTCATTCAAACTGTACTCGACGAAAATCAAAGAATATTAAAATCCTTAAGATGTGTCATTAAATAATTGATCTATACGCAAATTTTGACATAAAACAGAAGAGGATTTATATAAATAATGACTGGCAGAATCCCTTTTTTCTAAAAACATTTGTAAGGCAGGGGTCCGCAGGAAAGTTTCACGTAAATTCAAGTAATAAAAGCTTAAAGCTGAAAAGTATGTTTGAACTGATACCGAGTTCAGACCTTATCCTTATCGAGTCTGGATGTACGAGTCTTTTTAGGGTCAAATTTGAGATGCGTGACTCGATCCCTGGGAGCGTATCAAGCCATTTTGAGAACTCGATCTGAGTTATGGATCTTTCTACTGAGAAGGAATTCTCGAAAAATTAACTTAATGAATCGTTTAAAGTCTAGGGAAATTAAAGAAAATCTTACAAAAAATTTTAAAAAATTCAAAATTAACTTTAATAGCATTAGGATAGTCAATACAAGGTAAAGAATAATATATTTGACCATTTTCCTCTATAATAACAAAACTTGGGGCAGTCCCATTTTCTGGTTTAAATAATTCTGGCCTGCTTAAAACCTTCCAAAAACAAACACCAACACGATGGGGTAATACTGGAATATTTGGTAATAAATTGGGAAGCCATCCACCTGTTGCTACAACTACGTTATTTGCATAATAACAAGCACCTTTTTAAATTAGAATAATTTTTTAAATTATTGTAACGTGGGGGATTTTATTTTTATATTATGGTAGCATCCCGTCCCCCAAAACCCGACGAATTTTCAGGCAAACACCCCGACCTGAACACCGAAGGCTCTACCCAGGCAAACCCCAAAACGTGACAATCTCGCCCTCGAAGGCTCGGGATTCTACCGTACTTTATATGAAATAAATGATTTGAAATGTTATCTTAAGAGGATCGTTTAGAGTGGTTACATGTCGAGGCCCGTTCTGTAAAATTATGACTTTTTTGCTCATACAGATACTTGTCTTGTGTGAGAGAGAACCAATTTACTGACCTTTATTCGTCGCAACTTCTAGCAACGAAAATCCATTTTCTTTTTGTGGAATCGGAACAATAGACAAAACTTTTTCGTTATCCTTTAGAGTAGCTAAAGATCCTAAGGCTTGGAATTGTCTCTAAATTAAAATTACTGAAAAGAGGTTATGCTAAAATAAGGAGTTTAATGATTAGTTCCAACTGGAATTAGGTTTAGGGGGCAGAATTGGGAGGTTTAGGGAGGGGAAGGGAAGGCAAAAAATGGAAACGAATAGCTAAAAAGGAGTTCTAAAAATATTCCTCCGGTTTCTGATAGTTCCAAAATAATTTTAAAGTTCTTGAATCGGCTTCTAAAACCAGAACATCACTGCTATACCCTAGAGAAACAAAATTTCGAAAGACCCTTTATAACAAGTTAGGGGCATTTCACCGAAAATCAACTCAATGATAAAGTCATCAACAAACCCAATTTGTTTAATAAACTTTAAATTCACCTGCACAGCTTCTAAACAATTATTAGCTAATAAAGCACCCCCTCCAGGTTCATAAATTGCCGAATAATTTTTATCAAAATTTACAAATTGAGGAAAACGTCGTTGTATTATAGAGCCTCCATAAAGTATCTCGTGAGGGACATTAAAAGACCGAAGAATATCTGATTTTTCTAAAGTCCTTTTCCAATTATAGTCTATTGTTAACACTCCATTTTTTCTGATTAGAGAAATTTTTCTTTTAATTTTAGCGTAAATTTAAAAAACTTTGGGGCATTTCACCGAAAAAATTTCTACGGACAATTCACCGAATTAATATTTTTTTTCGCCCATAAAAGCATATCTATGATAAATTTTTTTGATTTTAATTATTTATACTATTTTTTAGATGGATTAAAAAATATTTATGTAAATAGTCAAGAATGTTAGTTTATTTGGTTAAAATAAAATTAATTTAAAAAATTTCGGTGAATTGTCTTTCGGTAGGATTTTCTTATTTTCATTTTATTTTTAATTAATTTTCCTCACATAATTAAAGCCTTCCCAGCATTTTTATCAATTTTTTCCATTTCCTCCCATTCCCTAAAAGCATCCAAAGCAAATGGAAGGATATGGGGTTCTCCATGAGTACAGCGAATTATTCGAGAAGCTCCATGGGAAGAACCGTGGGCATGGCCGAGAGAAAACTTTGAAGAAATTAAACAAATATTTTCTTAAAATCCAAAAAAACTTGTTCTAAAAGCAACGTTTTTTGTCCACTTTTTGCAATTTTATAAGCACATCCACTGCCTATAATTCCTGCGCCAATAACTATTGTATCAAATGTTTGTGGATTCGACATTAATTCTTCTCAATATTTATTTAAAAATAAAACCATAATAATGTGTTCATATTTATTATTTTCTGATAACGGGAAAATTTCTTGGGTACTTTTTATGTTATTATTTCAATGAATTTACTTGGAAAAATTTAATCAATTTTAATATTTTAATTTTATTTATTTTAAAATTTTTTCTATAATTTGAATGCCTTAAGAAATCAAATAGTATTTGTTAAAATTTTGGAATTTATCATTGTTTTTAATAATTTAAAACCAACAAGCATTCCGCCTTCTAAGAAAAATAAATGACCGCTCTGGCCAAATAATTGTATTAGCAAGCATGGCACGTTCTGCCAGTGAAAATAAAGGTGTTCATAAGGTAGATGTGAATGTCAAGCTATACAATTAAATAGAAAATGTTTGTGCAATTGTTAAGGCGTTAATAACTGGGACATGACTAAATTCTGGGATTTTTTGGTCAAAACTAATTTTGGAATGCTCAAAAGTTTTTCAAATTTAAGCAGAATATTTTTTAAAGTTTAACAATCAGTTTTTGAATCTATAATTTAAATTAAAATAATATACTACTATTTTTAATTTAAAATTATTTTCAGATTCAATTTTAAATGTTTTCCATCGTTGTGCTCTTTTTGATAAAATTCCTGAGAGATGTTTTTACTAGTGTTGGTCAAACGCGATTTTTCGGTATCGGTATCGGTATTTTCGGTAAAATACCGATACCGAAAAAATACCGATTTTTTAAAAATTGTTCGGTACCGTATTCGGTATCGGTATTTCCGAAAATACCGCCGTAATACGGTACCGTGACCAACACTAGTTTTTACCCTTCAATTCAAGATTGTTCTGCTAGTTGTTGCTACGCGCTTTTGTTCACTATATGCAGGAGCTCTACCTCTGAGCTACCGGGGCATCGACTAATGCTTTCTCTTTTTCCTTTTTAGATCGTTTAACCCCCGCCTAAGCGTTTTAAATGCTGCTGGGTGAATCATCCTTACAATAAGCCCCACTTAAAGTAAGACTCAAGTATAAATGTCCAGCTTGTTGTTCCCACTTCCGCAAAAGGCTTTCTGCAAAAAACATTTTTTGATGCTTCGACTCCTTTCCCTCTCTATCCATAGACATTGGCTAGCTTTTTCCATTGAAGAATTGATTTTTAAAAGCATTTGTAGAAGCAGGCGTTACTATTAAAACCCTCCCAGCGATGACCTAGTTACTACTTGTTAGTAGTCATTCTATTTTAGCTGGTCTTCTCTAAATTTTCTCTCCAAATTAAATATACATATTTCACCAAAATTTTAGGCATAGACTAATTCTATAATAATTTCTAAAATTTTATTTATACCCCCTCAGTGGCATAATTTCGGAATACTAAACAGACTCCGATTGGGACAAATTATATGTCATTCGACTCAGCTCGGCGAGCTGAGTCGAATGACATCAAAAAATCGATTGGGACATAACTATGAGCCGAGATACAGGGCTCGAAATGGTCAAAAACCATAGGGGGGACCAAGCACTTTTTTGGGGTGAAAAATTCGAAAATGCAAATAATAGCTCATTCGAAAGAGCTCCTCGAGCTCAGTCGAATGAGACCAAAATCAGCGAAATCCGATTTGATTTGACAAAGTTATGATCGTTTGTTTGAGCTCCGTACTTTTGTTCTCCGTGGATGTTCTTGCTGCTGCGGAGGAAGCCGGGCATGACCATCACAGCGATAATTGGAATAGGATTAAGTTACGAGCCCAGACCCAGTGCCCGTAGACTCCCCGCGAGGCGCGTGCCGCAAAACTCCGCGCGAAGCGCGGAGTTTTGCACAAGCGCCTCGCCGATGCCCCATAGGTTTACGTTGTTTTTTTCTGTCATAACTTCGAACAAACTTGACCAATCACGGCGATTTTGGTCTCATTCGACTCAGCTCGAGGAGCTCTTTCGAATGAGCTATTATTTGCATTTTCGAATTTTTCACCCCAAAAAAGTGCTTGGTCCCCCCTATGGTTTTTGACCATTTCGAGCCCTGTATCTCGGCCCATAGTTACGTCCCAATCGATTTTTTGATGTCATTCGACTCAGCTCGCCGAGCTGAGTCGAATGACATATAATTTGTCCCAATCGGAGTCTGTTTAGTATTCCGAAATTATTCCCCCCTCAGTTAGTCATAATCGGGGGACCGCTACAACGCCCTAAGGCGGAGCGGATTTCAAAAATTTAGCGCGTGGCGAGCCCTATTACGCGATTTAACACGTAATAGCCACACCTTGCGCCTTCTATATTCTCGCTCGTAATAAAAAATTGAGGTTAACATTAATGGCAAATATTTAAAAATTGACATTTTTATTTTGAGTCTGATCATTCCTAATTTTGTATGTTATGTATGCAAAAATAATTAGGAAAAACTAACTGGGATTCAATTAAAATAAATTTGCATCATTATATGCAAATTTCTCTAATTGTTTCCCTACACTATAAAATATTCTATCAAACTCTCATATTTTCTTATGGTCACTTACTCGGTCACTCTCACTTGCCTCCAGTATTTAGGAGAGTGAAAAATACAAAACTTTTTTAATGTTGTATGCCTAATTTTGCATCCTATCGAAAAAATTAATTTTATTTATTAAAACTTTTATTAATGCACCCCTAACGTTTTGTAAATAAAATTTAACGTTTTTTGTTTATTAAAGAATAAATGTACTATAAATCAGGGCTGGGCGAAAGCTAAAAATAAATGCGAAACTTTTAAAAAAAAATAAAAAGCGAAAAGCTCATATTGTGTGTGTGGGTGTCTTTTTTTGTCCGACTCTTAATTGGGAGTGAGCCTCGACTCGGACAATAATAATTTTAATCTTTAGGTAGTTTCAAACAAACATACTAATTTCCTAAAAAATTTTTCCAAAGAAAATTCTAAATCCTAGCTTTCATCAAAACTTTAGTTTTTCTATCAATTTTAAACTTTTCCATATCAAAATCAACATTTTTGTCATTAATCCAATTACTAATAATCTTTCCAATAGTTAAGGCATGTTTAAATCCGGTGCCGGAAAAGCCTCCAGCAATAAATAAATTTGGAATTTGTGGGTGTCTGTCGACAATAAAAAAATAAATTTATATGTTTAGTAAAATTTAGCAAATTTTGTTAAATTTTTTAGTTATAAAAATTTTTTAAACAAAAACCTTGGGCTCATAAATTTTTATTGGAATTATAGTTTTATTGGACTTATAAAGGTAGGGAGTTGGAGAATTAGAATGGGAGGCGTGGATGCATCAATTGGATGGGAAACAAACAAAAATCTAAAAAAATTCCTTCAAAAAAAATTTTCAAGGGTTGAAAGACTGGACATAAAAATACCACAACTTATGAAAGTTATAAATAAAGTTAGAGAAGAACCCAAATATTTTGAAATTACACTAATTTAAAATAAAACTGAAAAAATTTTTTTTAATCGAGTTAAATAGTGTTTTACTTGAAACTTTTAGAAAAATTCTTTACAAAGAGAAAGGCATTTAAAAAATATTTTTTCTTTTAAATTTGAAAATAAAATATTTAAATCTCTTTTCACTTCATCAAAATTCACTTTCCTGAAGATGATTGTTGATTTTTGTTTTGACTGAAATAGTCGTGTCGTGTTCTTCCTTTTACGTTATATTGTGAAATTCCTTAAATAAGAATTTAAATAAAATATTATATACTTATAAAATGAGAAACATTTAGTAACAAAAACAATTTTGTTTTTTGTTAAAATTGAATTTACCTATTTAATTTTTCGAGTTTAATAAAGAAAAAATCATTTTTATTCATATTTAGAATTTAAAAAATGAAAAATTCTGAATCCGCCAAAAAAGTCATTGTTTAGGGGTGTATATTTAGCCTCGCTCCTCGACGAGGTTCTTGGCGAGAACCAATAGCAGGGCGTTGAGGCCGTTCAATCCGGTACCTAGATTGCAAAATGGGCGAGGTATAGGTCGGCGCGGGACGGGACCCCACGTTTAAAGGTTTTGCGGGATACCACTCCCACAATCCCTTAATTTTTTCGATTTTTTTCGACTCTAGCAAACTTTTTTAAAAGTTAATCCCGGGTGCGGTATCCAAAAAATACGATCTTGCTTACACCTAATCTGACTATTAAATTTTTGAAACAAAAACATGTTTGAGTGCTAAAAATATGTGAACTCTTTATCTATTTAAAACCTTCAACCATGGCCTAAGCCAAGATAAGTTTATCATTTATTTTTATTAAACAAACTTTCAGCCCATTTTCTAGCCTGTTTTTCCTTTTCAGCTCTAAGATTCTGTATTTCTTCAGTATTATGTATTTTCCAAGGGCCTTTATAGGGATTTTCTTCTTCTTTTCCATTTTCTTTCTTTCCACAATAAGAAGAATTAATAAAAATAAAAACAAATAAAAGAAAAACAAAAAAGAATTTGGCCATTTTTTGTTGAGAAATTAAGAAAATTTTTCTTTTGGAAACTTTTAATTGAAGGAGAGACTTTTGAGTGATTCCTCCTTATTTTCTATCGGCTTTTATATTAATTAAAGCAGACAGGAATAAGACATGCCCATCGAAGACGCACGCCTTATTATACATGTTAAAGGGCATCCATTGTCTTTAATTTTTACATTGAGAGGAGATGGTTAGGGCAAAGACCCTCTCAATAAAGATCCCCTCTAGGATAAAGACCTCCCCCCTTACATCCCTCTCAAACAAGACTGTCAATAGTAAAGGATTCCTTTCCATTGTTTATAAAATAAATTTTTGTATTCATTATGTATGACTTTCTCTGTCTAATTCTTGCCTCACTAGTAAGAAATCGTCTAGGTAATAATTTTTATCTTCGATTTTTCAAATCGATTATAAATTTAAATTTAATTTAAATTAATTTTAAAATTTAATAAAAGTTAAATTTAAATATTAATTAATTAATTATTTAAGATTTGAAGGAAATACCGCAGAATAATTAAATCTCCATATATCGTCTTAATTTATTTTAAATTGCAAAATAATCATTATAAAATTATTTTTAAAAAAATTTTTGTAAATTAAATTTTTATTTATTTTTACACCAATTTTTCTCTTAACAATTCCTTAAAATAACGTTAGCGGTGATTATGTTTGCCATTTTCGTGTCGGGCCGACGGTCAAGGCATTTTTTCGGGGCCTGTACGAGTCACTTTCGGGCCTAAATTTATTGAGTCGGCACCGAGACATTTTTGAGTCCTTTTTTTTAAAAATAATTATTGGATTTGGAACGAGGAGAATTAAAAGGTATATTGACGGATTTGGAGGGCAAAGGAAGGGCTGAAGAGATATCGGGGAGGGATATAAGTGGATTTGGAGGGAGTGAGGGGATTTGAATATATATAGGAGGATTGAGGTGGGAAATCGGTAGATTAGGAGTTAATAAAGGGGATAATAGGGTTAAGATTCAGAATCGTCAATCTGTGATTAAGTTGATATAGGTAATGGGATTTAAAGGGATCGTGGGGATTTGAAGGGATCACGAGGGATTTAAGTGATATCGGGAATTAATCAGCAAATCCCTTAAATCAAATCCCACTATCCTAAAATCCCTCGTTAATAAATTGACTCTAGGTAGGTAAATACTTTTAATATTTTCCTTATAAAATTTGATAACTTTCTCTCATTTTATTTCCTAATTTTTATTTAACCCTTTCCCTTTTAATATCTACTACATTTGTCAAATTTCCTTTTCATTCTTCTCCTAATTTTACTACTTTATTTTGTGTCATCTTGCAAAAATGTTTTATCCTTTAGGATAATAAAGTTTGAAAAAGAAAAGTTAAAAGAGAAAAGGAAGACCATTAGAGCTTATTTCCCCCATCCGGCAAAATCAATATAGAGACTTACACAAAGCTGTAAAGTGGCAAAATGAGGGAAAAGCATTAAAGCTTTGTGAGGGTGGAGAAGGAAGTGAGGGGGACAGAAGGGCGCAGGGACATGATGGCGCAGTGACAAGAGGGCGTAATCTTGAATACCTAATTGCTTGATGAGAACTTGATGAGAACTGGATCTGTTGAATTTTTTACAGATGAACTTGAGGGCTGTAAGGTGGAAAAATGAGGGAACTATTGTAAACTTCTCAGAATTTTTAATTTTATAATTAAGGGATTATAGACAAGTAACCTTAAAATTATTAAAAATGTTGAATTTTGTTAGAATTTTCGACCATAACTTCAGGTCCTTTGAACCTAAAATCCGGAAACTTATGAAAGAGGTAATTGGCATTATAAGAAACAATCTTGAACAAAATTTGAAGTCTTTAAGATTTTTCTAGACAGAAATATGCTTGAAGACGTCCTAACGACTTAGCGCCGAAATGACCCTTATCCTGAAGAAATTGTTAATGGGAAAAGGAAGAAGAAAATAAAAGAAGAGGAAGGGTTGAGGTAGGACAACAACTAGATTGCCAAGCTCATTGACTGCTGTTTCTTCTTTCACAATTTTAGGGGGACAGGCGGTGTCAAATTCTATCCTCCTCCCTCATCCCCTTCCCTTTCAAACAAAAATCCTTCTCTCCCTCCGTTCTTTTCTCCCTTTTTACATATCCTTTTACTAAAAAATTTTTTTCTTCAATTTTCTCATCATTTTCGTTTCAACTTTGGCTCATACTAAAACATCCTTGTTAATTTTGCTGTTTTTGTGTGCCATATATTTTCGGCAAAAAAATACTTGGCACATTCAATTGAAAAGGTAATATATGTATTTTTGTTTAAATCTTGAGAAAATTAAAAAAATAATTCAACCTTAACATGTTTCTTACAATTTTAAAAATATTCCAAACTCTCAGTTTTCCAATACTTTAATGAAAATTTTTTAATATATGTAATTTAGTAAAATAAAGAAATTAATTATATTTATAATTACCCATTTCCGTATTTCCTCGATTAATTGCCCACATTAGCGAAAGCAATAACTACCCTTCCTTGCATTCCTCCCCCACATTCTCCCTCACATTCCTTCCTACCAGAGGTGGATCGGAATTCCGATTTCCGACACCTCTGACTGTTCCGACCCGCCTCTGCTTCCTACCCTCCCTCACATCTCTCACATTCAATTTGAAAACATCATTAATTGCCCTCCTCAGATTAATTACCCGCTCCAAAGAAAAGTTGAAAGTTAATTAATTAGTCAATAAAGAGCCTGAGATTAGGATTCTAAATAGTTTATTTAAACTTTCTATTAAAAAAATTTTTTAAAGCCCCGGCGGGAATGGCAAAATTGGCCAGGGTTCGAAAATTACCAACAACAGCAACTGCAGCAGAACGTCTTCACAAACGTCCTCGCCGCAAAAACCATCGACACCAATTAATTTTAAAACGGATGGGTAATGCGCTGAATATTCGTGCTAGGCGAGCTAGAAGCCAAATGAGAATGGGAATTAAATTATATCAACAACAAAACCCTCAACAAGCAATTAGGCATTGGAGGGCGGCTAGAAGAAAATTAAAGTAAAATTTAAGAAATATTATAATTAAATACAATCCGTTACAAATTTAAGTAAATACCTAAATCGGAATTATTTAAAATTCGAATTACATAGAATCCGTTACAAAGCTAGGTAAATAAAATTGGAAATACTAATGGTCAGGATCAGGGCTGCGCGCAATTGCGGATTGCGTGAAATTGCTTTTTTTGCATTGCGGACTGCGTTTGAGGATTTTAAAATTAAAATTGCGAGTTGCGGATTGCAGAAAATTTTCTTTCAATTGCGTGCAGCCCTGGGTAGGCTTGAAAATAAATCCATCCCAGATTTTTATATGGCAAATATAATCCTTTTAAGATTGAAAATATGAAGGGAGAATTGAGGGGAATTCTTGGGAAACTAAAAAAGGGGGAACACAAACTCAACTTTTATTAAATATTTTTAGCATAGGATTGATCCCAGATCCACGAGGAAAATTTTTTTATAGATATCGGGGAGGAGAATTAACTGTCTGTGAATGCATTGTTAGGAAATCGAGGTGGTGGAGTGTGTCCAGGGACCAACTTTATAAATTAAAATCTTAAAATATTTTCTATGATTGTAGTAAAAAATTAAAAAAAATTTTCTTTCAGAACAGCAGAAGACAAATTTTTGACTAGCGGATATATAGTCCAAGCATACTGTGATTCTGGAGATTATGACCAAATGTTACAAGCAGTTAAAATTAAAAATAAAATTTTTTTAAATAATTTTAAAAAAGGCAAAAGAACAAGTAGAATTAGCAAACAATCAAAATGACGATTTAATGCGTTCCGAAGCTTTGCTTAATTTGGCTAGGGCAAATGAAAGACTGGCAGAATATGAGAAGGCTATAGACTTTGCAGAACAGAGTTTGGCACTTCCTGGAATTGATAGAAGAAGTCCGGGATATGCACATTTAGGTAGATTAATGAAGTTAAAAATTTTTATTTACCTGCTCACTGAAAAATACCTAAATGTTAAGAATGCCAATTCTAAATAAACAAAAAATAAATACATGAAGAGCAAATTAAATATACAGTAGTCGAAAAGTTTGTTCTTGTGTATAGGACAGTTGAACGCCTTATTTTGATCGCCATGTGTATTTTTTGTAGAAAATAAAGTTTTAGAACAGTAGGAAGGTTCGATAGATATAATGAATAAATACATATATAAAAAAGTCTTAAGATAAAAAATTCCAAAAGTTGAAATCAACCACACTGAGAAATTCTGATAAATTATCTTATAGTATAGGGATTAAATAAAGATAAAAAAATTTTTTTTCTCAAGTTATTGCAATGGCTAGAATGGGCATTTCCGGTCTACAACAAAGCCTAGAACATTTTGAATTGTCAATGAAAATAGCAATAGAGACGGGTGACAAATTGTTGGAATTGCAAATAAGCCTGGGATTGGGGGCGTTATTTACTTTGTTAAGGTTGGAAGAAATTTTTTTTGGAAAATTTTGAAAAATATTTTTAAAGGGATTTGAACAAAGCTTTAATTTTCCTTCAAAATGCGTTGGGAATAATGCATGGGATAGAAGCTAATCATGTCCATGCAAAATATAGATCTGCCATACTTTATCAATTGTCTGTTATTCTAAGGCTGAAAGGACGTCTTTCAGGTATTCAATAAATAAAGAGTGATGATATTGAGGGACTTGAAGCCTTGTTTGCCACCCACAGAAAACTGTGGGTCTTTGTAAATTATTAGAAATTTATGGGAATTGTTAGTCCCCTCAAGTAAAGTTTAAAAAATAACAGCTAAAAATTAACTTAAGAAAATTAAAGTTTAATTTAGAAGCTCGACAAGTCTGTGAGGAATCTATTCACCTTGCCAAACAAGTCGGAAATAAGCCTACTTTTGCACGTGCTCTAGCTAGTTTAGCAGATATATTTTGCGAAATTGGTGAAACTGAAGCCAGAGAGACTGTTACTGTAAGTGTTTAAATTAAAATGAAGCGAGACCTCTATTTAACAAACGCTCTCTAGTAGATACCCCTCCATATAGTGGACGTTTAGTAGAGCGGTTGGGAG